TCTCGGGGGAGGCCTTGGTCTCGCTGGCGTTGTCGTGGGCCAAGTTCTTGTCCGAGTCGTAGTCGGTGACACCGAAGAGGGCATCCATGTGCTCGAGTGAGATACCCTTGGTCTCGGGGACGAAGAACCAGACGAAGAAGAACATGGAGAAACAGAAGCTTCCAAAGATGAGGTAGGTTCTATCGCAATATTAGCTAAAAGTCCATGTGGTCTGAGATATTACGAGCGAGTCACTTACCCGTAGCCGTGAGCACCGACGGTGGCCAGCATGTTAGGGACAGTACGGGCAACGATGAGGTTGAAGAGCCACTGGGTGGCAGCAGCGAGGGCGACATTCTGGGAACGAAGACGAGCTGCCGGGATTTCAGAGGCGTAAATCCAGCATGCCGGGCCCCAGCCAAATTGGAAGAATGCGGCAAACAAGAAGATGGCAACCAGAGCCATATAGCCAGCACCCGGGACAGGCTCTCCCTGGATAGGCGGGGAGATGCGGACGTAGAGACCGATGTAGAACATGCAGCAGCCCTGAGCGATGGAAGTCCAGAGAAGCGAGCGACGACGGCCAAGAGAGTCAGCCATGAAAAGCAAGAAGCAGATGCAGGCAAGCACCTTGACGATTCCGTAGACACCAGTAGACAGAAGAGGCGTGGAGCGACCGGTAACACCGAGGTTCTTGAAAATGGTAGGGGCGTAGGTGTTGATAGCGTTGGTTCCCGTCATTTGCTGGCAGATCATGAGGAAGATGGAGATGAGAGCACGGTTGCGGTTGCCCTTGATGGTCCACATCTCCTTTTGCAGGTTCTTGAAGGTGGCGTTGCCGATGAGCTGTCTCTCGTGGTTGAGCTGGTCAACAATCTCCTGGAATTCGTCCTCGAGGTAGGGGTGGTTCTCGGGCAGGTTGCGAAGGGTGGAGAGAATCTTCTTGGCCTCTTCCCACTTGTCCTGACGGGCCAGCCATCTGGGAGACTCGTTGCAGAAAAGCATGCAGATGAGAAGCATAAGACTGGGCAGGCCCTGGATGGCGAGAGGGAAGATATACATTGTCTTGCCCGTCAAGTTGACCTCGGCGCCGTAGTTGATCCAGAAGGCAATCATACCTCCTGTGACGATGAAGAGCTGGTACATGCCAGTGAGGAGACCGCGAATGGCACGAGGCGCGTTTTCAGAGACGTAGAGAGGGTTGATAGAAGAGGCACCACCGACACCGAGACCAGCGATAAAGCGACCGACGAAGATGGCAGCGATTCTACCGGAAGAGACAGCTTGAAGGATGACACCGATGAGGATAATGGCAGCGACAGTAACGAGACACCACTTGCGGCCAAATCTGTCCGTCATGGGGGAGGCGATAAGAGCACCGACCAAGCATCCGGCTTGGAGAGTAGACACAATGTTACCGGTCAAGTTGGCGGTTTCGACGGGCTTGGCATCCTTGAGTCCATAGTTGCTGTTGGTGGACAAGTCAGTCTCATCGTACTCTATGGCTAGGATCTTACTCTTTGAGCGGGTACGGCATTGAGGGTCACTTACTTCTTAAAGGGCTCCATCACAACGACACCGCCAATGACGGAACTATCCCAACCGAATGACATGGCACCAAAGCAGGCGGAGGCGGCGAGTGCGAAGACTCTCCATCCGTAGATCTCTGGGGGGTCCGTTTCCATAGACTCATTGTGGACGATCTTCTTGAGGACCTTTTGCATGGTCGTCATGTTGGGCGGTTGACTTCTCTACGATACGGCCAGGCTTTGGCGGGTTTGGTGTTGCTATCGCAGTTGAATAGTGGTAGCCGATGTGACGTAACACGACACCCTGTGATGGTTGAGTCTCAAGCCAAGGTAAGTCAGCTCAAGAGGTGAGGGGGTGGTGAGGGGGTGGTGATGGGCTGGAGACTGGATGAGGAGACGGAGCGACGAAGAGAAAGAAAATATGGACTAGAGGGTGCGGGATGGCGGCCCTGATATATCGAAAATCTCTAATGGTGTTTTCCCCTTCTTTGCTGATCAGGACCCTCGTCTTTCCCCAGATGGATGGAAACCCAGGGACCCCTCACTGCCAGAATAGTCAGCAATTTGCCATCTCACATGTATCCGTAGCGAAAAGTAACCTGGGGAAAAGGGGATTGGAGTGCTGATGAGGAGTAACTGGCCGGAGCCATGGTCGCAATGCGCTCCTGTGCGTCTTCCAGCCCGTTCAGAACGAAAGAACCCCTGCTGCAATCCGTAGCTCGTTCGTCCGCTCATCTGTGCCTCTGAACCCCAGGAAAATCGAGCCTCAACGAGTACCAAGACGGACGGTGAATTGTCCATGAGATTTTTCCGCCATTCAGAGGGGACGGAGAGGGCAGCCCGACGGTGCTGGACCGACGGGGGCGGCAGAGGAACGGCTTGGCCTGGGGGGAGGGGGAATCTATTCGGTTTTGCGATCAGCCGACCAGGTCGTGCAATTGGAGGCTTCCGGCAAAGTGTGGGATACGGCAAGCATATTGGGGGTGTGTGGTAGCTGTGGTGGTGTCGAGGTGGCCGGATGGGATGCAGCAACAAGCATGGCATGGCTGGGCTAGTCTCAGAGACTAGGCTTGGCAGGCTAAAGGCAGAACGGATGGCACTCTACGTAGTAGTCAGATGGACGACAGACGACAGGAACGATGCTCGGGTACGAGTGTGCGAGCCAAGGGCAAATCAACATCGCGGCCATGGAAGGACTTTGGTGGGAGATCGAAGCATACACGTGCGCAGCCTGTATCTCAGTGGCCTCAACCTCGCCTGGCTTGCTAGTCTGGCTCTCACGGACTGTTCATCCATACAGACCATCAACTTGACAAGGGGTCGGGCTTCATTTTGGTGCGAAGATAATAAAATCGAGGGATAGATGGCCCTGTCCGCCGGGGTTGCCTCCAAGATGTATTGGATTCTTCATGATGGCAACAACAGAAACACGACGCCCGCCGGTACATGTGCTAGCAGTTCAACCTTAATAGCGATAGACGTGGCTCTCTGGGGCCCCAGAGAAGACTCCCGTTGTTCCCCAGGTGCCCCAGGGAAAGCAGAGTGGAGCAAGAATAAAGTATCCGTATGCTTGCTAGGACGAACGGCTCTCCGAGCTGTGGCTATCCTCGTTGCGGTTTCCATCGCCGAAATGTGGACCGCTCCTTGCAACGAACATGGCGTATGATTTGCTGGGAGATGCGTCTATGGTTGTCTCCCCCATCACAGAATTTAGGCTACTTGCGAAGGTGGAGAAAGAGGGACGAGGCAAAAAGGCAAAGAGAATAAGAGCGTGGGGATGTACTCTGCGTGGGCCGTAGAGTTTGACTGCAATGACTGGCTGTACGAAGCTACGAATAGAGTGTAGACAAGGGAGCAGATGTTTAGTGCGCTGGACTTGGTTTAGTCCATTCTGCACTGCGTATGCGCTGACAGGGAAGTCCGCGCATGGGACGATGTAGGTATCCGTACAGGGTTACAAGAACACACAAACACCAAAGAGCCAAAGAGCCAAAGAGTCTCTGACAACCAGTCAGTGATACAGACGAGAGTGGCACCCCGTAGTCTTTCGGTGAATCGAACCAACGTGGTTCCGGCGCCTCCCACACCTTTCGTCCCACGTCCCGGACTGGTTTCTGCTCCAACCGGTAGCCCATTTGTCGAACCATCCCCGTACGGGTGGATTCCGCGGAGTAAGGGTGCGGGTGGGAGAAATGGGGATGGAGAGGTGGAGATGTGTTGGAGATCGCGGGGGTCATCGGAGAGGAGGTGGGTGAAGTGGCACAGAGAGACACGAACTATGGGCGAATAGACCGTGAGCAAGTTGACGGTCAGTCTACTGACTTTGTCAATGGACGAAGACCGATTCTTCCAGAGTAGACCGCGCCTCTCAGTTGACGCTTGACCATAGCTAGACAAGGCTCGTTCGTAAATGTCTTCAACCACCGAAACCACAGTCTAAGCTCTTGTTGGACTTTTGTCTCGTTTGTCGTCCCATTTGAAACTCGATCTAGCATATCTTTGATGACCTTGATGACTATTCTAGGTAGGGTAAGATAGATCGTGATTCGACCAACCCCCGTCAAACACGGTTCGAGTCTGGGGTTCCAACGGCCATTCCCATCTATCGCGACACCACCTCGAGTCTGTGGCGCTGGATCCTAAGGCTTGGCACCAAGACTTGAAGCTCGTTCATTTGACGGAAAAATTAATCCGCGTTTCTGACCTGAACGGCCGGATCTATCTAGTCTGATTCTGCCAATACTCTATTTTCGAAGCTTTCCAATCTTCTTCTGGTACGTACGTTGATTCACACTCGTATTGTGGCGGTTGGTTCAACTTATTCGTCAACAAGTCTGCATGTAGATAGTCCAAATATGTTCGAGACACCAGGCGCTAAATGAACCACTCCGGTCGACTTCGACCAATATCATGCGATACCACATACCACTCCATCCCCGTCATGTCTGTTTGGTTCCGGATCCGAGTCCTTGGGCCTGCCAGACCTGTCACGCCCTGCACTCACTGCTTGCACTGGCGTCTCATTTGCATCTGTAGCCATCCACGAACCAATAGTCCGGCATGTGCCGTACACTCGCAGCCCAGGACTATGGAACTCGGATGCACACCCGCCACGGTTGTCTCGTGGTCTTCAGACTTGAATAGAGTTACCCAATTATAACGTCAAGTTATGTTAGTTCTTGGACTATTGGGAGGCTTTTAGTCTAGTCTTACGATCTCGACACAAAGTCAGCGCGTCGCTATATTGTCATCGCGAATTATTCTCGTATAGAGACAGGACGGAAGATTTCGTCCTCCAAGGCTCGACGTTGAAAATACATGCAGGCCACTTCAAGAGCCTCTATGTTTCCCCTCTCACTCCCGTGCCCTCGATCGTGCCACACCAAGCCCGCGCATTCCAGTGCCACCTCTAACAGCCAATGCCAAGATACCCAGCTAGAACCAGCCCCCCGCTTTTGCTTGTCCCTGACCTGCCTGCGCTGACGAGCCGAGATGCCACTCAACGAGGTGCATCGTCTTCATACCCTCGTGGTCACTCTGTTGGGTCAGGACCCGGCTCACCGCAACTTCACTCTCAATGGGAACGCGTTCCAGCAAGACGCCATCATCTCCTTCAAGGGTTGGCAATATGCCGTGTTCTACAGTAGCTGTTCTCTCCCAGGTACGGAGAACGATACTCAGCTTGAACCTCTCTTCGTCTGCTTGGCTCGGCGTAGATTGCCTGACACTGAGTGGCAAACGATAGTTTTCGACGATTATCGCCAAACTACTGACGATGGCCACAATACCGTACAGATGGGCATCTGTCCGGGTGATGGTATCATTCATCCATCTTACGACCATCACTGTGACGTGTAAGATTACTTTTGTTCATCTCGTTATTGTAGCTTCAAGTTGTTTCAATCTTGAGAAGCCCCACCGTCACTAACAGACTCTTAAGCTTGAGATACCGATATTCCATAGAAGGCATTGCCAGTGATCCAGAACGATTCCGATGGAGCAAAGACGTGTTCACTTCGACTCTCAACCATGTTCCCGGAATTGACGAACCTCACGAGAACTTCGGCTACGTTACCTACCCACTTTTTGGTACCTTGGGAGACGATATGTTCTTCTCCATCAGAAATGGCAAAGCTGGCCTCGAGGACGACCTGTTGTACATATATCATGCCGCAACAGGTTTGCACGAGTATGCTGGAAAGCACCTGAAAGGCATCTAGAACAACCCATACGTTCATGGCATGGACTACCATGATGGTAAGCTACATATCAAATGGGCATATCGCGGCTTCGTTCACTACGACAGTTGGGATGATCCTCTGGATACGAAAAACAAGCAACAAGCTGGACCCAATGGCGCCGAAAACAACCATAACATATGCTACGCTTATAGCAATGATAGAGGGTACACATGGAAGAACGGGCAAGACGAAACGATCGCTCCGTTGAACGAGGGAGGCTCAATTACACCTTATTGCCCCGGCCTTGTTGCTTTTGAGATCCCCAAGGGGCGAGGTTTGACAAACCAAGAGGCACAGGCAGTCGATCAGGAGGGCGGGGTGCATGTTCTCAACCGCAACACGATGAACGGAGAGAGCCTATGGAAGTATTACTATTGATTTCCCCATGGTGAGATTACGACAGTCAGCCTTGCTTGTAATTTCCCATAGAAACCAAGATACCTCAGCTGATGATGCGTTTTGAGGAGGAACATGGACGCAGCATATCATCGGGCCGGTACCTAGTCCTCGACGCGGCCGTCTAGCCATCGGCAAAACTGGTGATCTCTTTCTGATCCTTCCCGACCCGACCGACTCATCCATCCGTATCCTCAAATCATCAAAAGCAAAAGCCTACGCTGACGCAGTAGAGATCTGGAGTGGCGTTGGCTTCATAGGAGAGCCGCTTGTGGACATCAAAAGGCTTGAGGAGGAAGATATCATGTCCATCTTTGCCATCGCCAAGTCGGCGACCTCATCCGAAGACCGCCAAGTTGTCGTCCTCGACTTCCGTACATGGCGCAAATGCGCGGGGAGGGAGTCAGATGAACCAGTTCCATCGAGGGGATGACAAGAGATGCGCATCAAAGAAATGTGATTGGCGGGTTGTAGTTGGTGAGCGACACGTTACCGCCCATCATCTCCCCGATAAGTCCGCGACGGACACCACCCCATCGATGAAGTGGCGAGATGGTGCCCCTAGTCCCTGGCATTGAAAGGTTCTATGTACGGTGTAGACAGCGGGGGACTGTAAGGGCCCATGGTCTCAGCGAATTCAATTTCAAAGTGCCGAAGTCCCATTTCCGGCGTCCAAAATAACGTTAGATACGGACACTGTAGATGAGATAGAGCTCTCCAGCAATCATCATACAGTGGATATTCGACCCTCATTCCAAGGTTGCGCCAAGAGCCACCACAAAAACTCACTGTGTCGTATTTCGCCCCCAAATCTCCCATCTCATTAGAGGACTTTGATCCTCAGAAAGATGAGACACATGGCTTCGTGAAAGTCTTTCCTCTCAGGTATCCGTCATCACCACCATGTACTTCGTAGCAAGTGCCGCCATAGATTGCCCACCGTTGTGGTGAAGTTGATCCATTGTAATGAGCAAGGGAATGAAGGAGAAATGGTCCTCCGCAGAATCATGCCGCTGCGGACTCACTCCTCCTCACCAAGCTCCCCTACAGATCTACCCTTGTTTGTTTCTCTTGGCATAGCAGTCTTGCTCCCAAACGACCCAACGATGCCGGCCATCTCACCTCCTTCTCATCAGCCACCCTCTGCACCTCGGTAACTTGAGCCCGAGGAGAGACGCTCTCATTTTGTTCCTTCACTCCCACATTCCTTGGTCTTCTGCCCAGTGCCCAGAGCCACGAAGCGCGCCGGACGGCCGCGCCGCTCTGGGCAGATTCTAGGGCCTGGGCGGGAGAGATGCGAGGACCTTGGCATACACCAGATGGCTTGTGCCGCATGCCAAGGAACCCTTCATATGTAAACATGGTTTGTATTGGAGGAATGAAAATTTGAGATGGGAGGAGAAGGCGGGCGGTAATGGGTGCGAGTGAGCGATGAGTTGAGCTGGAAATGTGGAGGGCGACTCCAAATGCATTTTAGCGGTCCAAACACGACGCGTCCAGGGGAAGATTCAACTCTTGGCACTTCGGAAAAAGGCTCAATAAGAAGCGATGCTAACCCATAAAGAAAGCACTTACACGGAAAAGACCACTGTCAAACACACACGCGGAAAAAACCAAGGAGCTGATTTAATCTCCTTTTAAACTCTGAGTCTTGTTATTCAATATAGACAATGCAACTATATTCTCGTCATCATCGCTCATAAATGTCCACCAATATGCTACGGATAAGAATTATGTATAAGAAGTAGTGACCAAATCGCCACATGAGTTGTCCCGATGGACGATTTTCCAAACAACCCTCAGTTCTCTTTCCCTTGTCCTGTCCTCAAATCCAGATTACCCGGGGCTTCATGTTTGTTGAATCGTCCATCTCTCTCTTCTATTTCTGCTCTAAGCTGCGCTCTCTAAGCATTTAGAGGGTCTTGGCAGCCCAGCCGAGCTGCTTGGTGCTGCCGTTGAAGACAACGAAGGCAGCCTTGAGGGCAATGTCACCGTAGATGGAGATGCCAATGCCGGCGTTGCTCTGAAGGCCACCGAAGCAGGTGCTGGTGCTGATGGGAGCGTAGTTCATGTAGGTGGCGGGGATGGTGATGCGAGCGGTGCCGACGCCGAAGGTGAAGGCAGGGACGGTAGCGGAGCAGGGGAAGGTGTAGCCACCCTGGGAAGAGTCGTACTTGGCACCGGTGATCTTGGCGTAGTAGGCGGTGACGATGGCCTGGGGAAGGAGGAGAAGGGTGGTGCCGGTGTCAGCAATACCGGTGACGGAGCTGGAGACGAAGCTGGCGGAGCCGACCTGGTAGCCGGAGGAGGTGAACTGCCACCATCCGTTGGCGGAGTTGACGGAGGTGTAGGTGATGGCACCGGTGTAGGCGGTGCTGTCAATGTAACCGAAGTTGTACTTGCCGGCTATAAGTTCAATGTGTTAGTATCAAACTTTCCTGTTCTTATTACATCATGTCTAGTGATGTGAGAATGAGTGAGTGCTTATGCTTACCCTTGCCGTGCTTCAGGTCAGCAGTGAAGAGGAAAGAGTCCAACTTAGACTTGGCAGTGTCGAAGAAGGTGGTCTGCTGGGTGGGCTCAACGGTGTTGATGTTGCTGAAGCCAAGACCAAGGAGACCGTCCAGGTCGCTCTCGGAGGTGAAGGAGTCCGAGACGGTGGAGGCAGCCTCGACCGCCTGGCCGGTGACGGTCAGACCACCGACGGTGACGGTGTCCTTGTAGACAATACCGCTGGAGCTGGAGCCATCACCGTAGGAGATGGACCAGGTGGCGCCGGAGAGGCGGGAGGCGGTGGTGGACTTGGAGGGGTCGTAGACGGTCTGGCCGTTGCGCTGGCTGGTCGGGGTGGAGGTCGAGAAGACCCACAAGTCGGAGGAGCCGGTATCGAAGTCGAGGTTGAGGGTCTGGGCTGGGGTGCCGATCTGAACGGGGCTCAGGTACTCAACGTCGTACTCCTGGGGGTTGGCGGCGACACTGCCAGTGGCACGCTCGACAAGGCCGGCAGAGCTGATGTTGGCGACAACGGCAGCGAGGTCGGCGGGGAGAGCAGCCTTGTACTTGCGGTAGGCCTTGGCGAGGGCGAGGGGACCGGAGCGGACGTAGCGGGGGTTCTTGATCTGCTCGACGGTGAAGCCTCTCTCCTGCTGGGCACCGGCGGGGAGGGCGGCAACGGAGGAGGCCAGGGCGAGGCCGGCCGTGAGGGCCGAGACGAAAGAAGAGCCAGTCATTGTGAGATGACTGAAAGCTAGTGAAGCCTGGAAGGGAGCAAGAGAAGAGGATATGAGGACGAGAGAGGACTGGGAGATGACCGATGAGGATGAGGAAGAGAGATGGGATGATCAACGGGGAGATGGGATGGTTTATATCGTCATCGTCCAGTCTATGAAGATGGTGTCTGGACTCTTGGACTCTGGAACCGGGGGACGGCAAGTCGGGGCGATAGGATGGATCATGGCGACATTACTCGCAGTCCTTGCCAACATCACGGGCTTTGGATATGTCACGGCCAACAATAACATCCAGGGGGGAGGTTCGTGAAGGAGGGCCATCATGGTGTGCGGCACAAGCTAGCCGTGGGGGAATACCACCTTCCAAGAGGGAGCATCGTGCAATAGCAAGGCTGCCTGTCGCGACTCCATATCGCGCCGACGAGGACGATGGTACTGCGCATCATGATTCGAGAGAACAGAGGGGCTAGATTTGATGAGAAGGGACGTTAATCGGTAGTGTGTAGATCAACAAGGAGGAACAACAAGCAGTTGACTACTTGCGGCAGCCATCAACGGGCAGGCTAGTCTCGAACAGGGGACTGATAGACTCTAGTCTCTAAAGCACCTCAACTAAGGTCGTAGCTCCATCTGTCTCTCCGCCATGGAGCTCATGAAATGGTGGAAGATGGAACCCATCCCAATGACCAGCGTATTCCCGGCCAGGGTGGAAGGGTTATGGGAACTTTTGACCAAAGCTTGTCACTGGCACAAAGTTCCCAGCAGCGGTAGACTAGATGGAAAGGAGCAGGTCGAAAAGGGTCGAACGAGTCGACACTTGTTTGTCAAGTGTTGACACGCACCGCCCGTCCTCCGCTCTTGGATCCAAGGCCGGAAGTTGAGATGAGTGAAAGGGGGAACAGGGCCAAAAGCAAGCAGCAAGGCACCAAAAGCAGATGATATGAATGGAGCCGGGCTGATGGAGGGGGGTCCGCGGCGGGGAGAGGAGCACCGGCGGAGGGCGGGACCAACCAATCCAGAGGCGAAACGAGGCATGCTCCTCTGAAGCGATCTGATTCTGGTCCGTCACTCCATGACCCATCACCCCTCGCGATAGCCCCGGTGCCGGTCTTGAGTGGTGCCGTGTGGTACAGTGGCCCTCGTTCTCGAATCGACGTTGAAAGCACCTACCTTTCCGGGACATGGCTCCGGGACTCAGCCAGGCCACATTACGGTCCAAGTCCGCTGGGGCTCCGAGAAAGTCGAGGATTAGACCATACGTCGAGACAGCTAAGCAGGCGAACCCATGCTGCTTCGCAAAGTGGTCACCCGTTGTGGTGGTGTTCTGACGGCGAACTTGCAACCATCCCATCTCTTCCATTGGTCTTCTTGGCTCTTGATGCGCCTCGGCACATGGAAACAAGCTTTACCGCCAAGTCTCCACCCGCAATCCCGCATGCGAGCCCAGAGGTTGGCGATTGCGACCTTGCGACCCTCGATGCTCTGATCCCCTGGGGCATTGCTTCGTTCCATGTCTGCCCAGAAAATGCCCAGTCTGGGGCCGCAGCAGGTACGAGATCGAGGCCAAGACGGGAAGGAAGACAAGAGAGTTTTCTAGGTTTCTGGGGGGAAGAATCCCAAGGGGGGAGGTGGACATGAAGGCTGAAGCGAAGGGGACAGGCAGGACAGGGGTTAGAGGGGGGATCACGCCGCATGCCGCCGTAACTCATTGTCTTTGCATAGTCTCTGTGTCAACGCGGGATCCAGCTGAGCGGGTTTCGGCTGTTTGCTGCCATCTTGGCGATGTTTTTGGCGATGCTGCCCTGCGGCCCCCTGCTACGTTGCCGACCAAACGATGAGTGATGCATGTGTGAGTGAATGAAAGTGAGTTTTGTGACTTGTGAGTGAGGTGACCCGACTCGCGACTCCGCGAGTGAGTGAGACTGAGAGGTGCTGACCTGTCATGACGTGCTGCGGCTATTCCGGCCTGGACCCTGTTCCCGTTGCATTCAACTTCTCGATAGAGACTGAAAGCTCGCGGATTTGGCGACTCAGCAGGCGACTGGGGTTGCCTTTGCAAAAGTTCGCGCGTATTCTTTTCTGGTCGACTGAACTATCCATTCTCCAGCTTGATTCTTAATTGCGCGCGTGAAACTTTCGACAGTACCTCTTCTCACATTCCTCATTCGATCAAGATACCGAGCACTTTGTCGCCATAGCCATCGATGAGGCGAGAGAGGGGTGCAATGAGCTGAAGATAGCCCCGAGAGTCGCTTCAACTACGGTCCAAAAGCGATGCCGTCTGAGCCGGTCTCCTTGCTATGAGAGATAAGGAATGAAAGATTTGTGAGGTAGCAGAAATAGGGTACACGCCACCGCAGAAAAAGAATAGAAAAAGAAGGCAAATGAGAGAAGAGAGATCATCAATCAGTGATTCAAATTTCAGGCATTGTGAACAAGCTCTCGAGTGCTCGACAACGGCCAGCCACTCACCTCGTGCTCATCACATATCGCAAATCTACCCGCCCCTTCTGCCGACGACGCGATAAGCATCGGTTGGTGAAAATCAGCCGAATAAGCATGATTGGAATAAGATTGCGCCGTCGCAGAACTCTCAGCTACCCCGACCTGGGTCTCCCCTGGAGTGGCTTTGAGTGGCACGAGTGGCAGACTGGCGAAGGGGGCCATCCTATGGCCCAACGGTCCTGTTAGGTAAAGGGGAAATCTCATTACGTTACCGCCAGGGCCATGCCAGGGGAACTTAGGTAATGCCATCACTTATTTTGCCTTTATCGCTGGCCCACTCCGTCATTCCACCCCTTCAACGGAGATGGTGCTTAGTTCAACGTCTCATTGCCCTTCATGGTGTCTGTTGTATTATGTATGTATGTGCGTGTTTGAGAGAGGGAGAGAGCGAGAGACAGAGAGATGGTGCTGCTAATGATATCGTGAACCCTAGTATTCTCTCTCAATTGTTGGCCGCATGCATCTGCCATCTGATCTGTCCTGACCTGCTGAATGAGAGAGCCTCGGCGCGCGCATATAGCTGAAGGTTCTAGCCCTTCGGGGTTTCCAAAGCTGATCGCGAGCCCGTCGGCGAACCTTGGCCGGTACCCCCTCATCCCGAGAGAAGAACTCCTGCAAGTCTGCATTCAAATCTCGTTTGCCTTTCCTCACATTTCCCATTCAAATCCCTTCCCCCCGGCTTCCGGCTCATGGCTCATCGGCGATGGGAAGAAAAAATCCCCTCATCAATTACCGAAAACTATTTGAAACAGCGAGCGTTTTTGTTTCGAATGAGGGCCCTTTCATTCTCATGGCGCGCTGCCCATAAACTGACCATGCCTTGCCTCATGGACCACAGGTGGGCGGATCATTCGGCAGACCTCGGCCGTTGAGTTCTGTCTCATCATGAGGCTCCAAACTCTGAGGTTCTGCTGGTACAAAGTGTGCTGTTTTTAGCAGCATGACATCGCACCGACGAAAGGTCCAAAGCGACAATTCATCTCACAGATCTCACAGACTCCAAAGTCTCACAGTCTCAACTCTCGCAACTCACTCGAGCCTCACACGACATGTTCGCATTATTGGACTGTAATTGCATACCGACGTGCGTCAGTCTTGGCACAGATCCGGGGGTGGGCGTGACCTCGGTCCTCACTGCATGTATACATCCCCGATTTCCTGGCATGCCCTGGAATCTTCGGAGCGGCGTGTCTTGGCTGCTTGGCAAAATGATACTGTGAGCCCGGCGATTTGTTTCTCAGCACCTGTCACCATCACTCACTCGTACAGCGCGGGGTGGGTTGCTGAGCTGAAGAATTCTTATCAGATGAACTGTGAATTATGCCCTACCCCGACCTATTGATACAACAACCATACAAGGGCCTTCGACGAGGCCTGCCATTCGGCTGGAAACAAACCAAAAGAACTTTGTGGGATTAAGATCCGAAGTGTGCCCAACGCCCGTCAATGAGAGAGAAAAAGAAAAAAAAACCTCAAGGATCTAACAGGGAAGGTGAACCAATAACTCCCCCATCGCCTCTATGCGACAACTACTAAGCTAAGTGGGTATGATTGGAACCAAAGAACGAAAATCAACGCCAACCTGCCACGCTGGGCCTAGGTGCATGTGCCTTTTCGATCTTACCGGTCGCTGCCAGGCTTCCGATTGTGATGCGACGGTTCTTGAAGTCGGCGCTAGCCATTCTGTGCTGAGGCGCTTGTGGGCTACCTCCCTCCAGCCTCAAGCTGCCTCCCAAGTGCATGCGCCTTGCTTGTCCCGCCGTGAATGCTCGGTCATTCCTAAAGTCGGGAGGTGAGCAGACCATGGGCGGTGAGAGCCTTCGCTCCGCACTGGCACGTCGTGATCGAGAGATTCCGTTTGTGCTGCTCGCCATAGGGCCGGAAAAGCTTGCCGACGCGCGGTGGTTAGAGCCGATAGAGTTCACTGACGAGATGCGTCTGGCATTGGATGCCGCCGTCCCTCCTATGGATGACACGCGTCGGTGCTCGCCGCGGACCTTCTTCATCGAGTGCAGGGCCGATCGAATCTTTCTAGGATCAATGCTAGGCGACTCTGACTCTGATCCGGACGGGCCCTGCGGTGAGGGGGGGTTGTTCTCATCGGCAGACAGATTGCCGGAGAATGTTCTCGGAGGAGGGCTGGCTCTCGCGATTCTAGAGCGGAAAGCCGGAGGCGACAAGTTTGAGGAACGATGCACGTCCAGTGCGCGCAGGGGAGCCACTCGATCTCCGTTGTCTGAGGACGGAGAAGAGCCGAGGGGCAACGTCATTGTCGGAATTGGTACAGTTGGTGATCCGGAGCCAATCGACGAGATGCGACCCTTGGTCAGGAAGCCAGCCTGGAATCTGTTGGGCTTCGCGGGAGGGATGGATGAAGACTCGGGGAGTTCCAGAGTCGGGCTGTCGTCTGAGCCCAAGTTGGCCGAGTTGGACGATGCTGTTCTCAGGTACGAAGGAAGAGCAGGCATTCGCAGTCCCTTTTCTGGTGACATGTGATCTGGCGTTCCCTCGAATTTCTTGGGCGTCTTCTCAAAGTCTGCCAGTCCCGACTCTGTCTCGTCGTCCCTCCAGCGAACACCTCGCTTAGCTTCCGACTTTCTCTTTACTGGCGTAAATGAGACTCCCTTGCGGGGACTTCTTGGGGCCGCCGCCTTCCTACGGCGGGGAGACAACTTTATGGGAGACGCATGAGGCTGAGGTGCAGGCTCAGACGGAGGAACAAAGGCCGGCTGGCGTATGGGAGATGTGTTGTTGACGACTGCCTTCTTACGCTTAGGCGTGCCCTGTTTTCTGGGTGAGAACTTCTCGACGGGGATCATGGCACCATCAGGCTTGACAACATGAGATGCGGCCGAGAAGCCGGCTTCTAGTAGTCGGTTGATGATTTGCTTGGCGTGAGCGACGGCATCCTCTTCATTCATCGTTAGCGTATCCTCGAGGGATGCCAGGATATCGAATTGCGCCGTCAGAAGAACTTGCATCATGGCAGCATCGCCAACCTTGTCCATCTCGAGAACCTCATGGCTGGCTTCTCTGCCAAAGTTGGCCTTCAGAAGCTCAGCCTCTCGGGTCAAAGTATCAATCTCAGCGGCATCGGATTCGCCTCCGGGCAATTGCTTGATGCTGTGGTGAAGAGCCGTGTCAATAGCACGCTCCCAGTTGGTATTCTCCAGCTTTTGATGGATGTGATGACGACTGTGCTCCAGCTCTACCATGATTCCTTGCGCAGTTTTGCGAATGGCGACAAGTGTCGCGGGCATCGCATCCTCGTCACCTCTTTGGTCACAGATAGTGTCAAAAGAAGCTATCCAGGCAGAGAGCAGGCTGATGCGTCGCTCGAAAGCCTTCAGCTTCTTCATGTTGTTGATTCTATCCCGTCTCTCGTTGGCCGAGTTCTCGTACGCGACACGGAGACGCTGCACGCCCTCACGAGCAATAGAGTCGCGCTTCTCCAGCTGTTTGCGGAATTTTGCGTAAAACGTCTTCTCTGCATCCTTCTGCTGGGCCTTGAGCTCGTTGATGAGAGCAATTTGCTCATCAATCTTTACCAAAAAGTCCTTGACGTGTCTGTTGACATTGAAGACATTACGAGTCACCTTTGTCTGGATATTCTTGGCTCGATTTGCGTATCGAAGGGTGTTTTGTGTCTCGTCGAAGTGGACACTTGAAGGACTGACGCAGACAATCATGACTGTCTTGCAGTTGCCGCCGAGGGAGAATTTTAGAAGTCGTGTAAGTTTGCTGTTGCGATATGGTACGTGGTTGCGCTTGCGAGGGTCACACAAGGCATTGATGCAGCTTCCTAGGGCCAAAAGAGACTTGTTGATGTTTGCGCCTTCAAGCAGACGCTCGCCGCGATTCTTGGTGGCGCTGGCACGCTCGCTGCCAGCAAGATCAATGATGCTGAGAGTTGCCATGGTGTGGGGTTCGTTGACAGACGCATTGCGGTCCTTCTGCGAGACGTTGATTTGCAAAACAGCGTGAGATCGAGACGAGGTGGCGTTGGCTTCCGTTGGGGAGACTGTACGCCAAGCATTACCCTGCACAATCATGTCCATGACCTCTTGCACGTTCTTGGGGTGATGGCTTGTCAGACCAGCAACCGACACGGCCTGATTCGAATCCTCGCGGAGCATCAATCCCTGCTTGCTGCCTCCGGGGATCAACAGGTCGCGAATGGTCTCGTTGTAAATCTCGAGGTATGAGAGGGTGATCTCGGTGGTCTTCTCTTGGCTTCGCTCGGTAATCTTTTCGAAGAGTTCTTGCATCGTCATAAAGATGATTCCGGGGTGTTGTGATGTTCCGGTAATGGTGTGTGTTTTGCCGCAGCCGGTTGCGCCGTAGGCGAAGACGGTGGCATTGTAGCCGTCGAGGACGCTATCGATGAGCTGCTTCGTTGTGCCTTCGTAGACGTCGTTCTGTGTGGCATTGTCGTCGAAGATTCTGTCGAACATGAAGGTCTGATCCTTGACCTTCTTGCCGTTGGGAACCACAGATCTTCCAAACCTGTGAACGGGGTTGTCCTCGGGAGGGTCGAAGACTCTATGGAGGGTATTAGGATAAGACAAGACAGCAGTGGGAGGTAGGATACTGATACTCACAAGCATCTGTCGTCGACAACTTTGATGACTGGCCTGATACCACCCCTTTGGAGCTTGGGTGGTGCGGCAGCAAGTGAGCCGTCGCCCAGAAAGACGGTGCCTTCTTCATTGCGAGTTCTGCACGCACTCCAGTCAGTATTATTGCTCCTAGCCTCCGCTCTTCTGCTCTCCTGTGTATAGTGTCTAGACGTACAGTTGCGCTGCTTCTCGGATCGTGAATGGTCGCACTCGAACTGTTGAACCGCCCGGGTTAGTGCTTGCGCTTGACGAGTAGGTGAAGAGAGAGACAGAGGGGATGCGAACCTGCGACCGTGATGGAGGCGGCGTTCGGATCGGCGACCATGATTGCTAGCTATCGTGATGCTATCTGTGTCGTGTGGGTATTATGAGAAGGAAAATAGCGACTCGGATTCGTCCCGTTTGCTGACTCCGAAGGGGAACAGTTTAGCGAGCTAAGTCGAGAGCTCTTCGAGTTCAAGTCCAAAACAAGTGGTGCAGCAAACGGGGGTGTAAATCAAGAAATAAACAAAGCCGCTTTGCAGCGCGGACCGAGCATGTGCAGCAAGGAAGAGTATGGAACAGGAAAAGAGATGAAGCACGAGCTGCTGTGGGGGAGGGGGGAGGGGGTTAGTGAGAGTGGTGGTGAAGGTAAAGGTGGTGATGGAATGGGAGGAAGGAGAGTAAGGAAGTGAAGCAAGCAGCAGCTGCAGTTGGATAAGAGATTAGGAGATGAGGAGTGACGGTGGATGGGCGTGAAAGGTCTTGGTTCGAAGAGTCCCCGTTTCTGTCTGTCTGTCTGCCTGTCTTGTCTGAGCTTGGAGCTGATGGACGGTGGTGTGCACTTTGGGCTGATGTGCGGGTGCCGTTTGCTGTGTGACTGACGTTTGTTGTTTTCCCACCCGCCCAGGTGCCGCGTTGCCCCCGACGACCGGGAGCCTTTTTAGCGAGGCAGTAGTGGAGCCGCTAATCCTAATTCTCCGTAGAGACCCATCATCATCAGTGCACAAACGAATGAGGAAGGATGCCGCCTGCTGAGCCACATCTGATTATAGCGGGACTTGAGTGGCTTAAGTGGGGTGAGGCTGGTAACACCTCACCAGCCACAAACAAGGAGAAAAACATCAACGTTGTGGGAGGACAAAGAAAGGCAAAGAAACACTCTAAGAACCAAAACTACGGGTACACACTGAAACGAATCAGGAGTGAGCACTTGACGAAGATAGGAAAAGACACATTTACCCTCTTTATACTAGAGAAATTCTTTAGAGACTAGACCATTGTTGTTGTTTTTTTTGGTTTCATTATGTATTAATGCTAACTTTGATTCTCACTTTCCACTATTCCAACATCTCAAGCATGTGATTTAGTTCATGCTCCCTCCAACAATACCAGGCGTCTCCGTAAACGCAGTACGCTTTACGGTGCCCTGCTCATCACGTCCAAGCAAGAAACTCTCGGGAGGTCCCAAGTACGACTTTCTCACACCGCCCAGATCTACCACAACCTTTTGCACAATAATATTTGGCAGAAGCGCCCACACACGAAGCGTATACGCGCCCTCCTGAGTCACGTTGAAAGCTGTAGTCGTGTAGTTGCCAGTGAGTCCCCAGACGGCGTCCCCCACGGCATATCCCCATCCATCGGGCATGTTCTGCCCTTGCGTCTTGCCAACAGGCTGCACTGTCTTGGGCTGCGGCGCACTTCCGCCAGTCGGGTACAGCGATATCCCGTACTCGAGGGGGTTTCCATCGCCGAGGTAGTTGGAAGTAGGCGAGATGTACAGCGTGACGTTGGCTTTGCTGGTGTTGGTGAAGAGGTACATCTGATACTCCAGCGCCGGGCCCTCGCCGAGCTTGACCTTCTCCGACTCTGACGGATACAATCCAACGCCACCTAGTGTGCGGCCGTAATTCTCAAACAAATGATATTCGAGTTTGCTGCTGCTGTTGCTTGACCTGGTAGAGTTGCTGGGCTCAACGATGCTCTGGTAGTGCGGTCCCTCGATAGACACATGGCCATCGGATTCTACGAAACCCTTGGTGAAGTTGGATGGCACGGCACGGCTGACAACCGGTACGATGACTCTCTGTCCTTGTCCGGCGTACTTTTCTTTGCCCCGACACGGCGTAGTGACGTTGATGTAGACTTGGGTGGTGTTGGGAGCTGCTGGCGCATTCTCCCAGTCGATGGAGATCCAGACACGGCTGTCTGTACCGTTGTTGCCGCCAACCGTGCCGTTGTACTGGGAGAGCTTGACCCAAGGCTGCCAAGGACTGGCCGTCCAAGGGCATGCAGTGTTGCCACGCGTGAAGACCTCAAAGTAGCGCGAGATAGCCCCGTAGGGGTCCAGCGGGGGCACGGCGAGGTCGTTGGCAGAGTTGGTGTGCCACTTGTCGTCACCCTGAACACTGGCATTGGACCCCTCGACGCCGACACCGATCTGACCACCCAGTGATGGGAAAGCTGTCTGTACATAGCGCATATCTGGAAGGGTATTGCGCATGGGCTGCTGCCAATAACCATCATATCCGAGATGTGTTTCTGTTACGCGTCATGTCAGTGCCTGTTAGATGGAGCCTTGGTTTTCTGTACTTACGATCAAGCATATGCTGCCATTTTCCGTCGAGCAATTCATCCCATCGAATAGTCAACTCAGCGTCCGCATCGAGCAATGTTCTGGACTCATCGATGATATCGTTGGCCAGGTTGCGCTTCTGTCCTGCAAACAGCTGGTTCTTTGCACCGTTGATCTGGATTTTGTGAAGGATCTCGCCAGCTGAAATGGGATGCAGGATCATCTCGAAGAAAGCCGCCTGGTGCTCCTCCGAGAGGGCATCGTACACAGCCTGGGCGTCTTCGCGGAGAGTAGCCCACTGCCCCAAAACAGCGTCTGCTTCGTTGTAGTTGATGACTGAGTAGGTGTTGGGCTCGACCAGCTCATATTTTCTACGAGCTGCATACATGCCATACCGCATCAAGATATCCGTAATGTTTTCTGCGTGGTTGCTGCCAAACTCTCTGGTTGCCCAAGCCTCGAGCCACTCGCCAGTACCGTCAACACCCCACTTCTCGGTGTCGTAGGCGAGGTCGAAGAAGTGGCTGATGGGAATCTCAAGCGGCTTCAGATCACCGACGTTGACAATCCAGATCCTGCGTGCATTCCGGGCATACGCCAAAGACATTTGCTCCGCCGTCTTCTCTAGCTGGATTGTGTTGATCCACTTGTAATCGCGCGGGTCACCGACATAATCGAAGTGGTAGTAGACGCCAGCACCACCGCTGCGGTCAGTCTCGTTCACCAAAGGCAGCCTTCGGACATTGCCCCAGTTATCGTCCGCCCAGAGAAGAGTAATGTCCTCGGGCACGACAAGACCCTTCTCCTGATACGACTGGACTTCCTTATACAGGCACCACAATGATGGGACCTCCGCCGCACTGTCGATTTCAAGTCCTTCTTCAATGATGTTTCGCTGATTGGCCACAAGCTCTTCAAGCATCTTGACAATGCCCTCAACTCCCAAGTTGCCCTCAATAGCAGTGTCACCCGTGCCGCGCATGGCCATGGTCCACAAGCTGTTGCGAGCGTAGGGCTTAGCGCGCTGCACTCCATACCGGAAGTAGTCGTCAATGGTCTTGTTATTGAGGTTGTATGCCCATTGACCCTGGTAGAATGTTCTGAACTCGTTTTGAGCGCGCATGAGAGGCTCGGTATGAGAGCCACCGAGAACGACTTCGTATGCGTCGAGGAGAGGTTGGTTCAGCGGGTCGTCGACGTAGACCATGCTTCCCCAGAGCGTAGGCCAGAGATAGTTGGCGCGGAGACGTAGCAGAAGCTCGCTGACGAGACTGTAAAAGTGGTAGTTGTATCCGGCGGCATCGTTCCAGGTGTCGTTCCACTTGGTTCTTTTCGCATATTAGCATTGTTCTTTCTGAGAGAAAGCGACTGACTTACGAGACCCAGCTAGATAGACCTGGCTGCTCATCGTTGATGAAGAAACCACGGTACTTGACCGCGGGAGATCCCTGAACCTTACGTTCGGGCAGGACGTAGATCTCGGTCGCTTTCTTGGACGGCACATCGGCCCAAAAGTACCATGGGCTGACCCCTATCTGCTCGCTCACGTCGTAGATACCGTAGATGGTACCTCGGGGGTCGCTACCGGCAATGACAAGAGCCCGGGAGCATCCCGGAATGGGCTCGTCGATCAGTTGACTGACAAATGACTCCCACTGTCCCTCGACCTCACTGATATTGAGTTTCTGAGCCTTGATGAGGCCATCAATGGCCTTTGAATGACCAATGGTGCCGGCAATGATAACGGTGCGATCGGGGGCGGAATTGGTGTAGTTGGGGCCGGAGAATGACTGCTCGTCTAAGACTCGGTACTATGAAGAACGATCAGCTTCCGGGTTCTTCTTAGATGACACGCTCTCTACAGTCATCGTGAAGAACTGGACCATGTCCCTCTGTGGCAAAGAGAGGCAAACTCACGATAGTGTTGTTGGTGACATCCACCGGTGAGAAGGTGTAAAGAGCAGGCTTGGAGCTGTTTCCACCATTGCTGAGCGTGTAATTTGTGCCAGTGACCCGACCAAAATCCACGGCCAGGTCGCCGGCAGCTCGGATGACTCCCCAAAAATCGTCGTCTGATACCAGAATTTGACCTGTCCCTACGTCTCCTCCGGCAATTTGAAAGCTGCCTGAAGCATTCTCGAACGACACGATCGGTTGCTGTCCCAATGCCAAAATCAAGGGGGCTAGGCTTGACAGGACCACAAGGGATGTTGACTTGAGGTTGACGAACGCCATGACTCTGGGTTTGCGAGGCTCCCGCCTATATGAGATTCACTCGCAAAAGGGCAATGTCACGTTCAGAGAGAAGCCTACAGATACATCATCCAGAGGAAAGGGCTGCCACTTCTATTAAATACACAAACATGCGTCCAATAGCGCGTAAGTCCTTCAATCCTCGGATCAGGAACGGTTGGAGACCCCAGACCAGGATGACGCTTCCATGGGGAAATCAAATTGAACAGGCATGGTAAGGTGGGATCGACTGATGGCATTGAACGGTACGGAATACCACAAGCTAGAATACATGGAGAACCACCAATAAAGGCACGAGAACCGCCTCCATGGATGGCCGGGGACGGATGACACCAACCAAGATGGGATGACGGTGCCTGACCAACGGGTAGAAGGGACCATTTCCTGGGCCATCATGACAGACCGGAGCAAGGGCCGGCGATGTTAATCGTCCTCGATGTGGGAGAGGATACCTCTACTTTGCAGTAGGTAGGCTACGAGACCCCAGCCTCCAAAGTGCTTGAGTCGAGCTTCCCCGCAGCGCGGCGCGGCCGGGTCCTCGAAGCGAGCGGCTTCCAAGACTCTTTTACCCCACGCCCGGCTCTGTTCGGGCCAGCCACACTTTGCCCATGAGCCGGTCCCGATTTAGGGCGTGAGCTTCGCCGTCCTCTCTAGAGGAATGAAGTCCGGTTTGATGGGCCCTTTGCTTTGGCTTCTTCTCCAAGAACGTTTTATTACTCGCCATCTTGTCCAGACTTGCGAAATAGAACAGGCCAGACTTTGGCGACGTTGAACTCTCTAAAGACATCGAAAGGGAGGAAACGTTTACCCCAAAAAGCATTAAGCTAGGTACTTTGGAGATTTGTTGAACCGCGTGATCTCACGGCAAAACTCACTGCGGGGAATTCACCAGTCGTGACATTGGAAGTGGAGAGTTGCATTTAGCCGCAAAGTGAACATCATCCCGGCCGCTAATTCGAGCACCAAGAATCGCCTTGTTTGCAGCGTTGCTACCCTGATTACCCGGTCACCCTAGCGTTATTGAGCAAAGTGGCAAGGAGGCCATCACCACGAGTAGCCCGAACGCTTGGGTTCATGGTGTGAGTTGGGGTTTTTCGGCATGTCTTGCCGTTCTCACACAAACAACAGTTCACATCTGGGTATATGTACTTGGTCAAACGCGTCACCACTCACGCAATCCCGGCTACTTCATGTCAAGTCGGTAGAATGCGAGTTTCGAACGAGTTATGTTTCTGTCAACCAATGCCTAATCTGCCTGGTTCACGCCAGATCGATAATGCAACATGAAGATGAACGCAGAACATGACTGGAGCCTCGAGAGAAGGAAACCTCGTCGACCGTTCGTGCTTCTGCCTCGATCCAAATACAATGTGTGATGACAGTCCCGTACTGAACAATGGTTGCAGACTTGGGCATCAGATTCGGCTTGTAAAGACCTGATTGATCCGTAAATCGACACATCATGTAATCACGAATCTCAGACAACCTCTCCTCGGCTTTGATGCCGAGTATCACTTGTGCGTATCTCATCAACTGCTCCAATTCGGTCCCTTTGACCGGATTCACGTCAAAAAGTGCTGCCCAAGGTCGACAACGCGAGCCATTCCACTGAAGGCCACAGATTATGCCCAGGGTAACCTTCTGTAATGGAAATCCGGATTGGATCTTGAAGCAATGCGTCCCAGCGAAGTTATCGAGGCCATGGCAGTCAAAGGCGAAGTCTGTGACGGACGATTGTATGCATGCCTCCACAGGGTTCACCGTCTTGGAAACACTAATGTTCTTGAGCTGCGAGTCGTACTCGAATCCGATCTTGGCTCCCATAAAGGATGCCGCCTCGTGCTTTACGATCGTATACTGTCTTGCGGATGCAGGCGTCGAACGTCTCCAGCGTGGCATTGGACCACTGTAATCTCGAGGGGTATGCGTACACCTGATCTGGAACAGCTCTGACAAACGTCGTCCCGACCTTGAGAAGCCAGATCGCAAGCCATTTTGGAGTCCCTTGCGTTCTGATAAAGGTTTCGAGACAATCAAGACTCAATGCGTAAAATGAGTCGGCACTGTTCACCGCTTCCGCAGCGGGGTTCGCTGAGAGCGTAAGCTTTTGGGCTTTGGCTTGGAGGCCGTTATTGGTGAGGGTAAAGTCGTTTCTGAATTGAAATCGACCCCGATGTCTCATGAGGGTAGAACAATGTGTAAGGTCTGCTGGAGACTCTGAAAAGACACCGCTCAGCCCTGGAGCAGAACCTGTCTTGGTAGTCGACCTTTTTCTGCCACGCAAAAAGGCTCAGATCGTTGGTCGCATTAGCGATGTATTCTTGAAGTCTTTGGAATGCTTTTGATCCCTCGCCGTACAGCAATGGCATGTTGATGTCGAATATGCCAAGGAGGCAGTAGGCAATGTCTTCGACTCTTGCGGCCTTGCGGCTGGCGGCCCAGGACATGCGACGTGCAATCGGGAGCGTTTGCAGGTCCGAGTTATCCTGCAAAATGCTCACTTCGACTCGTGTGATGTCTTGAACGATGGTTATGAGGTCGCTCTTCTCGCCTACAAAGTTCTATTTCTTATCGTAAAACTCGATTTGCTTCGAGGCTATCAACTCTTGCAGAGTCCAGCCCCGATAACACCAGCGGCACTTGGGTAGTTTTCTCTGAGATAATCGTAACGACACGTGCCCCTAAGCCCTTCGGGTATTGGACTAAGGTCTGCTAGGTAGACGTAACATTTTTCGGCTGGTTGAGCCTCAGTCAACTCGGCGCTGCTGCTCTTGTCATTGCAGCATGTGTCGACCCATGCGTACTTGAATCTAGAGCGAGCTACTTTGCAGGTCATCCTGACTTTGTTCCATCCGGTTTTTGTCTTTGCGCTGTTGAGATTCCACATGTGGTGGAACTCGACCTCTTGATTGCTCATGTGTGGGAGAGGGTGGCGTATGAGCGTGTGCCATTCTGTCGATGATCCGCAACGCGATACAATGTGGTTCCCTGTGTCGACCAGCCACATGGCCAAAGGCTGCGCACCAAAGTTCTGGGTACTACAAGAGAAAGGCCGCAATACTAGAAAGTATAATGGGCGATCTGAGAAAGACGAACCATGCGTCGTTTGTACGATCCTGTCAGGCAAGGTAAGCAGACTGCAGCCCCTCATCTCATACATGACTTCACACTGATGCGGATGCCTGTGTACAGCTTAGAGATCATCCTGGCTTCTTCGTCCTCAGCACCGAAAACAACAATTTCGAGTCACTGTTAACGACGATTGTCGAAACGCAAAACCTATCATTCTGTTCAGCGTCACAGCCTGCGATGAGTACAGTGACGGAATTTCAGTGCATTCCTTACAGTCTTTATGTACATCCCAAAACCAGCTACGCCGTTGAAACTCCGCTCCGGAGGGATGCCGTTGTCGTCCCGAGTCTCGAAAATCGTGTCATTCGGTGAAAGCCTGTCGCAGTGACACGTGCCATGATTGGGATGCATCCGTGTCGCAACGTCCCTATTCGCCGCCATCCAAATATTCCAATGCCAGTCATTACTTTCCTACGATGCTGGGGGCACGTAGGCGTATCTTGGTATTTGCGCCATGCGCTCCTCAGGGCTGACCTCTGTGTCTGCATAAAACATCCTGCCGTTCTTATCCTTCTTGGACTTCTTGTCGCCTGCGGCCTCCTCACCTGCTTCGTCGTCGGCCTTCTTGGTCGGCTTAATACCGGATTCAGCTCTACGGATGAGCTCATCGATTTCGTCTCCATGATGCGCCGCTCCAGAGACAAGCTCATCCACAGTGGATGCTCCGGGAAAGCCAGGCGGCGGTGCGCCAGAGCCGTTCCAGAACTGGCCGCCATGTTGGGGTGGCCGTTGAGGTAGGCCAGGCATGGCTTGGAGGCCACTCGTCGGTCTTGCGGGAAGAGAAGATGCAGAGAAACCGCCAAAGTTGCCTTGCTGGTAGCCCTGTTGAGGGTAAGCCGGAGCGCCGGGGGCAGCACCAGGCGGGTAGTTCTGGTCGGGGGAAGCACCGTAGGGCGCTTGCGGCGGGGGGTACGGTGAATTGTTCTGGGACGGTTGGTTAGTTCAGAGCTATACATGTACAATACTATCGATAGATGTTCACTTACGAATGCACCCGGACTTGCGCTTGCAGGAGCGCCATTGGCAGGGCTGCCACTGGTAGCGGGAGGGTGCCCGGCGGCCACTCTTGCGCGGTGCTCAGCAAGGCGAGCCTTCAACTCTTCGGGAGTCTCGACCTTGAGCTTCTTTCTAGGCTGCTTCGACTGTCCAGGCAAGGGGTTTCCGGTGGCAACCCTGCGGTCCTCTTGGGCCTGGTAGAAGTTCTGGATGATGCGATTTCTGTGCTGATCCAGGATATCCTGGGGGATACCCTCCATGCCGAAGATCTCCACATCCAGGCCTTGTCGGTTCGGTAGCGCATTCTCGACTTGGGTGAGGGTTTCCTTGTGGACTTGGTTCAGATGGACGGAGAGACCTGCGCGACAAGAGACGTTAGCTTGCGATGCCATAGAGGTGACTAGCGTATGCTGAGCTGACCTCCAGCGGTATTGAGTCGGCGACCGCATCTATCGCACTTGAAGTGCTTGGCTTTCTGATGAGAGATGAGAAGCTTCAGATCCTCAAAATCACGCTCGCCTGCGAGCAAGTCAGCAACACGCGCTCAAATACAAGACGCGAAAGGCAATTGATGCGTACAGTAGTAGCACCACGGCCGGGAGAGGACGTCCTCGACGTCGGGGTGTCCGCGCTTCTTCTTGCCCATCGCGACGACTAGTGATTAAGCGATATTCGAGACGGCCCTGAACCTGAGGAAATCCGTGATTTCGAGACGGTTGCCTGGTGAGAATGGTGTCGAGTGGGATGCGGCAGAGAAGAGTGACGTTCGCGGAGAGGTACCGTGGCAGGCTGAAGAAGGGATTTGACGCGAGCTTGCTCAACCAGCAATTCACTGCACCTGCGCCGAGTTGACGGCAATTGGGCGCTAGTCCGGGTTTGGCCTAGCTCTATAGGTCGGTTCTGATTGGCTGTTTCATCCCTGGGCCCCATACAGTGAATATTGCTCTAGATGATATTTACACCGTCTAATTGCACAGTACGACTCGGCCCCGGGCTTGGACCAAACGGCGGCCGAGTCTCGACGATCCTCGCATCAATCAGCTCAGTCATCTCACAACGACAAGCCATGAAATAACCACGCTCATCCACCCAAGCAAATCTCTCTCACAACTTTTGAGTCCCTGAGAATCATTCATTGTAGACTATACAGCCTCTTGACCTGATTTGAATCGAAATATCACCACCTGGAAACTCCGTCTTCCTGCAACAAACATCGAATGGTCCGTGTCCGGGATTCCTACCTGGGGACAAAATAGAGAATTCGATGCGGTTCCCCTAACAATTTGACGGTAGATTTGACGAAACCTCTTCGATAAGATGTCGCGGCGTGTACCAGATGAGCTCTGGGTGTATATCCTTTCATATCTACCAACCTTCAATTCTCTCAGAGATGCAGCCCTCACCTCTTCAACGTGGCTCCGATGCGCCTCATCAGCATGCCGACAGGTGCTTCTAAATGAGATTGGCCACCTCTCACTTCCTTATGCTGTAATGGCGCTAGAGTCCTCCAAAATCGACTCAAAAGACCTCGATCTGGTTGCCGCCTTTAGTGACGAATATCTCAAGAGACGGCTGCGCACTCCTCCCACCATCAGCTTATCAGACGGCTACCGACTGGCAGATTTGCACCATTGCGTTAGCCATTTGGGATCCAAGTTCCAGGGCATGGCGCTACATCATCTCATGAAAGAGCAATGTAGTCTCGCCAATGATCGTCCTGACTGGCCCGATGCACCTTCTTCGGCTGAGAAGCCAACAGACGCCGAAGCTGCTCGTTTTCAGAGAGCCATCTACCGATTAGAGGTGTACTGCAAGCTCTTCAAGGACCCCGAAGTTGTACGGTTCAATCTGGACGTTGTGAACTTCCAGAGAGCGCACTTTTTTGATTACCTGTCACTTTGGGAGATTGAACAACTGGTTGCGACACGCGACTTTCTTGTAGCGTTCGTCATTGGTCCTCGTAAGTTGGTTAACAGCCCTCGATCTCTATGCAATGTTGACAATCCTTTCTAGCATTGCGTGCACTCGTGGAGCTTCGTAAGATTGAGGCTCTGCAAACACATCATTGTGGCCCGAGGAACGGGGCCCAGGTTGTGTACTGGACCGCCCCAATTCTACCTCCCAATTTGGAGCGCGGCGATTGCCACATCAATCAGAATCAGGCTCGGCTACTTTGCTTTGGAGTCAAGTTTCTCTACAGTGTCGATACCTCGCCGCCAACCCAGTTCTACCAATTACTTCTTAATCTCCCGCAACAGCCGCGCTACGCCAGTTACAACCGAGTTGGCGAGATTTACTCATGGCTCACTGATGCCGTTGACAGATGCGTGGAAATGAGCAATTTGGAACTCCCGATTAGGAAGGCTCTGTCGTCCTATACTCCGGATGAGTACAAGAAGTATGTACGGCAGTCCCTGGTGAGGGAGGACGCCGATAAAGGCCCCGAAGAAGCCTGGAATTGGGCGTATCAGTCTTTTCCGGGGTCAACCTGCAACGATCCTCGGATGACGAACTGTCGTCTCTTTGGCCTTTTCTTCTGGGACTCTGCTCGGCTCAACACCATCAACTTCTTCACCCGTGTCGACGTGTGGTGGTGGAGATGGGAAGGGGCCCGGCAGCCTGACGTTGACTGGGAAGTCGAAGCGACCGTACCCCCGGCGTCCTTGTGGTGACAGTAGTCTCACGTGTGCTTCTTCCAGCAATTGGGAATCTCGAGCTGCAAAGAGGGTGCGCCTCAGGTCAGCGTAAGATCACATGACTGATGTGCCACATTCAGTCCAGCTAGGACTGACCTCTCGCAACAAGCAGGTCTCTGAAAACATGTACGGCGAGCATTGCACTCCTAGACCGGACGAAAGAAACACATTGTTATCTGGACCGCAAACTTGCAAGTGGTGATACACTCAAACTGGGGCATCGACAAAAGGCAAGAGCCAAGATTGCTGGAACAACGACTAAGAAAGAGACGACAGAAGGGCGAAGGCAACTTGGCCTTGGATATTTAAAAGGCTCCGGGCTCCGGGCTCCGGGGAGAAACATCGACTTCGACTGCAGCGGGGAGTGAAACAATGAGAGAAACTGAAAAGGCAAAGAAAGAAGACGGAAGTCGAGACATGTGTCCAGCATCACCCGTCATCGTCCAGAAGGCTCAACGACATCCAGCAACCTCAAGTCAGCTCCATCTGGCTTTGTGAGGCATTGCACGACTCAATGACACCAACGATGAGGACCAGAGAGATGGCATCCAACTTGGATGTAAGAAGGAAGAGGGTCGGTCTAGTGCGGGCCCGGGTTCCGTGTCGGGGTCGGTGGCACGCAACGGGGGAAGTGGTATACTGCCCCCTGATTGGTCACCTGGAGGAGAGAGCAGCCCGGGGGAACACTTACCATATAAAAGCCTCGGGCTTCCCACCACCCTCCATCTCACATCCTCTCCTCCTCCCCTCTTCTTTCTTCCATGCCATCAGAGAAACTTCTCCAACGGCCCAAATTGCCCTTTGACATTCGGTTTCCATCCCGGACAGGTCCCTGTACCCCAGCAGAGCCCTTCTCAGACTTCTCAGACTTCCCTTGGCACACACTACCTCTGCATCGCCCCGAAGGAGATACCACAGGCCATCATCCTCCATCTCATCCACCTCATAAACTCACCCACTTCCTCATCCCAAAAGTTCATCAACCGTCACTAGCTCCATCAAAAGCATCTTCAATCCTGTTCACCACGCCTCATCAAGATAGCATCATGGCTTTCTTGCCTCTCAACTTTGATACCCACCCAGACTTCACCACTGTGCCACGACCCAAATCTCCAATGAGTCCAGGACGTCAAATATACTCAGCAATGGTGCCATCGCGGGAAAGCACTTCCCCTCATAGCCACAGACGCAGTCAAGCTCATGCCAGAACATGTGATCGACGCTCGCCAATGTCCCCGACACAGACGTCAAAGCAGGCATACTACCCTGCCGACTACTCAGGAAGCGTCTTGTCCAATCCCATATCTGATGAGCAGCTGTACAGCATGCCGCCATCTCCACGGCCGAGACACCAACCTCTGTCATACCGACGAAGTCCTGGGCCCGTATCGCAGAGACGGAGGCGCAGCCGGGATCATGACAGTCTTATCGCAATGGGATCATGGACGAGCCAAAGCATTCGCGATGAAGAACCATGTGCAAGATACGGTCGTGAAAGATGTAGCAGTAGCCTCCACGACGGCGACTTTTTGGCCAAGAATACGCCGTATGATGATTTCATTCTCTTCCCTGACGGTGCTGAAAATGACATATACGAGGACTTCGCATCGCCCGCTCAATCATCATCAGCTCCCAGGGCTCCCCGCATCACCAGGCTCCGCACACCAGACCTGGCGCCGCTGTCGACGGATGTCCAATTCTTCCCCTGCCTCGGCGATGAAGCTGAGCGAGACAGGATTAATGAGGCTTGGTACATTGCCAGTCGGGAGAGGGTTGCGTCACAATGTCAGTGCTCTAACCAAAAACTCACGATATTGCACCGTGATGTGTCATTTCCCGGAGCTCAATTGCTAACTTTGATACAGTGGATGATGCCTTGGCTTACATGGCGGCCGTGGAGGGGCGCAGTCGCACACGAAGAGGGTAAGAACACTCCAGGAGGGCTAGTTGGATTAATTCCGTGATGAAATTAGGCGAAGCTTTTTGTCTGTTGATGAAATTGATTGAGATGGCTGAGATGTGGATGACTGTTACCGGAATTGGCGTTCTAGTATATGGCGCTTGGGCAATAGGTACGTCCAGATTAAATGGACAGGGTGACAGACAACCCATAATCGATGATGTTCTGAACAATGAATATGGAACTCTTCAAGATAATCGCTCTCGTCTGCTTGCACCACGATGTTTGAATTGAGAGGTATCTGAAGCCATTGTCAATCAAGGTATAGAGAATCTTGCTGTTACACGGCAAGGGAGGCCGCCGGACCTCAGCGAGCAAAGCAAGACCAAGGTAAGGTATAAGTCAGAATCAAAACGAAGTCCGTGTGTCGTGTCGTAGTTTGTGTCCATAAACGAGACTAGGGATGGAAGCGGGAGTAAAGGTGAAGATAGAATCCCCCAAAACCACTTACACGGGCTGGGCCCGAAGAACGACGAGTTCGAGGGACCATGAGAGGACGGAAGGGACGTAAAAGTTGGGGGGAGGGAGTGACGTTGAGTGAGAGCGGCCGGGGTCCCTGCAGTCTGCCTTACGTAAGGTACTTGCTGACTAACAAAGATTTTTCCTCACCGAAGGCATCCGTGCTCACCGAGCTGCCTTCACCTTCGTGCGGACCTCGCGAGCAAGACAATGATGCCTCGTGGCACCTGACCTACTAGGAAGTATGCAAAAGGACAGAAGAGTTTGATTATATTAGATCCCATGCTCACAAAACTTTTGAGAGGATGATACTCGCGAAAAGGATTGAAATTGAGCGAGTAGGGACTTTTACAGATGTTTGAGTCTGTTTCGCAATTCAAAGTCCAACTTTGTCAACTACATGATGCTACTGTCATGATCCCTCAGCCTGTCAGCCACCAGTTTCCAGCGTTTTCTGAATTACTTGAAAAAACAGACTCGTTTCGAGAATTAAGTCTGGAATCAACCGATGTCCTGAGAAGTTCACGACTTGGTTCGCGGTGCACTAGCCTTACTGAATCACCTTTATTTGGATACTCGTCCCGATGATGGACAGTGCAACTACTCTGGGTATCACCAACGACTCGATTTCTTGGTCTATGCAAATCTCCTCCCCAACCCGGCGCTTTGCCTGGTTTAGCTCCGTCGACTTTTGTCAGGGAAGAAAGTGACCCGTGACATGTAACGAGGACCAGGGGGATGTCTCACCACGAGATTCGCTCGAACTCCAACGTTGGGCTCTACCTGGGACCGCAAGGCTAAAGCAGTAGATGCCGGCAAGCCCCAAACCGAGTAGCCTCTCTCCATGCTCTTCCTGACACAGTCTCGTAGTACGCCGGTGAACCTTTCGGCTGACGGATGCTGCACAATCCCCATCTCCTTGAAAAAGTGAGGGAAATTGTCAATCTCATGGAGACGGCGGACTTCGGTGGATAGTTGGAGAGCGGCACCGAGAGGGGGTGCGCCATGACGGTCGAAGAGCTCGTCCTGGATTTGCTTCAAGGTCTTGTCGTTGGATGGTCTCGCAATGCGGCGGAAGAGCTCGGAAAACATGAGGAGTCGGTAGGAGGTGCGATTTGCCTCAAATGTTTTCTTTAGACGATAACCCGAGACGTGATCTGGCTCAAGATAGCTCAACTCCGGCATATTGGAGCCCTTCTTGTCGAGCATCCAGACAACATTGCGCGTGATAGCCTCGGTGATGATCGCTTTTCTCATGGCCTCCGTCATATCAATATCGCTGATGAGGAGGTAGACCAGGAGGTGGCCAAGATTCGGACAAGCTATCTTGGAGGTCTTACCACTCATGAATCGCTTGATTTTGTTGTTGGCGTCGGTGACCAGTTGGGAATGCGCCGTCGCCAGGCAGAGGAGGAGGTGGAATAGATGAAAGTAAGACTCAATCGCCTTCTCCGATGCGTGCCGCAGTGTGCTTATCTGCGGAATCCTGACATTATCGTTGCCTCTGTATGCTGCGCCGCTAGGTGCTTTGCTTGCATCTACTTGATTTAGCCGCACAACAATATCATTCATGAAGGCGGCGAGTACCCCGACTGGAGAGCTGTTTGTGCTCGTTAACGAGATAGCCACGGCTAGACTATGCATCACGGGTACTACATAGTCCTGGACGGAGCGCCAGTGGCGGCGGCTTAGAGGCAGCGGAAGCCAGTGTTCGAAGGCGACGTTGTGGACAGAGAAGCGGACTCCCAGGTCCTGAAATGCTGGTAGAGAGATGAGATCGAACTCCGACTCGATGGTCCGCTTGCGTTTGGGGACCGTAACGCCGACTCCGAGCCTTGTATCTTGGAAGTTGGTTTTGGTGACGAAGCATTGGAGTTCTCTCAACCGGATAAGGTCATATGCGCGAATAATGTCTGCAATCCGCGGCAAAGCCTGTGAAAACGAGAGGAGATCCGCGAAGTCGAGTCTGTGGAGGGTTTCTAGCAGAAGCTCGTCCGGTAAAGCGGCCAAGATACATCCATGATGGTTCTCGAAGGTAGCCACTGCAGTCGCAATACTTGATGAGGAGAAGGGCGACGGCGGCGTTGGCAACAAGGCTTTTAGGGCGTGCCTTCGAGCTCTTCTAAAGTCTGCCTTGGTCTTGGTTCCGTCAAAGTCGCAGTGAGAGCACTTGAAGGTCTGCTGGCATTTGAGGCTCTCTTGCCGATACCACTCGAGAGGCTCGATGTAATCGCCGTCCGACTGCTCCAATGAGTCGCTACTGAAGAAACTCAACATCTGTATGGCAATGCCCTTCAGAGTATACGCCGGCGTGTATCCCTCGAACGTGTTGAGGATCGATGCGCAGATATAGGTTGCGAAGATGTTGGGATGGACCATTCGCGTGTTCATCTTGATGGTGGGAGCGACGAGAGGATAGCGGTCTCCGAAGTTGACGGTGGTGTGCATGGGCATCCAGCCCTCTGGCTGTAGAACAAGACATGCCCGGCGAATGTCGTTGTCTCTTGTATGCAAGGCCACTCGGGGATACGGGTTTCGCTGCAACTCGGCAAAGTCCTGAAGCAGTCGGCGTTGGAGGTGTGCAGCCATGGTAGAGAGAGGATGGTTGTTGATCCCTTTAGTTGATGGTGACGGAGACTGATGATCTAACGGAGGATGGAATTTGAGACTATTTTGCTTCGTTATGTATATGACAAAAGACTGAGGCCGCCTTTTCCTCAAGATTATTCTTCTGAAAGGTAGTTCGGGCTGAGTCAATCGGCGGATGTTGTAGTTTTACCTTGTTGGCGTGCCGTCGTTTGGCCTCACTTTTCGCAGAGGCCTCAACGGGGCAGCGCAGGCGCACAGCTAAGCACACGCCCACGATCCTTCCGAGAATCATCTTTCTTACACTGGTAGGTGCTGCATTGCCCCCAAACGCTGTTGCGTTTGCAGAATTAGGAGAAATAAAGTTCAGGCGCGGCCTCTCATTCCCGCTTGCCTATTGCATCCAGTCGGGTTCCGGTACTCGATCATGTTGTGCTTGATCCGTAATCTTGCAATATTTCGGGTAGAATGCGACGATCAATAAGACGCTCTCAAGATGACTCGAGTCCTTCCTACCAGCACTAATGGGCGGTCGCTCGGGATATTTGCAATAGATCAGAATGCCCTGAAATCATGTCACCGAGAGAAACAGCACGGCAGGTAGCAGAATACCAAGTGTAGATGATGTGCAGAAGAGGAAGAGGGCATTGTGAGGGACAGAGGAGAATTCGTGCCTCCTTTCTACTGTCTTGTTCCAAGCCCGTTTCTGAGCTCGTCTATGGTATCTTGATATCGAACAAACGCTCACTCTTTTGCTGTACCCTGTGGATTGCTCATTCGCAAACCAGGAGAGTGTTTCGCTAACCCCCCTATCAATGAGGGGGTGCCGGCGAGATCAAATCGCCGGCCAATGCCAAATTAACCCAGAGGTAATGCTCACCGCTACCCTAACGCCGCCAGTATGCAATGAGAAAAGGTGAGAGTGTCTCGACGAGTCCCTTTAGCCCCGCCGAGGTGATTGTTGCTTCATCTGTACCCTCCGTACATTCATAAATGTTGATTTAGTCTCAAAGGTCTCCGTCTTGGGATTCCAGAATCCCCAGACGTCGATCAGCACGAACCCCTTGGGTAGCTCACATTCGACGAAGCCCGAAACGAGAATGCAGCCACGCGGAGGAGACGGTCGCGTAGGCTTCCAAGACTGCGCCAGTTTCCGTCGAAATTCTCTTGCAGGGCCGTCGGTTATTTGCTTCATCCCCTCTATATGGGATATAGCAGTGTCCCTGACGAAGTTGGTTTTGCCGCCGCTCTCAGGCTCATCTGCCTGTGATGCGTCCGTTGTCTTGCTGACGTTGTGAGAGGCATTCTCTGCCGGCGTGCCATCAGGAGTCTGTCTGTTGGCGGACGGAAGAGGCCCCTGGGCTTTTTGTTGCATGTTGCCACCGCTGACTGATGGAAATGGTTGAAGAGGCTTGCTTGACTCGAAGCCAAGGGCTCGGGAAATGTCCATGTAGTGTTGTTTTACCAACGCACTCGTAAAAGCCCACGATGACACAGCCATAGCATCCGGCCAAAGTATCTTCTGTAGGCGTTTGACAGTCAAAGAATCAACGGGCTGAGTTGACCAGTACAGTCCATCGCCTTGTAGCAGTAATCTACAGCAGATTGTTAGTGGTTGGTTCGTCGCGAGGCATGGGTTGGTTTGATATCGCTTACCCTGAAGAGTAAAAGACCGGTGGTGGACGGTATGGGAAGTCAATATCCAACCAATATCTACGAAGCTTTACTGAGTTGCCACATCTGGCTGTGATTACAGGGTGCCTCTCGACCGAGGACTTTACCCAGCTGGCCAGATCGGCTAGTGACAGCGGTCAGTCACGAGGAAACCTGCAGTCGAGACTCGGGTAGGGACTTACAGCGGATTTGGGTCAGAGTTCCCTTTTGCTTGCTGAGCTTAACGAACTCTTGCCACTCGGGGTCGCTGCCTTTGTACGGCGGTTGGTTGACGGACTTTGTCGTGAAAGGGAATGGAATAAACCAGGGTTCGGCCTCCTCCTCTGCTATCTCTTCGTCGAGCGCCTTCTTTTCGGCCGGTGACAGCTTCTCGTATTCTCGGTCTACATGTCGGAAGAAGGGATTTAAAACGGTGGACCAGTAAATGTGCCAACACGCAAGCGAAATGCCTGCTCCGATGAGAAATGTTCTAGACATAAGATTAGAGGAAGCGCACTTAACAGAAATCAGTAAACTGTGGACATACCCGGCCCTGAATCTAGGTTTTGAAAGTTTGACCCTCTGTACTATGACTGTCTGTTGGCTGGGAATTTGTGGCGCGACTGCTCGAACAGCCAGGGTGCTCGCATTCGTTATGCCAGCGCGAGGTCGGAATACCCGCCACATCACTGTAGAGGGGGCTCGCCGAGCGCCGGCTGCCGAGGACGGGATCGAGACGAGTGGGTTTTCGGTGAGGGTTTGATGGAGTCTGATGAATGATGCTTTAGGTTCGGCGCGGTTCTTTCGATGGTGGATGGAAATGGATGGAGGATGGCAACGGCGGCGGCGGCGGCGGCGGTGATGGGATGGATGGCGACGAGGGGGTAACCATAGAAGCCTGTGAAGTCGCGGCTGTTGAAAGAATATTCAGGGCGCGATACGACAAAGCAACCTAAGCTGGCCTGGTGTATGACCGTAACTTCGTGGCGACCTGGGCAACTGCTTCGGTGTGCGACGGAGGACAACGTTGACTTGGAGGCAGGATGCGCTGCCACTGATCGTCTTTCGTACCAAACCAACGGGAGGTTCAAGATGCGTGGATGCGTTTCCTATCGGTACACAGTGTGACGAAGGCCCCTCCGATAACGTCCCGCCACTCTGTCGGGTGCCCGCTACATGAACCGTTGACTGTTGACCGAGGAATGCGGCAGCTGCAAATGGGCCCGGGGCTTACCTAAGGCAGCTCCCCAGCTGTCCCGGCAGGTAAGTACAGTGCAAAACGGAGGACAAGAAGCACGGACCGTCCGGAGGACCCTCCAAGTTCCGTCTCGGCAGGTCTCCACGAGAAAGCGATTACGTAAGCCTAATGAAGAGGACCTGGGTACCTTGGTAGGTAAGATAGGTCCACTTGCAGGCTCATCCGGAAGAACATTACTGCCGATCTCCGCTATTAGGACACGGGGATTGGATGGGCTTAGCCTGCAACGTGTGGCAGTAGCAACAGCGTGCAGGTGCAGCACTGTGAGCTCGACATCCTCGACGCACGCCGGAGCTTGGAGAGAGCAGCAAGCAGCATACAGCCGCATCCACAATCCTCCTCCCCTCCACGACATCATCATCGAATTCCCATCTACGAGCTCAAACCACATCAGACGATACCATGAAGCTCTTCGTAGGGCTTGCGGCTGCCCTGACCGGCGTCGCGACCGCGCTCTCCTCTGATCAGCCCGCTGACGTATATCTCCTGCAATCGAAGCAGCCTCCGAGCTCCGATATCCCATCATTACCACGACAGATTGTCCGCCTTATCCTCCTTCAACGTCTGTCCCCCGAGGGTCAACATGCATCCTGGGATCTTCCCGAGTCTATCTCCAACGAGAAGGCCGTTAGCTACTTGAACGAGTTCGGCAAGGCCCCTCAGGCCCTCTTCACCAATGCCGCCTCCACAAACCCGTCCCAGCTCGTCGTCATGCTCGAGGGCATCACTGCCGACGATGCCAAGACGCTCCAGAAGTCTCTTGCGACCTCTGGACCTACCTTCAGAGTTGGAGATGCTCCTTCCATTACAGCCAATGACATGTTGCTGGCGAACGACTTGCCGTCCGTTGGCGTTACCGCAAAGAACTGTGCTTTCGATAAAGCCATCAACCCCTTTGCCGAGCAATGTTGGAGTGGCAAGTCATCAGTCGTCAGATTTGATACCAAGAAGGTGAGCATCGAATAGCCTCCACAGGCGTTGCATGCTTCGCACAGAAACTAACGCTTTCCCCTTCTCAGGACTCGTCGATCCTCGTGTCCCTCACCGAGAACGCCACCCTTCTTAAGCAGCTTGCTGCCAATGGCGAGATGGAAACCGTCATCATTGCTATGCCCGAGTTGTCTCGCAACTCCGAGCTGCGTCATTGGTCCTCCAAGCCTGAGGAGCTCCGTCGTCGCCAAGCCGAGGAAGTTATGACTATGACCGAGACCGACGATCACGACCTGCCCGCTCCCACTACCCCAGTCCAGAGCACGGCGCCCTTCGTTGGAAACGCCGAGAGAGGCACCATTCCTTCTTGCTTTGGCTCGCAGGATGCCTGCGTCAAGGCCACTGGTAACTGTTCGGGTCACGGCGAGTGCTTGAATAAGTACGCCAGAGCGGATGGCCAGTCTGCCGGAACATGCTTTTCCTGCTTGTGCCTCGGAACTAAGAATGAGACGACGGGCAGTGTTACTCACTGGGGCGGCAAGACCTGCAGCAAGATTGATGTCAGCGTTCCCTTCTGGCTTTTTGTTGGTTTCGGTATCGCCATGGTCGGTACCCTGACCTTTGCTATTGGTCTGCTCTTCAGCGTTGGCGAGGAGAAGCTTCCGGGTGTCATTGGCGCTGGCGTCTCCAAGACCAAATAAGGATCGTCATTGAATGGTCATTTAACAATAGGGAAGGATGGGCCTTGACCTCGATCAAGGCAGGGTGATTGTGCTTATAATTGGCAAGTGGTAGTCTGTACCATAGGTGTATTCTCATGCGGCGTTGGCATTGGCAGGACTTTTCTCTCTTTATACGGAGAGGTTATTTCTTAGACAATCGAAAAGAATTGAAACTATGATAACAAAATTCCTCTTTCTCGTTTTAGGGTATCGAAATATGAAATGCTGTAGGTCCTAGCAGCGACACCTAGTCGACGTCTCCTACGTCCGGTCGCTTATTTGGTGTTGTTCCTAAGCTCTCGAGACCCCTTTCAACTCTCAGCTCGCTGGCCCCAGCATTCGTAATTTGCCTAGCTGGCGATTGCGTAGCCGATTCGGCTGACGCTCCGTTGCCCACGGCAGCGGTGTACTTTTGACCAGCTTCGTTGAGCAACTGCTGAACCTCATCCTTCCTGACCGTGATGCTGTCTTTCTCCTGTCTCAACTCACCCACCCGCTTCTTCTTCTCCGCAAGCTCGAGCTCCATGGCGCGCATTGTGGCCTGTAACCTCGAGAGACAATCTGTCAGACTTGGCAGCGGCGTGATCTTTGGCGGGACCTGTAGGAGCTGCTCGGCGGGATTGCGCTCGGGCTTCTCTAGGCCGTCCATTCCCGATCTTGTCTGTGCCGCCTCAAAGGCGGCGCGCCGTGCTGCCTCCGAAGCATCAGACTCATCACCCGAGTCTCCCTCGGCCATCTTGATCTGCTCAGCCATTTCGCGCCTGCGGCGTTGCTTCTCCTCCCTCTCGGCCCTCTTGCCCAGCGACAAGCCTCCGTCCTCGACAAAGTCGTCGAATCCTTCGCCGAGATCTTCGTCCTCAGCAACGAGGCGAGTTTCGGTCTTCTTCTTCCGTAGAGAGGTTCCGCCGTCCTCTGTGTCGTCAAAGGAGATAAAGTCCCCATCCTGCTCTTGCGCCAGCCGAGCCCGACGCTGCTTCCTCTCCTGGATCTCGGCTTCGGTAAGAATATTTGTCTGTGCTGGCCGAGATGCAAATTCATCCTGGTTGACTATCACCGCGCCCTCTAGCTCGGACGAGTCCAGATCCATCCCATCTTCATCTTCCATGCGCTGGGAAGTCAGATTCTGCGGCGTATTTGGCGTCTCGTTTTGTAGTTCGCTTAAGTACTCTTTGCTGTACTTTGGACGGTCTTCATCTTCGTCGCGGAATGACCGCATGGGTAACCGGTTCTTGATCGCGCTGTTCTCGAGTGCCTGGTGACCCAAGGTGGATTTCTTTGGAGTCGTGTACTCTGGCTTCGCTCCCTCGTCGCCATCGCCTCCAGCGCCGCCGAAAGACAGCCTCGAGGAGGACTGGCGCTTCTTTTGTTTCAGCGAACTCGATCGACTGACCGCGGGACGAATGACCACTGGCCCATCATCATCCTCGTCGTCCTGCGCCGTGACCCTGGGTTTGGGGTTGGGTTTCGTGGTTGCGCCGATCGCGACGCCGCCATTCGAGTCATCGGTTTCGTTGAAGTTGATGCTCTTGCGCAAAGCAGATTGACGAAATGGCTTTCTCGTAAATTTTACTGCTACCGGTTCACCCTCTAGAGACCCATTAGCCTTGCGAACTATATCAGCGCAAGGTCTCTGGAAGGGATCTGCAGACTCACCATCTTTCACTAGCGCTTGACCAGTTGGCGAAGCTTTTCCCGTGTCATATTCGTCGTCGTCAAGGACTTTGATTACTTTCGCTTTTCTTTTTGGCGTGAACGCACTCATTTTGTACAATTTGAGGTTGCAAATGTGACTTTTGTTGGTGTGATGTCAGTCGGGCAGGCAGTTGCGCGACCTCTCAAAAGGTGGAATCGATAACGAGCCGATAAGAAGTTTATCTCCACGTGACCCACCCAATTTTCCAGATAACGGTCTCCCTCGGTCAGGCTGAAGTGCAGGGAGCTCCGTCGCGTCGCAAAGCTCACTTCGCGCGACATCATCAAATCGGCACCCACCCATTGCATCGATTCCCGGCACTCTACACCCACCCACACAACTAGTCAAGATGGCGCCTGCACAGCCCGAGCTGAAGAAGGTACGGAAGCCCCGATTCCTCACAGACATACCAGTCTCCAGACCTGTTTGATGTACTGCCAGATAACGGAAGCCATGCAAGCTGCTTGGCCATTCCTCATTATCCCCAGTACTGTTTGAGAGTTCAGAAAGCTAACTTGTCCTCCAGTACCTTGACAAGAGACTGTTTGTGCAGCTCAACGGCAGCCGCAAGGTCATCGGTGTTCTCCGCGGTTACGATGTACGCAATCCCCCGACGATCTGCTTGGATGCAAACCCTGCTAACCTGTTGCACAGGTTTTCCTGAACATCGTGCTGGACGAGGCGGTCGAGGAGAAGGAGGGCGGCGAGAAGGTTCGGATAGGCATGGTGGTATGTTACAAAAGCCCCTCTTCAACCTGGCTTGGGCTATAGACACTAACACAGCAACAGGTCATCCGCGGCAACTCCGTTGTCATGCTGGAGGCTCTCGAGAGAATCGGCGGTGACGATCGCAACCACCAGCGGTAAACGAGGCATATTTGCCTAGTGGTCCACTTCCGCGAAAATGCAGCACATGTTTTAAGTTGGCGTTATGACGGCAAAAAGATGATTTTTGGTTTCAGAGACAAGGATGGGGATGAAATATGCTAGACAACAGCACAACGATGTCACATTCAAACGGTTCAGAAGTGGGAATGCGCAGCCTGCCATAGGACGGGATGGAGTGTGGCGTCTCTATTTTTCGAGACCGGCCCAGGTCTTCTCGTCATACCAGTCCATCATACGGCCGCCATACCTACGAACCCAGCCCTTGATGCCGCCTTTGAGGATGACGGCCTGCACGGTAGTTTCGCCGATCTCGTTGAAATAGTCCTGCAGCCAATTCGCTGACCGGGGACCACGACCATTGCTGCTTCCTGAGCGGCTTCAGCAAGAGAGGAAACGCCAAAAAGGGGTCTAGACAGTCAAAAAAGGCAAACGGCGGAACTCACCGCAGTAAAATACAACACGCTTGATACCAGCCTGCTTGCACAGCTGATGAATGATTGGCCTTGTCTGATAGAGGGATTGGGCCGGAAAGTTGATGGACGTTGAAATGGTGCCGCCTTCAAAGTCGTTGCGGCGCACATCAACAAGCAGGAAATCTCGGGATGTGTCGTTATCAGCCGCAGCTTGAGCCTCAAGCCACCCTATCACTTCGTCTGCCTCGATTTCCGGTGATGTGGCCCTGGGAGCGGGAAAGGCCGCCCACCATGGCGGGGTCTCTGGGGTTGCGGCTGCGGCCTCTACCATTGCGTGCTTCTCGTAGACCACTGAACCCAGCTCTGGTGTAACTTCAGGCTCTCTCTCTATTCAATGCGACGAGACGTCAGCCAGTTGTTCCTGGCGCTACGTGGTGATGTGTGACCGGTTTGTGGACAGAGGTTGTGCGTGCGGCAGATGCGATAGTGCGGGCGTTGAGTTGCGGGCGTAAGTTACCCCGGATTCTGTAATATGATCTGTACTTGGGTGATCGTGACCGATTTGACGGGAAAACGATGGGGGAGTTAACGGCCTTGGGCAGCTGAGAAGAGAGTCGCAGAGTCGCAGAGTCGCGGAAGCCATCAAGCGAGCCAAGCGGTGCGTTCAATCTGCAAAACTCTCGGCACTCTGCGATTGTGGAGATTTCCGCTCGGAATCTTCTGTCATTCCGGGGCATTTATTGGCTGTCAATGATGCCATTATACCAAAGGATGCTTTCTGCAACTTGGACCCTTGCGCCCGTCACACTCTATTCCCCATGGGAGCCAGTTCGCTCCCCGAAACTCTCGTATGCCAAGATGTATTTTGCTCAACTACATTCAACTACAACTATCACGACTCTTGGACACAAGTTGTTGGTTTCTTCTCTTTCCCTCCTCAAGTGTCTTGATTCTCTGAACAGCACCACCAACCAACCACCTTGCTTCCCCGCCCACATGCCGAGACTAAAACCAATGCATCTCTTATCTTTTCCCGTGGGATTCGGATCGGCTATCTCAGCCAATTAGTGGGGAGCTCGGCACTCCTGTCCACCTCAACCTTGAATTCCCCCGAAGCTGTGTTGTTGCGGTATTTGTCCTTATCTCAACTCGCTTCAAGCTTCCCTTAGGGGTCTCTACTCTCTTTTCTTCTGTCTTCCCCTCAAAGTTACGTTCCATTATTGATTCGCGGTTTCCAGGTTTCCGGCTGGCAAAGACAGAAACTTTCCCACCCAAATCCACATTACCTACAGCAATCTATTCCATGATTGTAAATCAACCTTGAGAGCAACCCGTTACCGGAGCCGGGCCGGTCAACTCACGCATACGAACCCGAGATACCACGAAGTTGTGGTCTTCTCTATTGGGCCTACCTAGCTACGGACATATCTTATCTTCCATTCTAGATATCGCAGCCTCACTCAAATTACTTATGTCAGAGAGAATGAATATGCCAAGCGGCGTAAGGCCGACTCCTCTGGTTTCTGCCTACGCATGGTCGTACACTTCGTTCAGTTACACAACTTGATCTCGGGCGAGCTTACGGTAGCTTCGACGGAACGCATTGCTAGATGTTTCGGATGTAAGACTGCACCGCCATCACCGCAAAGTCCGCCAGGCAACGCTGGCCATCACATCGGAGTAGATGACTTCAATCTATGACTCTCCCGGAGTGAGCAGGTAAACTGCAAGTCCACTGCCAACATCCCTGACATCCCCGTCTATCCCATGATCCCCATCTGCCATGTTCATCCCAAGGGCGCGAAGAGACGAACTAAGGCACCGACAATATAGCTATGGTAGATGAACAAGCTGATAGGTCACCGGTCTCGGTAACCTTGAACCTACACACAATCCTTCGCCCTCTTTCTCCTCTTCCCCCACCGCGGCCTCCGGAGGCTAAGACTCCAAGAGAACGGGGCCATCGTATACTGCATGGGTTCGTTCGCCCCGCCAAACACGTTGAATTCGGCCGCTATGGCTTCTCGACCCTATCTTCCTGCCTGCACCGCACCGCCTCCACTGATAACGTCCAACATCCAATGACTCGGATCCTCTAGACAGACGACATCCGCCCGTGTGCGACGTCAGTCTGCATGGCAACCACATGGTGAGCCATGGAAGTGCCCTTTCGTTGACATTTCTCACCTGCTTCTTCTGGCATAGCTGATGCTTTCAATAAGGGAAGAAAAGCAAAAGGCGCGGGAAAGTCTCCGATGGAGCCCAGGCTTGCCGAATATTGTTCCAGTACCAGCTATCCTTGACGTCGTATCTGCCGTCGTCTAAGTGTCACTTGTAGTGTAAGCGGTCCGGCACCGCCAAGTCCCAACCGGTTGTCATCCGATGACCAATATTGTAGTGTTCATGGATTGGGCACCGATGGTACGGTTCATGCTGTGGCCATCGGCCGCGTTCTCGAGGCTACACCGGGATCGATGTCAACTTGACGACCGTCCGGGTAGTGGCCGGCGTCTTACTCGTTACCGGCGTACTATCATCGACACCTGTGCCTGACTATAAAGAGGTGCGGGCGCATCTTTGACAAGGAGACGAGGAATTTCTAGAGATTCATCCTCACGCCAAGCTTACCCCGGATTCTCTCTGATCAGCCTTCTCCATTTACAATGGCTCGGTGGTTCCTCTCTTTCGTTGCCGGAAGCGCCCTTGCGGCGGCTTCTGGACTTCCCATGAAGCTCGAGACAAGGAGCGCAGTCACCTCCCGCGTATCCAATATTCACATCACTCTCGAGGAGCCCATCGAGGAGACCGTCACATTCACCTACGGCTCATGCCGGGGGGCCTCAATGGGCGATGCTCACCACACCATCGTCAAGTCAGAGGTACGCGACTCTCAGCGTCTCGTCTGGGTCCTCCCCGAGGATGCTGCCACCGATGGATGCATCTCTGCGTGGAGTGTTTCTGGCGAGTTGAAGGGCCGGAGTGAACCCCAGACTCTTCACCACAAGTGGAAGCGTCGGGCTCTGAAGAGATGTAGGTGTGCTCACAACGATGATGTATTATCTCATGATCTAACGCGCTATAGCTATTGAGATGAACAACGGCACCGGCATCGACACGCTCGGAGCTTGGTTTGAGGGTGTCAACCTCCTCAAGGACAAGGAGCCTACCACTGTGGATGTCGACGCCGCCAAGTCCAAGCACGTCGCTATTGTCGGCGCCGGAATGGCTGGTCTGATGAGTTACCTCGTCCTCTCGCAGGCGGGCATGACCAACATCAGCATCATCGAGGCTGGTCAGCGTCTGGGAGGCCGTGTACACACTGAGTACCTCAGTGGTGGTCCCTTTGACTACTCCTACCAGGAGATGGGTCCCATGCGCTTCCCTGAGCACTACGTCGACCCCAAGACCAACACCACCTACAACATTACTGATCACCAGCTCGTCTTCCAGCTTGCCGCGGAGATGAACGAGCTTAACAAGCACGACAAGAACCTTAGCGTCGACTTCATCCCCTGGATTCAGAGCAACCAGAACGGTCTGTCCTACAAGAACGGCATCAAGCTACCCAACGGTCTGCCCCCTACTCTGGCTCAGATCGCCGCCAACTCATCTCTGGCTGTCGTCACTGCCTACGATGAGTCTACCAACACCCTCAATGAGAAGGTCGACGAGTATCTTCCTGGAAGTGACTTTTCTGTCCGCATGGCTCAGAACATGTTCAAGGCCCACCGCGAGTTCCTCGACTCTGGTCTCCAGGGTCTCGGTGGCGATGTCTGGTCCGAGTATGCCTTCATGGTGAACTACCTGAAGGGCTCTCTCAACGACACGGATGCCCTGGGCAGCTATACCGCCACCTCGTTCTGGGACACTCTCTACGAGGGCATGTACTTCCAGGCTGCTTCTTACAAGACCATCGACGGCGGTCTCAGCCGTCTCCCGTTGGCCTTCCACCCTCTCGTTGATGACATCACCACCATGGACCGCAAAATTGAGCGGGTACGGTTCGACTCGGAGGCGTCCAAGGTCAACCTCCAGTGGCGCGAGTCCTTCAAGAATCAGACCTTTGAGACCTCCGAGTATGACTACGCCTTGCTGGCTGTTCCCTTCTCCATTATTCGCAAGTGGCGCCTCCCCTCCCTTCCTTTGACCATCTCCAACGCCATCAAGGAGCTTCCCTACACCAGCGCCTGCAAGGTCGCCCTCGAGTTCTCCGAGCGCTTCTGGGAGCACTACGAAAACCCCATCGTCGGCGGCTGCAGTACCACCTCTGACATTGCTGGTATCGGCTCCACGTGCTACCCCTCGTACAACATCAACGGCACCGGCAAGGCCACCATGTTGGCCTCATACATCTCGGGTGACTGGGGCCACCGCTGGGCTTCCGTCTCGGAGGAAGAGCACGTCCAGTACGTTCTCGATGCCATGGTTGAGATCCACGGCGAGAACACCCGTGAGCTGTACACGGGCAAGTACAACCGCCGCTGCTGGGTTCTCGACCCCCTTGAGAGCGGTAGCTGGGTCAGCCCCGTCGCCGGCCAGCATCAACTTTACATCCCTGAGTACTTCAAGACGTACGACAACGTAAGTTATGACATGCTCTTGGCCAGATTACCGAGAAAAGAAGAGAATGTTAACAATGGAATCAGATGATCTTCATTGGCGAGCACACTTCCTACACCCACGCCTGGATCGCCTCTGCTCTCGACTCTGGAATCCGCGGGTCTGTGCAGCTGCTTCTCGAGCTTGGCCTTGTTGATGAGGCTAAGGCTGCTGTCAACAAGTGGATGGCTAGATGGATCGATATTGTAAGCTCAAGTTATCAATTACACGGTGATGCGCCGTTGCTAACCTCAATGACTAGTGATCAAAAATAACGATAATAACTGTTGGAAACCCGAAAACAATGGGTTCGGGAGGGACTGATTTGTCGCCGAGGAATGGCAGTACATAATCTTACATAGTGTGACGATTAACGAATAATATATCAATGACATCTCATCCCATATTGCCTTCCAAAACCACCATCTGCACGCGCCTCTGCAGCGCGTCTGTATCTCACTGGAGGCGTTCGATGAACAGAACCACCAACAACGCACATTCACAACGATTCCCATAAAATAAACGGAGACAACACACATGACCATTCCCAACTAGCCTCCCTGTCAAATCTGCATGCAGCTGAACGTATTAGAAATCGATTTTGGGCTCAGCCTTGCAGATATGATCATCGTCCGATGCCGCGTCGCACGGTTGGAGCAGGGATTCGGCCGGACCCGGAACACGATAGTTCCAGTCGGCATCTGCTGACAACGCCGCAATTGTGCAGCGCCAACCCGATCCTTCGGCAGAGTTTTCAATATGCATTAGAAGCTGCCGCTTCATCATCTAGAGCTTCTGTGCTTGACATGTTTCGCCTTTCAGTGTCCCGAATACTCGTAAGAGTGAGCTCTCGTATCGATATTGAAGCGAATGTTCCTTTATGATGAGCTATGCTATACATCATTCGGCGTGGGCAGGATGTGCCATATGAGGTTAGCCCAGCGAGTTACCCGAGCAACTCGTTCTTTTCCTCCTGAAGTCTACGCTCGCTCGTCTCAAACAAGCGCGGAACACCAGACTGCGAAAACGGCACACCATCCCGTACGATCTTTGCCAACCCCCTGGCTGTCAACAGGATGAATGACATGCCATGCCCGTTGAAACCCGCGCAGATATATTGCCCCGGTTTTGAGGGAACAGGCCCGACATGGGGGTATGTATCGTTGGTGTACTAAGCCCGTTTGTGTCAGTCATTCGCGCTTTCAGATCATCGCTCGCGTCCACCAAGTAGGTACGCGGGGCGCAGCAAGACTCACCCCCATGATTCCCGTCCAGATACTGTTAACTTTGGCCCCGCTGTTCTCCCACCCACGGAAATTCCTCTGCATGTGGTCATCAAAGTAGTGAGCAGCGGGTTCAATGAGCTTCGAATCGTCCCAGACGTTGTACCATTCCTTTACGCGTGGGATGACCTCGGTCCTAGCGCCGCCGACGACAACGCTACCGTCCGGCCGCGTGACTTGGTAGTCGTATAGATTGGTACCATGTCGTAGCGAATATGTCATGGGGAGATGTGGATGCTCGGCGCCGTCGGGAGCACCCACATGGCTGCAGATCCCGCGGACGGGGATGATGCGGTTCTTGTACTCTGGGAGGATCGTTGACGTATACCCATTGGAAGCATAAATGACCGTCTTTGCCTTAATGACACCTCTGGGCGTATTTACGTTCCAGAAGCCGCCCTCTTGGGAGTCGGAAACTTTGGTTACGGGCGTGTGAGTGTGCAACTGGGCTCCCTTGTCGACAGCTTGGGACAGGAGGAACAGAACCAGCTTGTAGGGCATAGGCGAGGGTCAGCTTTGGCGTTGGTGTCAACAACAGGATGATAGCAGACTATACCAGATTGAGCCCGCCTGGAACGAAAAGACAGCGGTTGCACCCTTCACGCCAGAGAATGTCGCGGCCTCCTTGCCTTCGAGGTAATGAACAAGCTTTGCCGTTGGCGAACCCCACTGCAGGAGCTCATCCAGCCCTTCTTTGATTGGCTTTGCAAGTGCCGGGTCTCTCAAGACAGCCATGGATGTAGTCATCCGAAAGTCGCAATCAATCTCCTTTTCCTGAACTAGGTCTCTCACGGCATGAAGATTGGCCAGCTCAAACAGCGCCATCTCATCCGCTGTCTCTTGGTCATATCGTTTGGCACGAGCGGGAAGGCCGGCATAGAGATCTGGCCTGACATGACCGCCTTGCTGATGTTAGCATGGAAGAATCTTCTACGCTGCGAAGAGGGATCTACCGTTGCGGGCTGTTGCGCCCGAGCATGCTTGCCTGGCTTCGAGGATCGTGACAGTCGGACGTGATGAGGGATCGGTGCCATCCAAGAGGTAGTACGCCAGAGCTGCACCGGAGTATCCGGCGCCAATAATGACAATGTCCTGTTCCATCGGCAGTGTTTCGGAACTCTGATGGCTGTCGAGAGGGTGCAGCTCCTTGCGCCAGTAAGGAGTGATGGCATTGGGGACAGGGAACGGAGTCTCGGACATTTTGGAGGGATTTGGACAGTAGTGTGGATGGAGGTCAAGATGCTGTGACAACTCGAATGCAGATCTAAGACAATGAAGACACGAACAAGTACGAAAGATGAGTATACGAGATGGGATTGTTATTGCTAGTAGGCACCTTTGTTACCTTGAGGTAAGGTGGTCATAGACTGATAAGACGTCGGGGTAGTTTGGGTTAGAAGGTGCTCCGAGATAGGCAAGCAAATGCCGAAAACGCGGGGTCGTGTTTGCCAGCTCCGACTCGGAGCCGACTGGGATCTTACACAGACCCGGGCCGGCTAAACCGGGGCCTTGCCGGGTGGCATCTCGGGAAGGCTGCTGTCTCACTCCGGGAACATCGGAGGCACTAAGGCGAGATCATGCAGCACGCGGTAAGGGGGTCAATTCACCAGCTTACACTCCATTGTCTTTACTGACAACCTTGTTTTCAAACTTCAACTTTAACTTCAACTAACACTGCCAGTTCCGTTCAAACAATGCCCGTTTCTTTGTCCACTCTCGCCACTCAACTCTGGGGATCGCGGCCCCTTGCTTGCTAATTACCTTGCCTGACTCGCGCAATCGCACGTTCTGCGGCCTGTCCCAGCCCAGCACGCTAAAGTCGTTCACTCGGTACAGATGCATCGGGCATCCGGCACGCTACTGCAAAACGCTACGACACCTTTGGGGGCCTCATGGACGGACGACATGCCACGCCCCTGACCCTGCACCTGTCATCTGTCAAGTCTGCGACCCTTCGGAACTTTCACGATGGCTCACCGCCGACATGTCAATCTGTCTGACAGGCCACGAGGCTTGAAACCTTGTTGGCGGGGAATGCACCCTGACCAGGAAACTGCGCCGTTGTTACTATCGACCTCACCGCTCGTTATCAGGTATCATCGTCGGGAACTTTGCTGGATTCTCCAATTTTTGCAATATCAGTAAATCTGCCGTCTGTAACCGTCGACGAGGGACCCGAGACTAGTCTCTAGCTCACAGTCGATGCCGACGTTGGGAAATTGGCTAGTCTCCGCTTCTCGAACTACAACCAAACGATTTCGACGTGCTCCAAAAGTCGCGAGACGTGATGATAGTCAGCTTCAGAAAGCTTCTCGATTACCTGTCTGTACAAGCTGTGGCATCCATGTCGACCAGGTCTGCCCATATTCGAGTCATGTTTATTGCGCAGGGCAGAATTCTCATCTTCTTGTTCAAAAGACTTGTGTAACTGTGATCTTGGCTCATGGTCACACAATTACACTGCTGCCGTGGCCCGTAGAATCAGGATCTGGTGGCCCAAGACTTAGCAGAAACAGACTATCCCAGGTGGCTTTAGCACGTGCTTCACCCTCAGCTTCGGTCGTCCGACTGTGATCAGTGTCTCAAGAGCATGATTTGGAGCCCCCCTCTTTGGGTCAACTAACTAAACCTAGTCTGAAGATGGCATGCTACTTGAATAGCGAATGTGTCTTCACCCTGCACTGATGGCACTACTGCTGCTGTCTACCTTCCCTACCTCTTGATAACACCATGGAATCCTGGAGAGTGTTGCAAGATTCTCCAGATCGGATCTGGGTTGTCCAACAAAGAGATGCATGTCTCCATGACCCAAACAGGCATTCGGTCACTCATCGAAGTCTGCTTTGGGACAGGAGACGTCAACGAAACTACAGGGACCTCGGTGACTGCCGACGCCGCCAACCAAAAGCATTAGAGAACCCCACGGCTGTCGCGTGGCTAGTTGACTTCCCGCATTCATGGATATTGAAAGTGGAGAGGATTCCGTTGCCGTCCAGATCGGTCGATGTGCATTCCAATTTCAAGTTTCATCACTTTACAGTCTAATAACGTCGTCGCAAGACTCTAGTTGGTAAAAAATCAAGAAGATCGCGTAACGCCGACCAAGCTCAGATCGTTGTCACACATGAATCTAGAGGCTTTTGGACATGTAAATTGAATTAGTAAACTCTAGTTGTACCGTTTCTGGAAATATTATATGCACAGAGACAGGCTTTTTAGGTTGGATTTGCAACATGATATCTTCCTCGGTCGCAGCACCTTGTTCACGCAACTTTCGAATACTCGACTGTCTCGCCTAAACCATAAAGAGTCGAGTGTCTTATCGATAATCTTGCCAAAATGTTGAAGTTGATGTGTAGTCTGGTTACATGTATCATCGTCGTCGTTCTGCCTTAGTGATGTGCACATGTAAATTGACAGATGAACTTCATTGCCTGTGACGGCTGATACACTTATTCGCACGGACAGCTTACCGGCATGTCGGAAAGTCTTTCATACCCAGGAATAATTTTTGAATCCGCTGTAGAAAAGCATGCAAGCAATCGCAATCACACGTGTGCTGTCTCGGCTCCGTATCTTTCACTGGGCGCGTATGCCATCTCGCAACACGTGGGCTTGGGTTACAATTTCTGGTTCACCCAACGATGCGACTCTTTGACTGATCATATTTCTTCTCCGAGAATCATGATGTGCATTAAACAACACGGAAATGCGTGATTGACGTGGACCACTTCTCAATTCTAGTATCAACCTGGGCAACCGGGGCTTTTGAGCCTCCGCACCCACTCCGCAACCGTACCAGGTATCCGCAGTGCGAGTGAGACAGTGATGTGTGGGGAAATATCTAGGTGAGAAAATCCCACGCAACTTCATAGGCCAAGTTCGACATGAGCAATTATGGCTGGTCTGAGAGAAATTGAGAATCAGCGAGACGACAAAGGCTTTACGACATCTCATTCCGGGTACGCTATTAGCGATGCGCGGTTTGGCCAGCTACTGGGGTTGACCAGATATCTTGACTAACATTGAACATGGGTTTGAGTACAAGCCAGTTACCCATATTTGATGCAGTCATGTAGACACATGCAGCCAGGCATTTCAAGAGCCGCAATTACTTCTCTGAAGCCACGGCCAGTGGTCGCATTATCACCTGAAAGATGAGTGCAAAAGGATTTGATTTCAGGTATGACTCTCATTTTTCGCAATACCTGTGAAGACTCTAGCCGATACCCGCAGAAGTACAGTTGCCTCGGGGTTTGTTTTACGCCGCAGCGGGGACTTCATCCTCGGCAACTCGTGTTCACAGAAAAGTCATCTCAATCTGTCGGAATTGGCAGCTCATTCGAGCTCAACGGTCCGACCCTTTAGCAGATGCGCTGGAATACCATGTCTCGTACGAGATGCTGGGGCAAAGTGGCAGTAAATCTGGACCCGAAGCATCATTTGAGAAATGACGCATAGAGTCTCCGCAAGCCTGCGTTCACAGTATGTTGCTCGTTACCTTGCCTCGCTTGAGTCAATGCTATGAGAAAGAGCTAGGAACCATTTCTTTCACAACGCTCCGAGCTGGAAGGGCAAGTTTACCACTGTTGAGACTAGGCACAACGGACTGGTTATTTCCGTATCGATACTAAGCAGGGCGTCGGCGTATGTGTGATCTGCAACTCATCCAGTATGGTCAGTAACCTATCATCACCAAGACATTTGACATGTCAGTCACATCTTCACCCGCAAAGACTGGATGCCGCTGTCGCTACAGTGCGTGCCCCGCCCTATGCGCCATGGATGCCTCATCCGTATTGATTGCAACGTTGAAAGCACTGTGTCAGACATTAATAATGGGTCCCAGAGACAGGCTAACAACGGTGGTGACAAGCCTCAAGCCACTTGCTAGGTATGCTTGGTGCTCCAAACAGTGGAAGCTATGAAGCGAGCTTCTAAGCTGATGCGCAACGGACCACCGGCTGAAATTTCTGATTCATGAGTGATGAGCGGGAGCCTGGCATAATTGGCAAGCAAACAGCCAGGCTCTTGCCCGTTGTTACTGCTGGGAGCTGATAGTCATGGGCATGGGTGTAACGGGGTTGAAAGAGATTTTCGACGCCGTCGGCTTTGGAAGTGTCAAAATTTTACCCGCCCGGCATTAGCTTGAATAGCCAGGTCCAGGTGAGCCCAGTTGGGTCGCGTACAGCCCGCTGGTGGCTTGGCCGGGGAAGAAGCCGTGCTGGCATCCCCTTTCTTCTTCCAAGTTGCATCATGTCGTACTCGTGGATGCCATGTGGCTCGAGGAAACCTGTCTGGTGTTGAAGGTCGCGGGAGTCAAAGCGGCTCTATACCGGACGAGCTTGATGTTTGCTTGTCAATTATCAACTGGCGAACGGGCGAAACATTTCTTCTTCCAAGACTGGAAATGTGCGAGAGCAGCAGAAAACGGGCAAGTCTTCTGCTTGGACAGGGTCTGGAACGATGTTTGCTTGTCAGTACAGGCTCTCGACTCTCGAGCACCTGGCTTATGTGATGCATCCCGCAGGTTGAAACTGGATCCCCGGAGATTCCATGCAATTATCTTCGCGAGGACCCAGAATCGACCCAAGAGACTTGGTCACGCCTGCATTGCGTCAAGTCTCACTTTTGGGACACGCAGGAGCAAATGAAACGGCCGCCACAATATCGAAAAGCGCCGCAAGTTGAGGGGTCTGGTTTCTTTGGTGGCGTCGAAGAAGATCAAAACAAGAAGCAAACATTTTCTCCCCTCCATGTCTATTGGGATTTGGGACATTTGGGGGGGGGGGGGGGGGGACACGAACAAACCCCTCGGCGAAACGACATGTCACATTCCGTTCCGTTACACCTCGGTCCATTAATAAACAACACGGATGGAGGGGAAGTTGGGTCTGTTAATCCGCTGGCTACGTACGCCGTTCGGGTAGGCTAACGTTAGGTGAGAATCGTCGCCTGCATTTGGGCTTGCGCTATACCTAAGGAATTCGGTCATCCGCCGACCACCGGTGCGATCGTTCATATTGCAATATTTGCACTGTAATTTGACACCTGTCACAAATGACAAGAGGCGGGCACCTTGGAAATTTGCGAGGGTCTTTTGGCCCCCTACGGAGTACTTGACTGCGTAGGTAGTCTTCTGTTGGTCCATCGAGATCTTTAGAGATCTCCATCACATCACTGACGGGCCCGGTGGGTAAGCTCTAGTACGGATACCTGTAGGTGGAGGTCACATTGGCAGTCTGATAATTGCGTGTGAAAAGACTCTGATCCGCAAACAGCTTCCGCTTTGAGGCTCGAGAAGCAGGCCACAGCCAAGGGTTATGTGCGGGGTGGTTCGGGGTTGTTGAAGAGCTTCGCGCCGTGAAAGCCCGGGGAATCCCGACTATGAATAGTGTCGACACGCGATGGCGCTTCCATTTCAACACCATTCACTTTAAAGAGAAGATGGACAAGATGAGGCTGGGAGATCGTGGCGTGACGATATGCCGTGAGTAGGTAAGCTCCTACAACATTGACATATGCGGATCCTCCGGCCGGGATGGAAGAAGAAGCCGTGCTGGCAGATTTTCCATCCAGCAAACTTTTTCATCGAGCATATGCGCTGCAGATTTCAGCCACAAGCGAAAGGAACCAACCCGTTCGAGTACTCCGTAGTGCTGTGTCGCCATAGCCGAACTGGCCAGTGCGAGTTGCAAAATAAGACAACTCCACTCAGTCCTTTCCGGCTCAAGTTGAAACTTGACGAAGAAAGGGTATGTGATTGCAACTCCACCAGTCGATATTGTGTCAGTTGGTAAGACTCAGTTTTCTTTCCGACGTCGTAATGGAAATCTGTGTTGAGGTATGAGCGTAGGACCCAAAGACAACGGTATTGCAACCCCCCCCCCCCCCAGCTCCAACAGAGTGGGCAGAAACCCGAACAAAAAACCGTCCATGACACACGGACGTTGTTCCCCTCCAGGGGAATCGGGAAGTAAAAAACCGCTCCTGGGTCAACTGGAGAAGCGTCACAGTGTTTGTGGTGATGTGCCGCCCGACCCCTTGTCACCTCTGTTCCCCCGTTTTCTCTCTTTCACAGTCACACTTCTCGCTGCCTCTCCAAGCAAAGCCTTGCATAGCGTCAGAGTAAGGTACTTTCATGGATCAGTATTGAGATAATTGGGCGAAGCCCCGTGGGCCCTCAATTAGGCATTCCGGAAACCGCAAATCTCATCATACGAGTTTGCCATTGCAACTCGGCAATTCCTTGCTGTGGCGTGTTCTCTACTCCACTGTACATCGCGTGTCGCTGACGTCTGTTAGGAACAAGGGACGAGCCAGAAGACTCAGACTCACCTCCAACGGCCGCCTCCATCGCAGCCCGGGGACTTCTGTCCGACTGCTCACTTTTTGCGTCTACTCCAGTCTCCAGTCTCTCCGAGCAGAAGAGTTTGGACTACTCTGTGCCGGTGGGCATATCTGACAAATTGGGTAACAAGACTGCATACCTGTCTCCACGGAGTTCTCAACCACTACTCTGCAAAGCTACGGAGTACTGCTTGAGACCTCCAGTTCATTCCCCTCGAGGCAGCTCGGACTGCATGCAGCAAAAGTTGTGCGAATATCCACCACAAACCCGTCTCTTAGCGTACGGAGTACTTCTAGAAGACCCCCCGGAGCTCCTCGTTGCTTCGGTTTCCTCGGCAGCTCACGGGCGATGTCCCACTGGAGAGGCTTCGGACCACCCTCAGGGTCCAGTCGACACCCCTGCTGGCGTCTCCTTGGTGCCTCTACGATCCTGGTATTCCTGGTATCCCGGTCTTGTACCACCCGGCGACGGACAGGGCTGACTTTGAACCGCTCCTCGGTTCATCGCGAACGACCAGCCACCATTGGTGCTCTTCCCTGGATTATACATCGACAGTGCCCAGCGTCTTTCTCCATGGGCCTCTCACCCTTGGATCCATGCATGTGTGGCCCATGAGAACCGTGTTCAAATGAGGAACCAGCTTTCTTTTTACACTACGGCATACAAATCATACGATGTCTATCCGTCGAGACGGGCGGTGCCTGATTCGAAGCATGCTGACCGCGAGAACTCGAGCGCACGCGACAATATAGCACGACGAAGGGGAGGGGTGAGACACGACTGAGCTCTCTGCCTGTCGGAGTGGTTCTACACAATGGCATCTTGGACAGGAGTTGAAAGTTTCTATATCTTTCCTACGAGGCCCGAACCCGGCGACGAGGAAGACGTCTGCACTCGCGTTCCCAAACCCTTGGATTCGGCTCTCATTCTATCACTCAGACGTATACTCATCTACATGTCCGTAGCGTCTGTGCATTTTTGTTGATACCCCCTTTAGCATTCATCCCTGTTCCAGTCTGCCCCCAAGATATCCATCCTCGATCCCATACCTGGGCACGAGACTGGAAGTACTTGAGAACCGCAAGGCTTGCCGTTTTTGGCTTTCAAATTGTCCGTTATCAGCTGAGGACTGGAGAACAGCATTCTCAAGCTGAAGCCAAGCAAAAGTTTCTCCATACAATAACATCACAACCATGGCTTTGACATACAAGCAATCACAACTCGTCAGGGGCACGATCCCGGCTCTTCGTGAGCATGGCGAGACCATCACGACCATATTTTATGCCAACATGCTCCGAGCTCATCCTGAACTTCATGACCACTTCAACAAGGTCAACCAGGCCAATGGCCGCCAACCCCGCGCCTTGACCGGCGTCATCCTCTCCTTCGCCGCAAACCTCAACCACATCAGCGAGCTTATCCCCAAGCTGGAGCGTATGTGCAACAAGCACTGCTCTCTTGGAATTCTGCCCGAGCACTATGACATCGTAGGCAAGTACCTCATCCAAGCCTTCGGGCAGGTCCTCGGTCCCGCCATGACCACAGAGATCCGCGAGGCCTGGACGAAGGCCTACTGGATTCTCGCCAAGATGCTCATTGGCCGCGAGGCCCAGATGTATCGCGAATTCGACGACGACAAATGGAAGGGCTGGCGCAAGTTCCGCATCGAGAGGAAGGTTGCCGAGACAGACGACATCTTCTCCTTCTACATGGTGCCTGTAGACGGCAAACGACTCCCCGACTTCTACCCAGGTCAATACACCTCGATTCGTGTCACGATACCTGAGCTGGGCCACTACCAATCACGACAGTACTCGCTCAGCGACTCGCCACGACCCGATTACTACCGCATTACCGTGAAGCGTGACCAAGGCGTCAAGGTTGGCAAGGGCGCGGCTAAGTTCAACCTCAACCCTGGTGTCTTCTCCAACCATCTCATCGACGAGAAGAGACCGGGCGACATCGTCGAGCTGACGCATCCTACTGGCGACTTCTTCTTCGACACCCACGCCGCTGGCACTCTCCCCGTCGTTCTCATCTCGGCCGGTGTCGGCGTCACTCCTCTCATGTCCATCTGCAACACCATCATCGAGCGCCAAGCTGTCCGTCCCATCTCGTGGATTCACTGCTCCGCTCGTGCCGCCCCCTTTGAAGAGCATATCCGCAAGATCGCTTACAGCCGCGCCAATTTCATCACCAAGTTTTTCCGTTCCCAGATTGCCGACGTCGAAGACGACGACTCTCTCTCATCCTCTAGCGACTTTGGCCTCCGGATGGATCTTGCGCGGATAGCACCCGAGGAGCTTTACCTCAGCCACGGTGGTGCGGAGTATTACATCTGCGGTCCTGAGATCTTCATGGTTGAGATGTCACAATTCCTCATCAACCAGGGTGTCGACCCCAACAGAGTCAAGTTCGAGCGATTTACTACGGGCGATTTGGAGTTTAAAAAATAAGGTTATTGCAGGCCACCACGAGTATCTTGACCTAATTGCTTTTACGGAGAATGAAATGGGTTCTATGGGCTGGTTTAGGAATCGAATGAGACGGAGTTTCACAAGAGCGGTCTATCTGGGAAACAGGTACAGCAACTACACAAACGGAGATGTATATGCCTTTCTTTTTGCTTATACAAAGATGCAAGAGCAGGAATTGAACGGGTTTCCTTTGGCTCTGGGGGTTCAGAGTGTACGTGTGTCTCAACTGCTATCAAAAGCGTAATACTACAATTCACTGCTTCACGTGGCGCTCTGGTCGAGACTGGTTTACAGAAGTCGTGTTTTCTCGCTATGCCCAGCAAGCTCAACATTGCCAACTGAGTCGATGAAGACCTCGATCCCCGATATCAAGACAAACGTTACCTTCACCGCCCTTGTACAATATCGCGGGTTCGATGCCGGGTTAACAATGACTGAGTTTCCTCCATCATACGAGAAAACTGGATTGAATGCAGTACAATGCAACCGCCTGACTCGCCATTATCTATCTTGCGTCTCCGGGCCCCTCATAGAGGCTCCAACCCCCCAGAACTCCCTATGGGGTTTCTTAACTGGGCCTGGAGAGAATCGCTGGGGTTCTGGAGTGGATTATTTTCAGTGCTACCTAGGTCTTACTCGCATCTGTATCCAGTGACCTGCGGGGCAACGTCAGTTGGTCCATTCGTGAGGCATAAGGAGAAGAAAGCCACAATATCACCATATCGCCAGATGCTCGCAGCCAAAGTCGCAGACATGAATCTGGGATCCTGGCAATGTGCGGACGCACAACATGGGTCAAGTAATCTGAGATTTGCCTGGCCAACATACACACATCATCATCCCATCGGCCATCGGGTTAATGTTGACGAGAGACAACAACTAATCGACACATCTCCATGGGAAAATCTTCCCGGATCACTCCGCTGGTGGTGATGGAAAACGCTGCTAGCGCCAAGCACAGCCTACAGCAACCGAAGCCCCCCCCTCTATTATCTTCGGTCCACCTACGAGTTATGGGTGTCGTGGGTCAGACCCGACAGTCGGTCACCCGGGCCCTTCTATGAAGGAAGACATTTTGAAAAGATCGAAGATCAAAATAGAATCCCCGAGACCTTGACTCGAGTATTCACTCGCCGGCTCATTGATTGCAATTCGCCGATGACGCTCAATTTTCAACGGTTTTCTTGCAGCGGGACCCGTTGCGGATGCTAGTCTAGTGTGAAAGTATCGGCGAGGAACCCCGGTGCGCCTTCGGCAGAGAGAGCGGCTTGCGGCGACTACTCGCGCTTTTTTTCGGTTGCTTCTTCCTCTCAACGGCGTCCGTGCCAACCATACAAGATCCCGCTCGCCCGCCGCATGACCCGGTAAGCGACAGAATAGTGAGATGTCACAGCCGGAAGACTCTGCAATTCAGTTTCGTGCCGAACACGTAAGTAGGTCAGCCAAAGGTACGCAAGCTTCTCAGGGCACTTTTCGAACCTGAAACTGTCATTAGCAACAGAACGCCTCGTCCTCATTGCGGCCATGATAGTAGTACGCAAACCGAACTTTGTGGTCCGCCAAGCAACTCTCTCGAAGGAACCGTAAAAGAGAAGCCTGGAGCCAGCTCCGAAAACATCCACTTCACCCCATGTATATGTGACAGGCTTTGTATTGAGGAAAATTCGCCGCGGGAGTTGCGGATGGGCCTGGTCAACAAGGTGGCTCTACCTGGTTGTGTGGTGGCCACGTCAAGACGTTCTAAGCCACGATGTTGAAGTCCGGCACTTGATTAAGCTATCCTGGCCGCATTTGATGCTCATCAGAGGCAATTGAAATGCTGCATGGGGCTTCGAATGCCACACTGCGGACCTGCAATAGCGGGTGCCCTAGGTTCAAAACCCGCACATTTGGACGAGAGACGGAGATTGAGAGACCGTCTCCCTGATCGTCTTGGGTGAAAGTTGCGTTTATCATACATATTGTCTTCTCGCGGCACAGACATGTTAGCTGCTCCCCTGTACGACATCAAGAAAGGCTGAAAAAATGGTATCGCTACACGAAGAAAAGAATTGCGCATAAGCAACCTTAAGCAACTCATAGCAGCCCTCTTCATAAGTACCTGACGTGTGAGTAAGTGGATGGAGTAAGCGAGTTCAAATTGAAGGCCGCAATAATTCAGACTTTGGTATTGCTACTAGGGAGAGTGAGACATATAGTCCACGCAAACATGTTGTAAATGAAGATATCATGCAGCTGTTTTGCTATTCACATATTTAATGTACTTCACCTGAGGCATCCTACTATTGAGTGTAACTCGAAGTGTAGCTCGAACCGGTGACCCCTCTACGGAGTAGAACAGCGCCTTAGCGTCAATCCAGGCCGCGACTGATATTTAAGAAACTAGCAAGCAAAGTAGAACGTCGATTCCGTTTTCCGTGACTACCTTTACAAATTACAAATGGAACCGTCGGCATAGCAGATCAGTCTCAGAAGCATCGGATAGCCGGCTAAAGACCAAAGTGAGCCCATGACCTCATGCTACATCCTCTGCTCAGTGGCAGCTAATTGAGAGGTGGAGACCATAGTATACCCGGAAGCAACGCCTGCGTATGCATTGGCAAAGAATTAATGTAAAGATATTCTCATCCGATCGGCCCAGTCATCGCAATTCCTTTACGAGAAAATCACGACAACGCCTCCGGGAGATGAAGCTGTAGAAAGGGTCTGAGAGCTTCCAGAAACACTTGAATCAACAAAACTGGAACCTCGGCCACCTTTGGCACCAAGGTTGTGGAAATTGCCAGAGTTGTAGTAAAGAGAGGCGCCTCCACTGCCGCCACGATAACCACCTCCTCCTCCACCGCCACCAGCCACACCTGGACCTTCGCCGCCAGTCGAAGTTCCCGCACCGGCCGCTCCGGCACCACCAACGCCGCCATTGCCAGCGGCGCCAGCATTGGCACTGATATAGGTGCCTCCAAATACACCGCCACTTCCAGGAGTGGTGGCAGAACCAGCACCTCCTCCACCGATGAGGGAAGTGTAGGTGGTTGGCGGGCTTTGACTGGAGGTGTAGAGGTATCGATTTGCTCCAGGATTGCCTGCAGCGCCCGAATTTGAAGATGCGGACTCATACTGCACCATGACAGCTCCAAGTCTGAAGTATGCGCTGCCTGACCCGCCGCCGCCGGCGCCGGCTACACCAAGTAGCGTAGTCCCAAGGTAGAGTGCAGAAGCCGCACCGCCACCTCCACCGGTGCTGGTTGCAGAACCACCGTTGGCGTAGATGCTGGTGCCGAAAGTGGCTATACCGCCCTGCCCTCCAGCTATCAGTGACAATGCTTGTCCAGGAGTAACCGCCAAAGAGCCCTGAACTAATTCTCCTGTGCCACCCGTTGACTGCCCGCCACCCCCTCCAAGGATTCGGAATGATACGGAAGTGGCACAAGCAGGTACGATCACCGTCTGAGTCGCGCCAGCGGTAGCAGATGCAGACAGTGTTGTGGATGGAGAGGCCAAGACGCAGGACGACGAAATGGACGTTGATGTGATAGAGGGTGTCACGAAAGTGATCACGGTAGCAACACTACCTCGTGAGCCCGGCGAAACTGTGGTAAGTCCCGTGGTGGTGGCAGTCAAAGTGATGGTCACTGGCGGAATAGAGTTGCAGAAGGAGTCACAAAAGTGACAACAGTAGAAGGACCACCGCTGGGACCAGGGGCAAGAGTTGTTAATCCGGTTGCGGATCCAGTCGAAGTCACTGTGACTGGCGTAAGGGGTGGAGATGTAGTAGTAGTGGAAGATGAATCACCACCGCCTCAAACACAGTTGAAGCCTTCCGGATACAGATAGCCTGGGAAAGAGCTCGAAGTGGTTCCTCCTGGTGCCTGGATAGTCAAGTTGAGGAACGATTCCCTGGTGATTTGACCGTACACCTCTCGGTATGGGTAGAGCAGACCAGCTTGGAGAGTTCGCGTGACACAGACAGGAGGCGCGCCGTACACGGATGAGAAGGCAGTATCGCCTTGGTCATTAGAACTTCCGCAAGAGAAGGCAGCTCCGCTCATTCGAGACGTCATCGGCTGATTGGCATATTGTCCATTCACCACTTACACTAGGCTTGAAATAGCCAGTGTATTGAGCAGTGAAATTGTTTGCGTCAACTGTGAGACCATCGACGGTTCGCGTATTCCCGGGAACGTATTCGTTGGAATCAACAATGTAGTAAGGGATGGAAATGTCGTTGGTGGTGGTTTGACCAATGGGCGTTTGGCCAGTCATTACTTTTGTTCCTCCTGCCACTGGATTCATCACAACAATAGTATCCACGGCGAGTCAGACGGGTGTCCTGACTCTACCACAGACGAACCCAACTGGCACGACTACAGTGGTCAGCTTCGTGCCTCCGGCCACTGGACGGCTCACGACAATTTTGTCGACAGCGACTCAGACGGAGTTGACTACGCTTCCTCAGTCCGACCCAACCGGAATCACCACGGTTGTCACTTTTGTACCACTTACTGGTGGCTTTACGACAGTGATATCAACGGCAACACAAATAGGCGTCACGACGCTTCCCCAGACGGACCCAGCTGGCACAACCACGGTCGTCAGTTTTGTGTCCCCAATCACCGGTGCCATCACGACGCTTGTCTCCTCTGCAACTCAATCCGGCGTCACAGCCCTACCCCAGACAGATCCTGCCGGTACGACTACCGTCGTCACATTTGTTCCCATTACCGGCGCCGTGATTACCGTGACTTCAACAGCCAGTCTAACTGGCGTAACGACCCTTCCCCAGGCCGACCCTGCTGGTACGACAACGATTGCTACCTTTGTGTCGCCAAGTCCGACTTGCACACCAGGATTACAATGGGCATACTATGGCTTGGCAAGAGCTCCGTCAAATACCGCCAGCCTGTCGGGTCAGATACCGTATCATGGAACCAGTACAGACGGACAAACGAACTGGAAGACGACTTGTTTCAATATTCCAACCGCACTCAGTGGACAGACACCCGATAACCAGGGCGTGACAACAAAAATCGGTCTGGCATCGAGCTGTGGCACCGCGACACGAAATCTGTATGGTACTGCGGCATCTGGGGGATCCGACTACATCATTGTACAGCATATCGGCTATTTTCATCCCGCTACCTCGGGGACCTATACCTTCAGTTTCAGTGGCGTGGATGACAGTGTCTATCTTTGGTTGGGTAGTAATATCGCCGAAAATGGATTTACTAATGCCAACGCGAACAAAAACGTTGACTATTACGATACGGGCCGCTCGGGTACTTTCACATTTACTGCGACTGCCGGTCAATATTATCCTATTCGAATCTTATTCGTCAATGCACAGGATTGCGGCGAATTCAATTTTTCGCTCACAAACCCTGCCGGCGGTGTTGTGGTCTCGAACACCCAGGCTGTCGTTAGTGACCAGCTTGTAACTAGTTGCCCGAACAACGCAGCCGCCGCCCCTTTTAATTTCTAGATAGGAAGAAGGTCTTCTTTTGTTACCAGCGGTCGTACTAATTTCAGTTATTTCTTTCTACTCTATGGCAACAATCTTCTGCTTTGCTCTTTTGTCTTCTTTGTCGTCGGATTTCATTCTTTGAATGATGACTCGCAAGGGAGGGGGACATTTGAACACTCGTAAGCTCGATCATGTATAATATCTATCCGATAGATATCAGTCTCGATGACTGGCATACTTCATCCGCTAAGTGTCCTGGGTGTTTTGCTTTGTGTAATGCTTCATGTTCCAAGTAATCTTGAGCGACACCAAAACGCAACTCGAGAATCAACCTTAGTAATGGTCAAGGCACATGGTCAGCAACATGATACCCCTCAAGGCCTCAGAAATTATGCACAAGAATTTATTCCTCGATTCGGGAACCTTGAGTCTTAGGTACTTGTAAAAGTTCGTCAACAACTGGTTGCTAACTTGAATTCCTCAACAGCCACGCTTGGAACCTTCAGTGCCTATGACTGAGATCATGTCACGGAGTGTCGGCCTGAAGCTCTATTTGGGCGAGTTAATTTTGATATCTTGGCTTAACAAATTTATCATAGTTCTGTGGGTTAAAGAGTTTTAAGGTGCAAGAAAAAATTGGCTGATGTTTTAATCTAGAACTGATCTGCGGGATTACGTACAATAAGACAAAAGGCCTACAGTACATCTATCAGTTAGCCTCAGAAGAGGCCTCCAAGGTTCTTATGACCTTCATGGGGTCGTTGCAGGTCTTCGAAAGATTTCCTCCATAGTTGAGTTCATTATTGAGTGCCTTAGTGGTTATCTATATGTTACGGATAGTTGTGTGAGACCTATTTTCCATCTACTAGATGAGCCAATTCCAGAACCATACAGAAGTCCGAGACGCAACCGAAACCGAATGGTCCTGGTTGTCCTTTGGCAAAACCATCCGTTGCGGAGAGTGTATCCATCAGCGAGACGGGTCTTAGCCGCAGTCATTCGTGGCATAGACTGCGTAACTTCGTTTGTAATTGGGATCTGCGATTATCGCTGATGACTGGAAAGGGACACAGCCACTCCCGACAACAGCTTGATTGATATTGAGAAGCTCTACTCTGTAACCGACAGCGGCTATAGCGATGCCGACGAAAGTGGCCCAAAGGCAGGTGAGAGAGGTAATCTTCATGATTTAGTTATGTTAGCCGCCATTTCATCCGATGTATTCTCTTTGGCGAGAAACAACATCGTACTAGTTTATTTTGTTAATGCAAATTTCCTCAGTCAAGTTCAAAGAATGTAGCGTTTTCTGCTCTAAGAAATTTTATGACGAAGTGAACCATAGCGATAATGGTACGAGACAGTCGGGCTAACTTGACCCAAAACTTGAGGAGATCAACTTTATATACATTAGTCAAAAGAGACCCTGATTCATTATCACAATGTCTAGCAGCTAACTATGAATAAGAGGGAGCCCGGAAGCCTGGAGGGTTAGAGCCATGTCAGTTCTTTCACCTTTGAATCAAGTCATCGAGTCGAGCAGCCTCAACCTGACTAACCAAAGTTAAAATACAATCACCAAGGCCAAGCGGCCAGGTGAATTGGCGGCCTGCCCGTGAGTCAGATCATAGATGTTGGTATCAATAACTGGATCTAACAGATGGCCTTCTGGACGAATCTTGAGGGGCTCTATGGTGGAAAGATGTCGGAGTACATCCGACGGCATCGCTAAGTTGATACACAACGTGTATATCATTAGTTCGACGACTGGCCCTGTGGACAATTGTCATCCTGGAGATCTACTAGATTGGGTTTCGTAGTTGCTCCATGCTGGGAACCAATGCACCCCAGTAAGCTCAATTCAATCGAGCTCTGTCTACTCATTGTGTGTTTGTAGTAATGCTACGAGGAAAAGCTGACCCAATCTTGGTTTCGGCATCGCAAAAAGGTCTAGGTAATTGATATTTGAATATATATGTACCTGTTGCATAAGTGGGAAGCCTCCAAGTTCATGGAAGCATTCACTAACCTGTGTTCCGACGTTTCTGCATGGACGCGATTTGATTATATCAAGCTTCTTTTGGGCTGAAGGGCCCGACTCATTTAGCCCCCTGCCTGAGATACTTACTTACATGTAGCATCTTGTGTCGAAGCCATGCTCCTTTCACAATCACCAGCATGTGTACTTTGTTTCCGAAAATCAAACCTTCCAGGAAGGGCGCCTTGATCGTAAGGTAAGTAACGTCATCAGCATGCCTTTCAGTGAGCAAAACTTGCACACGGATACTCTGAGTTACGCTAGCAAATATTCTCAATCTTCTGGAATTGCCCATTACTCCTGTAAGGTAGTTCTAAGTTGGTTTTTACCTGTGATACTTCATGTGATGCTTAAGACCTAGAACCGACATTAGAGTTAGGCTATTTCGGGAGTGTAAACTTACCCAGGCCCAGGGGCAAGGAGTTTCATCCTTTCACTCATTAATTAGATGGCCATGTACACACCCTACGAGCATATCACCTTGCCTTACTTACTAGGTGCTCTGCACTCTAATCTGCCTGCTACCTAGTATAGAGACGCATTGTTCAATTCGGCCAGTGGAACACTGGCCAACCTAATTCCATGACAGAACTGCTAATCGAAAAGATTGGAGAGAACTTGGAGATAAAGTCCGTGTTGGATTAAGTATATGAGATATGTACCAGAAAAGCGATTTAATACATGTAGCCACTGATAGCGACTATTCTCACTCTTCGGCTATCGCATCAGTGCTACCTTCGAGGCTAAAGCCATATCATGAATGCACCAAGCCTTTTGGGCTAGAGAAGTCACATTCACGTTGCCAGAGCTAAGGGGCTTCACACCACAGATATCCATTGCAAATGAAAGAGCCTGCGGTCTTTTAATTTAAAAGTATCATCTTCGCTTGCTTTACTCTCAGAAAGCGAGCATCAAGTTAGAAACTGTCATTGCAAGAGCTTCCACATCCGTAATTCTTGAACTCCGTGGGAGCCTTCTTCTCCAAGAACTTGGTCCATGCCGTGTAGTCTCCGTTGCTGCTCGTGCATCTTCGTCTCTGGTACCCCTTCTGACTCAACATCTGCTGTTGGCTCCAAATGACGTGGCAACCTTGATCATTCCAGGTGCACGCAGTTAACGAGGTCGATTGGCTGCAAGTCTGCGTTTGGTGGCCAACGCTGATACTGGCGGTTACAAACTCGGCCGTGATTCCGGCCGAGATTTCGAATGAAGTGGTCTCGCAGACCTGGTTGTTAACGCCCTGAGTTGCCTGGCAGGTCTGGCTCTTGGTGCAGTAAACTTTGCTGGAGGCCTGGCGCCAAGGGTCGTTGTAAAGGTTCTGTTCGACAACATAGTAGTCGTTCCAGCACTTGACGCCCGAAGCATAACGATGATCGCCGTCAGAACCTAAGTAGTGGCCTTCGCCGTCGTTATAACGAGCTATGAGCATTCCTCGTTTGCCGATGCCCGTGTCGCCAGCCTGAAGGGTGATATTGTACGTTTCGGCGTATGCGATCTCTCCTACTATCCAATCATCTTGCTCATCCCGTGACGTCAGAGGGGTTACCAAAGTCATGGCTGAGAAGAGAAGAGGCAATATGAGAGAAGTCTTCATGATCGATGAATGAGAGTTAGGTTTGAATGATTTCAGATCGGCGAGATGGTACTTAAGAATGAAGGGAGGCTGAGAAACAGGATACTCGTCACATCGAAAAGCTTGCCAGCTTCACTTATGTATCTGGAGGATAGAATTAGTGCTTCCAGAAGCAATTCTCAAAATTGACTCGACATCCTCTCCTCGGGAATTTGTCGACCCGACCCAGCTTCTCCTATGTTGGCCATAAGCCCGTGATATGCGAATTAAAGCTTCTGCCTGGGCACGACTCAACCCCCCTGCCACGACGTACGATAGAGCGAAGCAGGAAATTAAGGGACTGTTACTGCTTTTTACTCAATGACGATGCCGATCCTCGTATAATCATGAAACTTCTTGAAGATCTTGTCATTTTGCACATCAAAGTTGACGCTATTCCCTTGGGCAATGCCACAGAGACAGGAAACGCGAACACTCTGTTTCTGCCTAGAGCTTCCTCGTCAGGGCATTGTGTATTGAGGAAGGAAGCGCCCACGCTGACATCGCGTCCAAAGTGAATGATTGAGGAGACCGGAAGAAGTTAGAAGAGTGGCCGTCGCAAGGCAAGCATGGTGAGGTGTAAGGAAGACATAGATTGAGACTCCGTGTAGCTGGTGTAGGGGCTGGGGGTCCCCTAAATCAATCACAGAGGATGAAGCATCGTATCAAATTGCAGGCCTTCAATGTTTGGGAAACTGTACCTTCCTTGCTTCGATCTTATTCCCACAATTGAGCCTTTCTTTTTGGAAGTTAGCCGCATCTCAGGCGCATTCGAGTCTTTCCGAGTCTGCCAGGCCGGTCACAGATAGTGGCAAAGCCAATCCAGGTAGAGTATGGTGGGTTCAAATATGTGCGGTAACTCCCTCTGCCAACGGTGTGGTCAATTCAGCGCCACGAAGATGGTATGTCAAGGTATCCGGGAACATCAATCGCTAGGCTTCTTTGTATTTTCAATTTCCGTCGTGAAAGCATTGTATTAAAGCACTTGTTTAAGGTATGATCCAAATCAAAGCAAGCAAATGACAACAACCAATGAGAAGAATTAAGCGTCCCTCCCGTCCCTTCACTAACTCCACCAACCCGAGAAGTAATTCATTACATCAATCAACAAACCAGTGCGATAAATCGTCACACAGCAAGCAGTGTAGTTTCATGCCACTCGTCCAAGTGCCAAATTGTCAACGTCACATCGTGCTTCGTAACTGACGCCTAGCGAAGCTCTTGCGGAGGGTAGGCGTAAGTTTGCCCTTGAGGAGGCGGGGAATTCGTCGGCGAAACCGTGCCGTTGACAGGCGAAGGAGTGTAAGCCTGAGGGGGGTATTGTTGCTGCTGATGTTGCTGGTAATCTTGCGGCTGCTGAGTGTAGTTCTGGGCCGGAGGAGCCTGTTGGTATTGTTGTTGCTGAGGTTGCTGGCTCGGCATCTCCTGGTACTGCTGAGGTGGCTGCTGCTGGTACTGTTGAGAAGGAGGCTGCGGTTGAGGTGTGTAGGACTGGGGCGGGTAGAATTGCTGCTGTTGCTGTTGCTGAGGCACTTGGCCGTTCTGCGGTTGCTGGTATGCTGTCTGTTGCGTGAGGAACGGCTGCTTAGACTCCATCTGAATCTCGCCCTGACTGGCGCTGACAGCAGCGGCAGGCGCGTTGGTCTTTCTCCAGCGCAAGAACTGGACGAGAGTCCAGATGAAGGTTACCAAGAAGAGGATGAACTGGAGGGCAGACAATCCCGCAATAGCAGAAAACATGGCTAATGCGCCCTGGCTCATGACGATGTAACGCTTGAAGATGGTGCAGCTTCCCGAGTTCACAGCGGAGCCATCGGAGGTGCAGGAGGCTGTTACATCAACGGTGAAGGTGGCGCGACGAGCGGCGCAGGCACCCAGGGTTGCGAGCCAGAGGATGACGAGGAAGAGGTCGAGGGCGAGGACGGCGTAGGTATGGTAGAGATTACGGAGAGAAGAGATCTTTTCGGAAAGGACGGTGTACAGCACGATGATCCATGTGAATAGAGGCTGATTGGGTATGTTAGTGAATGAATCTTGACAATCGCCGGTATCTTCATGAGTGAGAGAGAGGACGTACAATTGCCACGGCGAGGCCGAGTTCATCCATGTATACCCAATGAATAATGGCTGCTGATAAGCCGAGGATGACAATGGCGAGGAAGAACTGTACCCCACGGATGGCGACCATCCATGTCGGTGTCATTATCATGGGCGGTGGTGGGCTAGTTGAAGCATGATGGGTATACTGCTGTGGCTGATGCTGAACCTGGGGTTGAGGTTGTGCTTGAGTCTGCATCTGAGGCTGTTGATGCTGAGTGTTCTCCATGATGTCCCAGAGTTATTAGACAACGTTGTATAGAGAGACGATTTGTGTACGTCTTAGTCGGCTCGACAGTCTCGGCAGCCCTTACGTGAGTGGGAAGAAAGTATCCTAGATATCGTGGGGAACAAAAGACAGGAGCATCAAGAGCGCCATGGCGGAGATGGGCAGGACGCAGGTATACTTATGGAGTGAGACTCTGACAGAATGTGACAAGGTCGAGTCAAGGGAGGGGGCAACCGACATTATCGCCCACATCTCCCACACAGCCAACCAGAACGTTGCGTCTTTCAGCCTTCATTCTTTTTTGCTCTTTGGGCGTGCCACATGTGCCTGATGGCGTCTATCGTGATGCAGGGTTCTTGTTGTGAGCCAGCCAGTCCAGGAGAGGATTCAGTCTAGCGGAAGACTTGCATGAGGCTCCCGTCCAAGTCGTACAACAGAATAACAGGGGCTGCGAGAGGCTTGTTCCCTAGACGGGTGTATAGAGACGAAGAAAGCCTAATTGTGGATTCTATCAAAGCTAGAAACGGCCGTGAGTAGCCATGAGTCGGGAGTCTAGTGCGGTTGAGTGTTTGTTCAGTGGTTCAGCTCATCTGCAAGGTTGACATTGCTTGCCTTGGCAGGGCTATGGTAATGCGGGCTGTCGGCACGGGTTGTGGTGAGTCGTGGGCGCGAACGTTTGTTCTCACTGGTAGTAGCTTCTGGTGTTAGTCACTTTCACTGTGAATCCGTGTCCGTAGGTAGATTTTGTCTGAGTTTGAGATGCCCGGCTTGAGCCTTGATCAAGGGTTCATATGGGGGACATTAGAGATTCCGCGCTGACCGGGGTTAGGAGGGCGGAACGGGTGAGGTTATGGGACCGGAGGCGCTCGGGCTAGGCCGGTTCGGGGAACGAGGGTGACGCTCGAGCTGCTAGTGCGCTTCGTGGCGTCCTCAGCTGAACGGGAGGGCGGAGTTTTGCGCAGTTTAAATGGCTGTTGCTCGTCTATCTCGTGGCCGTGAATGGGTGCTTCTTCAAGTTCCTTTTCACTAACTGGCATGGGGGAAATAAGGCTCTGAGGAGTTGTCGCGGTAGCAAAGACTGGGACTATGGCGGCCGTTGGGCGTGGTTCATAGTACCCAGCTAACATGTAACCATGCCCGAAAAGACAACCTTGGTTCGATCTGGCCAGGGTCCCGTCTGCCGGCCGGTCATCATTGCCTTGTTGTGTGGGTTTCAGACGCCGACACTAATTCGTCAAGGGCGCAGGTTGTCGTATGATGCTTGAAATGTCGGACTGACGATGCTAGGCAGAGGGAGCCTGGCGTACAGTAGATTAGGCTGTCTTAACATCAGCCAACCTTATCAACTTCCTGGTGCAGCCTGAATCGGGATGAAGAGCATGGGAATAAGCTCATGAAGTGCAAAAAGTGATTGTATCTTTCCTTGATCATATCCAATGCAAACATACACTGTTGTGCCCCTCACCCCGCTTCATCAAAACCCTTACATGCTGCATGCGCCAGAAACCCATCACAAACCCGCCCATGACGCCCTTTTTTTTTTTCGATTTCATCCGCTCACCGGTCATTGCTTTTCTATTTAACTTTGGAGGTATCCACCGATCGCTCAGCAGCATCCGCCCTGGCTGCCGTTCTCGGCTGCCTTCTTGGGGTCCACCTCTGTGCTGAAGGTTCCATCGACCTTCTCGTTGGGGCCGGCGATGAGGATCTTGATGACTTGGCCCTCCTTGACCTTCTTGAAAGCCTCCTCGGCCTGCTTGAACTCAACAATGCCGGAGATAAGCTTCTTCACGTTGACCCTGCCATTGGCGACGAGGTCAATGGCGAGCTTGTAGTCGCCAGGGCCGTAGCGGAAGCTGCCGCGGGCAGTAACCTCCTTCAAGCACAGAGCCATGATGGGGAAGTTGATGTCGGACTTGCCCATGCCACCCTGGACGTAGGTGCCACCCATCCTGACAACGTGCAAGCTGGTCTGGATAGAGGGCTCAGCGCCGCTGGCGTCGATGACGCAGTCGGCTCCCGCGCCGAGATCGCATTGCTTGATGAGAGCCTTGGCGTTCTCCTCGGCGGAGATACGCTGGGAGAGGTAGGTGTGAGTAGAGGCGAGATCCTTGGCGAAGTCAAGCTTGGATTGGACGATGTCGACGCTGACAACCTTGGTGGCACCGAACGACTTCGCTACGGCGGCGCAGAGCAGACCAACAGGGCCGGCGCCCATAACGACAACAGAGGCGCCAGGGGTGATCTGGGCCTGCTTGGTGATGTGAACGGCGACGGCCAGCGGCTCAATCAGAGCTCCCTCTTGCAGGGAGACGTTATCGGGCAGCTTGTAGCAGAAGTCGGAGGGTGCGGTCCAGAAACCGGCAAGCGTGCCATCGTAGGGGGGAGTCGCGGCAAAGCGCATTTCGGGGCACAAGTTGTAGTGACCAGCAAGGCAGTCTCCGCAGCGACGGCAGGGGTAGCCGGGCTCGAGAGCGATGCGGTCGCCGACTACGAGGTTCTTCACGTTCTCGCCGACCTGGATAACGGTACCGGCGGACTCGTGGCCAAGGACCATGGGGTCCTTAACGACGAAGTGGCCGATGGCGCCGTGCTCCCAGTAGTGGACATCGGAGCCGCAGATACCAGTGTAGTTGACGGCGACGAGGACTTCGTGGGGATCGGAAAGCTTGGGGATGGGGCGCTCGGCGAACTCGACGTCGTGGGGCTTGTTGAGGATGAAGGAAAGGTTCTACGCTTGTTAGTAGATGTCGACTGAGCTCTAGAGGCACAAAGAGGCCTTCACGATGGAGAGAGACATACGCTTTTGCCCTCAGTGCCGGCCATGATGGATGGATTGCGGGGTTACGGGACGAGGGATGGTCTGGTGAGGGATGGTGTTTTGGGAGTTGGTCGGTGCTCGTTCCACCGAGGGAAGCGCAAAGTTAACTTTTGGTTGGGCGTTCGTCACAAAGTTTACAGTCTCCTAAGCAAAAGGGGTATCGCTGGAGGAACACAGAGAGAATCGGAACGTTGGATGATGGACGAGCGAGGAGAGCGAGAGTAGGTTGAGGCTCCGTGTATCTTAGACAGGCGCGCAATGGATTAAATAGCTATGACTGTTGCCCTTGGCCCGCAGTAACGGTGTGATGGGTCGGGATTGGAGGGGTTGGAGGGATGTGGAGGGACGTGGTCAGGATAGGGAATGCGACCAAGTTACGGATCTTCTGGGAGGATGAGTGAGCGAGCTGCGCTGTGCCGTGCTATGTCTGAGAAACCACCAAAATCGTGCATCGTCTGCTAACTCAGCGGCGTTCTGTGCGACTGACGGATGCCCCTCATTGCGGCGCGTCTTAGACTCCTAGACTTCCCAGTTCCAGCCTAGAGCTGGAGGGAAGCTCCACGCTCTCCATTATCCCGTGTCATTACCCGTACTCATACGCCCTCGTTCCCTGCCATGGCGGTCGAGACTCTTCCTTGACTGCGCTCCAGTTATTGGGACGGGGAAAAGCTATCGCTGGTGCGGGGTGGGGGTAAAAAGAAAAGAGAGGGAGAGGCTTGGTTTGGTTGCCAGGGAGCTTTTCAACTTTTCCTTCGTTGCTGCTGTCTCGTGAGAACCTAGGGTAGTATAATAGACCGAAGAGTCTCTCTAACTGGTTTGAGGTAGAAGATCTCAGTAGAAGCTGACACCGGGGTATTGGTTTTGGGGAAGAGCTCTGGAAGAGCACCAGTGTTGTTGATTGCGACCGATTGACTTCTCTCGAATCGACCAAAGTCAACAATGTTGGGTCCTCAGACGGCTTTCTCTCGCCCACGCATCGAAATCGCAGTGGAACAGTTGTTCCAAGGTGTCATAGGCGCGCAACGCAGCGGCATTGTACCCGACTTTAGCGTCCTGTGGCTATTTATCCAGCACTTTACCCGCGCCAATGGGGACATGCACATTGGATCCGGTAGATGGGTTCTGGTGGGTTTAAGCAAAGACTCCAGAAAGATCTGGGGGCCCGGTGGGGTTGAGTGGGAGACATATTCCCGGTCTTGGGCCATGCTGCTTCACCTCTCGGCCGGTTTGAGACTTACCGCTCCTTTTCCTTACCTCCATTATTTTGAAATTTGTTCTCTTATCACGTTGTCCGTGACCAAGCATCTGTCAGGTGCCCATGAAAACTTTTGCTGATGCCTCGTGTTGGTTCGCGACTAGAGTCCCCATCGTTCCCCTTTTCTGTTGAGAGTCCCTCAGAGGGCTAGACCGCTACCTCTCACTCTCCATCCAGCATTCTCCCATATAATGCATAGCAATCCTTTCGTGAGCATCGGGTACGTTGGAATTCTCCGGTACGATTCTTGTAGACTTCCTTCGGGCTCGTTGCAACTCTGGTGATTTGCTCGTCGATCGTCGGCTTAATGGCAAAGGTCCGCATGCTGGAAAGTAGGATTTAACCATCTCACAGTAAGGTGTTCAATGCCTGTCAGTTTGGACAGCGTGGGGGAAACCGAAGTGAGGTGCGTGAAGATATTGATGCCGATTTCGCGTAACATCCCTCGTCAGCACAGCAGCGCGTCATTAGGAGCTGCCTCGATATTTATGTTCCTGTCCCACCCGAACGTTCTAGGCTCTCGGAACACCCTTCCGTCTGGCAGCCGCCCATTTTGGGACGCTTGCAGGTGAATCTGTCGATCTGGGGAAACAGCTTCCTGTCGAGTCCACAATCTTTGCCTCCGAGATCGCCCGACTCGGCCTCATGCACCACTGTCATGCCATCCCACATGGGGCTCATGTGGGCTGTTGACGACACCAGCATGTGCAACTCGCGGAGCCTTGGGTGGCAGGTTCTGGGGCTTTCCGAAATCGACCACCTTAAATCCACAACCATGAAGGAGGCCCAAAGCAGAAAGAGGCGAAAGCTCTCGCTTGACTCAGAGATGTAGCCTGTTAAGTGACTAGTGTAGTAGATAACTAAGGCTTCCTGACATATCGATCTCGCGAGTAACAGGATCAACCGTCAAGCTTGTAAGCCTCTTCCAGCAACTCCTTCATAGACCTCAGCTTGATGTTGGGGAAATCTTGGGCGATGGAGGTCTCTACTTTCAAATCAAATACACCCTTTTGAACATGAGACCGAAGATTGCAAACATAGGCTGTAGCTGCTCGTCTGAAATGTAAGGGTAAGGTGATCTATGACGAGGCAGTCTCGTCACCTTTCCAGCTTCCAAAGTCTCGATCGAATCATAAGCCACGTCAAACTTGACATCCTTGACTGCTTCAGCGAGCTCAACAAGCTGATTCCATGTCAGCTTGTCGCCGACAAGATAAGTCTCCTTCTCCCACTTTGGCAGGGTCAGGGCTGTGGCGACGAACTCGGCCAAGTCCGATCCCGGGACGCCTGCCTTGTTGTCGACGACGTCCACGACCATGGCCATGCTCTTGAGATGGCTTTGAAGGGGCGGGCACACATAGTAATCAGCGGAGTACCCAGGGTACCAAGCCGAGAACTCCAAGTCTGTCTTCTCAAGTGCGTCGACGATAACAGTCTTGGGCTTGATAATCGGCATCTCCTCCGCGTATCTATGAAAGAAAGAATATATTAGTCTTGCTGTCCACAATGAGTTTGGAAGATGAAGGCTTACTTTCTGCTGAACTTGGCGCCCTAGGTGCTGGGAACATATCGTTTGGTCACCTCGACCTGATCGGCAGCAGCAATCAACTTCAACTCTGGCTGAACAGAAGCCATGTTGTTTAGGGTGGAGATGACCGTGTGTACACTATTTTCTTCCAAGACCCTAGTAATTTCGTCGGCACTGCTATAGTTGACCGGCAAATACGAGCACCGATGTCCTTCTCCCTGTCTTCGTCCGCCTACAGGCTTGGTTAGTGGTCGACCCAAACCAGCAACGTACGGGATCGCGGGTGTACTATTTGTACCTTCCTGCTGAAGATGATGACTGGGAACTTGCCATCTGCGAGAAGTGCCTCTACGATAGCACGACCGAGATCGCCTGTGCCTCCGGCTACTGCAATGAAGGAAGACATAGCTGGAAATCGATTACTGGTTTTGCACTGCTGGCTGTACGAGTTGAGCTGAGGGACATGCAGATAGTAAGTAAACATGTTGGCCAACTTTTGAAGGAATATTCATTCTTCAAGTAACGTTATGGTTTTCCTCGCTTGGTCATTTACGGGCAGTCTACGTACCGTGTCGTTGTCCTGCTTCGTCATGGAGATGTCTCCCCGTTATTATCCGCAGATCCTCCGCAAGTCCGCTCCAAGCCAAGAGCAATTACAGGGTAGGATCTGAATTTGAGAGGGGAGTTTCAAAACTCATTTCACACAGGTCATCGTATTTCACAACCTCATGAGACCTTTGAGGACTCATGGAAGCTCGGAACCTACTGGCGAGGACCTTCTAGCTCGTGTCATGTCAGCAAGACCCCTTGATTCAGTGTCTCTACCAGGCACCGCTGAGTTTGATGGGCATTGACGAAGGTTTCTATTGAATGAACCTACAACTCGTGTCTTCAGTAAAGCACCAGTATACCCAGGCCCTCTCGGTATCACCATCCGCGGATCGCGCGGTCGTGCAGGCAAGTAAACCACAGGTCATGAACGCCTGGTGTCTCAGCGCCACGATAAAGTGACCAAATTCTCTGCCACCAACAAGTCTAGCTTCGGTCAATTCTGTGAAGGTTTGTGATTTCTTCCGTATTTGTGACCTCGCTCGTCTAGTTTCTAGCTTTTCGATCCTAGGCGATTAGTAGTACAGTCTGGTAGCATGTCTCTCTGCTGCATTGCCTGTAGAAATACTTGTCTAGATCGGAGGCAGGGGCCCTGGGCAAATGGTATGCATAGGGCTCATAAGGTGACATTTGAAAGGCCAGAGTAAATCGGATGGTGCTATTATAGAATAGCTACCCTTGGCTATGGATCTTAACGCCGCATATTCTTCGCCCGACCTGCTGTAAGAGCTCCAACTTCGCCACCCTGTTAACACCGATTGTAATACCACCGCGATCCTAGGAGCACTAATTCAACCAGAATGTTAGTCGAGACCACAACAAAGAAATGGTCTTTTGGAGATGGGGAGGTTTGTCGTACGCATGCAACTACCTGAAGAAAATCGTTAGTATCGTCAATGTCTTATCAGTTTCATACGAGGTTGTACTTACAGCACCAGGACCGCAACCTTCGCCCGCCGGAGGGGAGGAACAGTCCCCGCGCCAAATCGGGCGATCTTCAGAGTGCTCCCCACCACACTAGAAGATTGCATCAGTAAGAGAATTTACTCTAAGACTCGTCTCAATGTAGGAGTGAAGTCATACGCAGTAGAAGTGGTAGTTCTAGGGGGGGGACTAGTTAGCTATCACCCTCGAAAAAGACAATGTGAGTGGTGAATTCTTACCGGGCCACAGTCTTGGCTTCCGAGGGCTGGGTTGAAGATGCCGTAGTTACACCAAGCTGCCATTGACGGCGCAACGAGGCTAGCAGCGAGGATGATGATTTGGCCGCACTTCATCTTGATGATTTGCAAAAATCGGAGAGTAAGATAAGTCAATGCTGTAAGAGAATAGTGAGAGGCCCGGAGAGAAAGCGCCCCCAGAAAACCCGCGTTCTTTTCAAGAGCATATAAATTGGTTCTAGGAAATACGAAATGTCTATAAAACTCGACATTTCGGCGTAGACCTAAGCATCACATACGAGATGTCCATCCCTAAAAGAGCTGGCGGGAGAGTTCACTTCGGCAAGTGGTAGGTAATATAACTAAGGTATCCCACCCATGTCGGTAGTGTGACACGTATCCTATCTCTGGTAACTCCGGCTCTAAACAATCGTCGCTCTTTCATCCCTTCACCATCATTTATGTAATACTGTGTTTCCATGATAATCACCCCCCCCCCCCCCCCCCCCCCCCCCCGGATCCATCAGATCAGCGACCCGTTGCTATAGCCTATAACCCAATCATCCACGAGCACAGCTCTGTTCATCTTCAGCTACGAATGGAAAGTTCTACTGTGTACCGAAATTGATACGACATCATCTCCCGCAAGACTCCTTATACTCTCCGAAGCTACTATTGACGGGTCTCGCCCTTCGTCTACCTAGTCTAGACGGCACTGGCAAAAATGTTGATACTCCTAACGACAACACTTACCAGGGGGTCGAAGGATAAAATATTCGACGCTGTTCTCCCACTTACCCGGGACCATGCATGACTCAACATGGCAATCGCCTAGGTAGCTGACTCAATAGGGACCAAAGAAATTCACGGCTGTACAGATCACTTTAGCAAAACCCTCTTTTATAGGAAGGCCGCGTACCTCAGATGACCAGCGGCGATTCATATGCTGCTTCTCCTCGAACCATATCTGCGCCAGAGGTCTTCGCGGAGGAGTGAATTGGTCGGCATTAGTAGAGTCGTCGGGACACGAAGTAAAACTACATATCAATTATGGGAGTCTTAGTCAACCTCACTGCACTTGCATTCTAGATCTCCACGAGGCGTTGGCAGGGCACGCCACTTTTGTGTCAAGAGAATGAACGGCAATAACAGACACGATAGACATGGGCAAAAGCTTGGTCGACCTTTAGGATAACCCTTTTGTTCCGTGACTACGTAGTCTAACGCGTGACGTGTACTAAAGTAATTGAGTAAGGAACAAAGAAGTCACGGAATGTGCCAGGCAGGAATGATGAGTTCATATTACCCATGGATAACGAAGAGCCAAAGCCATTGACTCTGACCAGAGAGAGTAAGTCATAGACTCAGAAGACCTCGTCCAGCGCCCGGCGCATCTGCACGTCGCTTATAAATATGCATAGCCCATTGCCACCTCGAGGCTCACCGCTTAGCATCATCTTGCTATGTTGAATGGTTATGATTGCAGTCGCGGATTGATGAGCTGACTTGACGGCAAGGTACCGGATTGCAAGCAGATTGAGAGTTTGTAACCGGTGAGTTCGGTATTTGGCAAGCATTGGGTTGTCAGTCGTCCGACCGTACGGAGGATTGGGAGATTCGGAAATAGAGCTGTCATCTGAAATAGATGGAAACTTGAACAGCGTTCTGCGCTTGAGGAAAGTATGTTTCACCTGAGCTCAAGTGAACTTTTACCTTTCTTTTGTGGAGGGGTCTTTGCTAGTGAGCATACGGATATGTGCCCTTTCTAGCAATGGCAACTCATTACAAGTGCGAGTGGATATTAAGAATCATGTGAGTTGCTGTTTAAATACATAACGTAGAAGAGCGATTGAGAACGGGCAATGAGTAGAGATCGTTTCCCTACTACATCTGTCCATGTGTCGTCTCTTGGAGTTGGCGGGGCATGGAGACAACAACAGGCCGTCAATCCAGGTTCCAGCTAACAACTGGAACCTGTTTTAGGGCACCAAGGACTTGATCTTGTCAAAGACAAGACAACGTCGGACCTTCGCCTCTGGTCTTTTCCTTATTCTTCCAGATAGAGATATAATCCATATCTCTCCCTGGTTATCCGGCGGAGAAAAGGAAGTCATCGCCTTGTCTCTGAGCTCTGAGCTGAGGTTGAGGCCAACGCATTAGGTAACCTTACAACTCAACCCCAAAGTGGCCTAGATTTCTTACTTACAGGCAGCCATTCACTTACTCGCGGACATTTTTGCACTGTAATTGTCCGTCAGCTCCACTTCAGCGGATGTTCGGTTCAGTTAGCGATCACACGCGATCGCTCGCGATCCAAGGTTACACTCTAACAAAATGTCACAGCACTACTGGAGCCAAGCCCCTGGGATGTGTTCAAGGCCTGTTAGTGAGAACCCCAGACATAACCCTTCGAAGGCGCACTCGACAGCTCCGTAGCCAACCTTTACTTCCAGGAATGCAATCAACTTTTGGCTCTTGCACCGACCTTGCCCTGGCACTCAACTCAACGACCTTCATACAACTTGACTTTAGACAGGTCGGCGGCATGATTCCATGAAGCTGCACCCTTTCCAGCCATGTCCGATGATAGCATCACGTTCCCGCATGATCCGACGAGTGCAGAATCGCATTTCACCCAGCACGACCTGCAGCTTCTAGCACAATCCTCGCCAGAATCGCCTCTCCGAGTTGTTGCACTCGTTGACTACGACTCATTCTATGCCCAATACGAATCAGTCAGGCTGGGTCTTGACCCTTCTAAGCCCCTCGCAGTGCGTCAATGGAACGCCATCATCGCGTTAAACTACCCAGCAAAGGCCCGCGGACTCAAGAGGACCATCTCGGTGGAGGAAGCTCGTCGACTCTGCCCAGACATCGTCCTGCAACATGTCCCAACTTGGAGGGAAGGCGATGATTGCTGGAGATACAGGTCCGACGTGCTGGACAACTTGACGACGGATAAGGCCTCCCTGGACCCATATCGCGACATGTCGCGAAGGACGATGAAGCTCGTGCGAAGGATTCTTCCGGCCACTCCTGCGCCTACCATCGAGAGAGCCGGAGTGGATGAGTTTTACGTTGACCTCTCAGCTCAAGTTTACCAGATTCTCACGGAGCGATTCCCAGTCTTGGGAACGCTCAGTCACAATCCCGAAAAGACGTTACCGCTGCCCCCGGTGGACACCTCGCTGACCTGGAAGTCGGATAAGGTGATGAATCTTCCTAATACTTGTAATCCACAATACACCCTTGATTGGGACGACGTGGTTTTGGACATCGGGGCTAGCATTATTCGCAATATCCGCAGAGAAATCAAAGCGGAGCTGGAACTCACTACTTCCGCCGGCATCAGCCACAACAAGATGATCGCCAAGGTCGCTTCTCGGATGAACAAGCCATTCGGCCAAACAGTCATCAGGCGCAAATCCATCCCCGCCATTATGCCGACTCTCAAAGCGACCTCACTCTCTGGCCTGGCAAGGCAGCTTGGTCAGAGAGTCATCAAAACGTTTGGGTCCGACGGCATACGGGATCTCCTCCAGGTCTCTCTTGCGGAGATGAGGTCAACACTGGGGGCCCAGGATGGCCAATGGGTGTACAGGGCCATCAGAGGTGACGAAACAGGCCCCGTAAGGCCACGGAGTGAGGTCCAGTCCTTGCTAGCTGCCAAAACCTTTGTGCCAAAGGCCGAGAATCTTCAACAGGCCAGCAAATGGCTGCGTATCTTCGCTGCAGATCTTGAGTCGCGGCTACGGGACCTCGATCTAGACTCCGAGGTGCCTCGACGACCCAAGACTATTGCCGTGCAACATCATATCCGGGGTCGGTTCGGCCCGACGCGGTCCAAGCAAGCGCCGATCCCACCACACGTCGAGATCAACCGGGAAACCATATTTAACATGCTGCATGGATTACTCAAGGATTTGACAGACCACGGGGAATCTTGGCCGTGTTTGGGTATCTCTGTCAGCATGTCGAACCTGGAGTCCGGATTGCCTACATCTGATCACGGGCAGCGTATTACGTCCTTCTTTTCTTCAAACTCTTCTGCTAGCCCTCGGAAACGGGTCCGAGAAGGGGACGTGCTGAATAGGCTTCCAGATAGTAAAAGGGTTCAAGTTTCGAGCGATACAACGGAAGACCCAGCACCCGTCATATTAGCTACTGCAAGTACCTCGCCTCGGGCCATTCGAGGTGATTCAAGGGGCGAGCAAGAACAGCAATACCTGTGTCCTAAATGTGACGAGTCTGTGCCGCCAGAAGATGTTCTCGAGCATTTGGACTGGCATGTCGCGTTGGAGATTCAGGATCAGGAGAGTTGATCATCCTGGATGGGAAACGAGCCTGACCAACAAACGTGATAGGGCCTTGGAGCTTGATCCGTTTACGGAAGCCACCCTCTCAAAGGTCTATGAATCTTTGATTCGGGGCTCCGAGGATCCAGCTTCTTTTCCTCCAGACATAGGTTAGCAGTGGACGGCGGTAGCTTGGGAGGCAGGGGTAGCATGAGCTTAACCAGAGTTATCAACCTTGACTCTGGCGCGCTGAGGAGCAATAAAAGCACGACATGATCCTCGAATTTCAAGAGATCTGATCCTAGGCGAGAGTTCCCTGAAGAAGCCCAGAAAACGTCCAATACTTTTCTCTTTCCTAAATGGCAGACTTTGGGCAGCTTGAGACCTGAGTTGAAGCTCAAGAAACAGATGGCCCCGCTATTCCCCAGACCCCGAGGAGCAGATTACCCTTTTTGGCAAGTGGGGGAGGGGTTTGCAACCCGCGGGGTTCACAGGCTGACGGGATGATGCCATTGCGCCGTTCTTTCGACGACTGGCCGTATGAAGTAAAAACTCGCCGAGTTCGTCCCTTCTGGACACCAACGGTCCCAGCTATCTCAGAGTCCTCTCCAGCGCTTATACTTTATTGGAAAAGAATACAAGACTCGGGCGGGTTCGGTCCAGGTTCGGGGTCCACTGTCGAAGCCCATTTCATCGAATTGGACTATAGTTATTGGCCGGCTATAGATGGAACAAGAGCTCTTGAGTCTGACGCGGGGTGAAATCGTGGAGGAGCTTGGTTCTATGTGATCAATGTCATGGAAGGGTCCCCACAGAAGTTGTAGAAGCTTTAAAAGGCAATGTTTCGCCCTCACACAGATACCTTGCCACGCCTCTCGTTTCTCGATGCTGAACTTCTGTTCCTGATTCCTCCCCTTTACCGTGACTAGAATTCATTTCATTGTCGCCAACATGCCCAGCATTGCCCGGTTCCGCACACTTTGGGGCATCTCCCCCGGCGACAACTTTGCCAACTGGATCGCTTTGTTCCCCGATCTGAAGACCAAGGGCTACAGTAAGTCTAAGCTCGCATCATCGCGACAACTTGTGAGGACGATCTCATAACTGATCTCTACCTTCCAGCCGGAGTCGAGATCGATTACAGAGACATCCCCGCCGAGCAATTACCCGAGCTGAGACGCATCCTCGACAAATTTGATTTCCAACTTGTGGCACAGTAAGCTTCAAGACCTGGCCTAGCCCCAATCTGTCGGCTGCTCTAACACTTTCACTCAAGGATCATGTCCTCATGGCCTGGGTACGAGGGCCCCAGGCCACCAGGGCTGACGCCAAAGGATCACCTCGCGCACTACCGCAAGCAACTCGAACGCGCGCAGGTTCTCAAGCCCGTCAAAGTCAACGCACAGTCTGGAAGGTATGTCTCCCGACAGGTAATGAGTCGATCATGGGCAAATGCTAAACTTCGAGGTGTAGCGACATCTGGACTCTCGATCAGTCGGTCGAGTTCTATCAGGGCACCTTCAAGATCGATGAGGAACTGGGGTTCGCGGGACGAGTAACGCACGAGACACATCGAAATCGATCCATGTTCAACCCCTACGCGGCAAAGTACATCCTGGAAAGAGTGCCAAAGTGAGTAAACACTTCAAAACCGATGTAGTCCGGCATCTGTTCTGACAATCGCTACTCCGCCTTAGTCTTCGCATTACCGCCGACATCTCCCACTGGGTTGTCGTATCAGAACGCCTACTAGACGAGTCAGTGGAAGACCAAGAGATTCTCGAAAAGGTCATCCCACATGTAAGTCAAATGGAAACACCATGACTCTGGCTTGTAGACGATGGGTCTCGACACTGACGCCTCAGTAGATTTACCACGTCCACGCCCGCATCGGCACAACACAGGCTTCGCAGTGTGCCGACCCATCAGATCCAGTTTACAAGCCCGAACGGGAGTTCTTTGAGCGATTCTGGACAAAGGTCATCCAGCATAGCGCAACTCGTGGCGCGGACTATCAGATTTCGTTTACGCCCGAGTACGGGTGAGTGCAATCAGTTCCTCTCTGTTTCAATAAGCATGCGAGGTGATTGGAATCATGCATACTAACATACGAATCCTACACTAGTCCGTACCCGTACCACCCCTACCACAGCCCGAGAGTGTACACCGAAGTCGCCGATACCGAGGGTCTTCGCCTAGAGGGTATTTTCCTGGCCGCCATGTAAAAGAATGTCCCGATCATTGTGGTCATGATTACTTTGAGATACGGCAGCTGGCATGCGAAAAATGATTCGTGGTTCGGTAATTGGGCACCGTACATTCATTGGTTGCGGCCGTAGACTCGGTAGAATTAGACAGCATCTCAATTCATCTGCATGAATTCACAGTACAGACTGGAATCCAATACCTTTATATTGGTTTTAAATCATATCCTATTTGCTCAAATGGTCCCGAAGGCAACTTACTAGTCGCACGTCTCAGCTAGTTGAGCATACCCAGGTACCTCGTCTCAATCTTCGTGTCTTTGGTCGTGCCCTTGACTCCAATCTTGACAACTTCACCAGGGACAATGTCAACCAAGTTGTCACTGAACACCACAGCATCATCCTCGACCTCCAACGCGACACCCTTGACGGGAAACTCGGCGCTAATCTCAACCACATCACCTCCTTCCGCAAGCGTCGCCTTCAAGTTCTTAGGCTTCTGCAAGTGCAGATACTTGAGCGGCTCAGGCCAATTGACGTACCGTGCAATCTGCTTGCCGTTCTGAATCAGGTATGCCGCGACGACTGTCTTGGCCTCGTCGCCCTTTTGCCTTACCGGGACCTCAAAAGCGGCCATCTCCGTTGACCTATTCTCAGGTAGGACAAAGCTCTTGTCAACAGTCTCAGAGTACGTCTCCTCGCCGGTCTCGACGTCCCATGCCTTGACGAGCAGGTCGACGGTCAGGTCTTCCAGTTGCAGATTCGAGCCCCAAATCTCAATCTGCGTCTTGGTCTCGATGTCGACGCGCGTGTACTTGTCCTTGGGGTGCTTGTGCTCCGTCCGTGTGATGCCAATGGAGATTGGCGCCATCTCGCGCTTGACGGTGAAGTAGGCGTGCTTGGGTCGAAGGTAGTAGTCGCAGATGGCCCAGGACGTTACAGGCCAGCAGTCATTGATCTGCCACACCAAGGCTCCGCCGCAGTATTCTCTGCCGGGACCCTTCCACTGCCTCTTCCACAGCCTGTAAGCCGAAGCAAGGCACTCGGCCTGCATGAGCTGCGTGCAGTAAACAAAATGTTCCAGGGGATCGGGTGCATAGCGGAAGTTCTCCACCAAGTACAAGGCAATGCGGCGCTCGTGGCCGTCCGCCTTGTTGTGGAAATCAATAGTCGAGGATTGAGGGTAGCGATCCGGGTCGTCTTTGCCCTTGGGCAGATACGCGTCAATGGTCTTGACTGATGGGAAGGCCTCCATGCCAAACTCTGATACGAAGCGGCCGACGAGCTTGTCAAAGTTTTGGTACTTCTCTTGCGTGCCGTGCCAGACGTTCCACTGGTGAAGATCGCCCACCGTGGGGTCTCTGGTGTCCTCCCCACTCCAAGGGCTGCCAAAGTGGTAGTAGGTATCGGGGATGAGGTCCTTGCAGGTATCGACAAGAATCTTTTCGTAAATGTATCGCGCAGGGAAGTCGGTCTTGAGCCAGCTCTCTGCGTCCTTGTTTGCGAAGTCGTAAGTCAGGTTCTCGCTCTCTGCGTACTGGTAGTCTTCGTTGTTGCCCGCCCAAATGACGATGGAGGGGTGGTGACGCAGCATCTTGACGTTTTCTCTCGCCTCTCTGTTGATGGACTCCAAAAGTTCTGGCCAGGTAGGGTAGTTGCCACAACCAAACATGAAGTCTTGCCATACGAGGATGCCGTACTCGTCGCAGGCATCGTAGAACTCCTGCTCCTCGTAGATACCACCACCCCAGACACGGACCATGAACTGATTGCCGTCTGCCAGCAGGCGGATCCAGTCATAGTATCTCTCCTTGCTGATGCGGGGAATGAAGTTGTCTGCAGGAATCCAATCACTTCCACCACAGAAAATGGGCACATTATTGACTTGGAAGAAGAATGATGTTCCCGGCTGGTCCTTGACAGGTCTCTGCACCAGCTCCACCTTGCGAATGCCAATCTTCTTGGATAGGGTATCGACCTCTTCGCTGCCGCTAAGGAGGGTGGCCGTCACTGTGTACAAGGGTTGCTTGCCGTAGCGAATTGGGTACCACAGCGCAGGGTCTTGTATTTGGAAGGTCGCTGAGATATCTGCGTCGTCTTTGGCGTCGATCGTCTCAGAGGCCAGCGATTTGCCATCGAGAGACACATCAAAGCGTACTTTTGAGGCCTTTCCTTCGGTGGTGGCGTGCGCAACGACCTTGGCACTCTTAAGGGAGTCGTCGACGGTGGTCTCGAAGTAGAGGTCGGAGAGACGGGACTCGTAAATCTCGAGGTTGATGGGCCTCCAAGGGCCGCATGTCAGAAGAGTCGGGCCCCAATCCCAGCCCTGACAGCGTTAGCACAGCCATTCCCACGACGGAGGGATTACGGAGGGCATACCCAGTGGTATTGAGCTTTTCGGACAGCAAGTCTCGAGTTGTCACCATTCCAGCATCCCCACTTGTGGTCAGGGTACTCCTCAACCAGCTTCCAACCCCGTAGGTATGCGCTGTCGAAAGTGATCTCGAGATCGTTCTCTCCATCCTTGTTCAGGACAGATGTGACGTCAACACGCTCTGGTGTGAACATGTTATCCGTTTCCAGGATCGTCTTGCCGTTGAGCACAACGGTAGCAAAAGTGTCGAGACCGTCAAAGGCCAAGATTACTTTGGCGCCCTCGGGAATGGCCTCGGAGGCAAAGGTGGTCTTGTACAGCCATTGCACCTCGCCGATCCACTGCACGTCAAGCTCGTTTTTGCCAATGAATGGGTCGGGGATGACGTTGTGGTGAATGAGGTCGAGATGGACGTTGGTCGGGAATTGACTGACGGCAAGGAGCTCACTGTCCTCCTTGTCAGCCTGTTTGAACTGCCAGTTCTTGTCAATCGGAACAACGGTTCGCGATGCCATGGCTTGGAGCGGGCGGCGGTGGCTGGATGTGTTAGCCGTGGAAGAGCTATGGATGAGTTGAGGATGAACGCGCATTGCGTTGCGGGGCGAGAAGAGATGCTATGAGGATGCGCAGAGATGTCAATTGAAAGAGCAAAGGGACCGAAGCTCACCAGAGATAAAGGAGAAGAAGTCCGGGGTATTCGTAGACGCGCGCAAGAGCGACGATGAAGTCGGGAGTGAGCGCACCGAGCGCAGGTGCCCCGCGGAGGATGGCGGGGTAGATAGGTACTGGTCCGGGAAAGGGACGGGGGTGTTGGAGGGGCGGAAGGGGGGAGATCGTGGTGCTCCCAGGTACTGTGAAAAAGTTGAGGCAAGGGTAAGTAAGACTAGACACTAGGTACTCTCGCTCAGTCGATAGCCTCACGACAATCTGGAACAGCGGTGAGTAAAGGTAATCGTGTAGCTGTGAGTGGAAGCTATCAGATCAACTTAAATAAAATGACCGTCCCAAGCGTGACAGGTTGGGAGGATGTGCCGTCTTCATATACTCCGTACTCCTCACCATCTCATCCATGCTTCACCCTCCTTCACTCACTCAGTCACACCAGACCAGGGAGCTCTCTCCACTCGAGCTCACCTCATCACCTCACCTCATCTCATATGTTTGGTTTTTGTCATTGAGCTTCCTCCAATTCGTATAGCTCGCCTCACCTCGGGAACGGCGCAGAGCTTCTCAAGTCAGAGGATCCCTGATGCTCGATCAACATGTTGAATTCCCAGGACGAGGAGCTGCTCCAATCTCGTGCTACTTGGCCCAGTCTGAATGACGGGACGACATCCGCCGAGATGCATCTTCATTCCCTCCATGCCCGATCCATGATCCAGGATACATTTTTTCCCACAGGTTTTCCTTGGAAGCCAGCTCCCCCACACCTCCCACTCCCTCTGTTCTCACTTATTCCCCTTCCGGTACAAGCCAGGCACGCGCGGAGAATGAGAGACGCCTCTTTTCTCCAACGGGCACAACGTATGCGTTCACTTGGAATGAGACGTTGTTTAGAGTGTGTGCTGCCCCGGTGTGGTTACATCCCTTGCTGGATAAAGTCAACCTGCCGGCGGACTGCATTTGGAGGAAGCCACGCACATGGCTGCAGGATCAAGGGGTCTGAAGGAGGTGACCCTTTACCTCATGCTTCTGCTCAAATGGTCCAACTATGAAAACGTGCTTCTCTGATGGCGATGGTGTTCCTCGCTGAGTCGGGCTGGTTCAAGCCTACCGACGGCGCAGTACATATCCTTGGCGAGAGACCCTTCCCATCACGCCGGTATCCTCTTACAACTCACCAAGGCAAGTCGGCAACTCATCCCATTCGAAGATGTTTGTCCCAGTTCCCATAAATATCGTCAACTCTCACCATCGGGGATATAAATCACCACCCTCGAGTGGGGAACCGCCCTCTTACCCCAAAAGCCTCCCCCAATTCCACCTTGCAGACCCCTGCTCACCTCGGTGGGGTTCGTTCGCGGAGGGAGGCCCTCCGCCTTCTCTATTGGGAATAGAACGTGGAAATCGCTGCATCATTCTCCGATGCTCAAGGGCCCGAGGATAGCCTCATGACGACCGGTCAACTCCACATTGCCAGTATCTAAGGTACTGTCTCTGCAGATTTTATTGATTTCGAAGCACTGGCATTCTCGGCCGTGTTACAAATGGATTGCGACTCTGCAGCTCGCCGTTTCAAGCCTGCTGTCCTTCTCATCCTGCTTTCTCAAGGTGGGCTTCCAGTGGGACGGATGCATTCCCGCCGTTCATCAGGTCCGTCAAGAGACGGCCAATATCAGACTTCAAATATTGCATTTGCCAACCTTTCAGGGAGCCAAACCTCCGTCACGAGAGTTTTAAGATTGCCCTTCCAAATACACATCAGATCATGCACACCGTTCAATGTTCCGCTCACGGTCAAACCCACCCCGGCGCCTGCGAAGCGTCACATCACCGCTGCGAACACCAATCGTCCTGTGTGCATATACCAAAAGGTGTCATTAATGTATGTAGCTCAGAAAACGAAGCGTGTATGTGTACGACCAGCCCCGACCTGGGAACGAGGGATCTATCCCGTAACGCCAGCTCCCAACTTCGACCTGTGAAGCGAACGCGGCTCCTCCGTCATCAACCAAAATCAGATACCAACGCTAATCTCGGACCCTCGAGTCCAAAGTATCCCGGCCCTTTGATGGACCATCCCTTGGAAAGTAAGACTCCTCGCAAAACTCCACGCCCAAAGATACCAACCAGTAAGAACCCAAGTTTCGTCTCTTTCACCGGCGCACACGTCACCGAACCATCAGCAGCAGTTGCCACCCCTTCGTCGGTTCGACAACGTGAAGACTTCTTCCCAGTCTCTCAAACCCCAGTTTGCGCCGCTGCGCGTGTTTCGTCGGCCCCTTCTTCTGCGAACACCTCCCGCCGCTTCATCTAGTGTCGCGCCAGTCATGGAACTCTTGATGCTCGCGCCGTCGCTGGCTCCCGCATTCCATCCTCCGCCGTATCCGTCTCCATACTGGATGCCGCTCATCGGGTCGTCCGGGTCAATGTCGCCCAGTTCGATCTTGGTAAGGATCATTCTAGCAAGCCTCGCAAAGATCTCGTCGACGTTTTCGCCGTTGAATGCGCTCGATTCCATCACCACGGGGATTCCGACCGTCCCTGCCCATCTGTTCGCATCGGCATTACTGACTTCCCGCCCTTCCGGCGCCTCCGTGGCCTTTTGCTGCGTGCCGAGCGACGGCAGACTTGTTCCCGTTGATCCGACGGAGCCGTTTGCGAAGTACGACATGGAGCCGACGCTGCTCGGTGTTGGCGGTGGAAGGCTTGTATCGATAAGAGGCTCGGTCGCGAGATCGAGCTTGTTGCCCACTAAGAGGCAGGATAGATTCGGCGATGCTAGTGCGCGGGCATCGTTGAGGAAGGGCTGTAGACCGCGGAAACTGCTGTGATTCGTGACATCGTAGACCAGAATAGCGCCGGCGGCGCCTCGATAATATGACCGCGAGACGGAGCGGAATCGTTCGGTGCCAGCCGTATCCCAAAGCTGGTGTTTCTGTAGTCAGCATCACCATCCTCATCGTCCTACTCGGCTGTCATGTTGAGAGCCTTGCGAGCATACCTGAAGCTTGATCCGTTTCCGCCGTGATCCGGTGCCGACCTTGATAATCTTGCTCGCGAACTCGACGCCGATAGTCTGTGACGACAGGACTCTCCACTCGTTCTTGACGAAGCGGTGAAGCAGACAGGATCTGATATCGCGAAGAAGCGCCATGTTAGCTATGTGCAGGTGCCGGAGATGGTCGCGTGCTCCCATCCGGGAGGGTTGATGCCACTCACTTGCCCGTCCCGCTCGGTCCCAGCAAGATAATCTTTGCCAGGTAGTCGTACATGCTACCCAGCTCCTGCACACACCGTCAGCACCCTAATCCGTATCATGTTTCCCCTCGCTGTCAGATGGCAGCGCATTTAGGTGGAGCCTCACCTGCTCGCCGGCGGTGCCGTTGCTCTCCTCGCTCGCGGCGCTGGAACGACGCGGTCTCGTCATCGTGGCGGTGCGGAATGTGTTTACTGCAGCGCGATGTGGTGTATCGGTCGGAAAAGTCGGGCGACAGCGGCGCAGCAGCGATAAGGCCGAGGGAAACCAAACGGCGAGAGGAGAGAAAGTCGTGCAGTTTGTAAGCAAAAGACGGTGACAGTTGTAGATCGGGGGGGCCGATAACGCGTTCAGTCGCAAGTTTTGATTCGCAAAAAGCAAAAATGCTAGGAATAAAGCAAAGGAAAAAATAAAAATCGGTGGCCTCTGGGACTGGCAACGATGTTAGGGTCGCAACGAGGAACAAAAGGCGTCAGTCAGATCGGATTTGTTGTTTCGAGTTGGGTAAGTGAAAGGAAAGTTGACGTCGAATGCTGCGCTGAGGTGCGTTGCGCTCTTTGCCTTGTGCTGATTGCGTTGGTTGGTTTGGTTCGGTACAGCCAAGTGCGCTGGCAGAGGTGCTGCCCAGTTCTCTTGCTGTGTTCCACGCTGCAATGACGGCACACCACCACCAGACAACTGGGCCGGGCCTCCGCTGAGCTCCGCTGAGTCTGCGACATGGGATGGAGGCTCGAGCGCCAACGTCAATAAGCCCACCCACGCACGTGCCACGAGTGTGGCTTCCCAGAGTACGTATATTAGCCTTATGGTTCGCTTCCGGTGTACGTACTACCTCAGGTGACCCCGCCAATCGTGGCTTGACATTCCAGAATGACGGGAGTGGAGGTGTACGGAGTACCTGGACCAAGCCTTACTCACCGGGACCACACCGGCTGCCGAGGCTTGCCTTCATTCCTCACCGGACTACCGAGCTTTAGTGGAGTACCCGCTGTAGGCTCTCACCTCGACACCATCCTCTTTGACCTCCTTTGATCTCTCTCAACTGCAACACATGTGACTTGATTTATACTTTTCACAGATACACATCATCATGAAGATCGCAGGCCACACTTTCATCATCTCTGGCGGGTAAGCATCGCATCCCAACTCCATCTTCTCTCCATGCCCCAGCTAGCTCACCATCCCTGATCACATGCCAATGACCACCACGCTAACTTACATCCCATGACAGCGCGTCTGGCTTGGGACAGGCCTGCGTGGAGGACATATGCAAGAATGGAGGAAACGTCGCTATTCTGGATATGAATGAAGATAGTGGCAATGAGTTGGTGGCCAAGCTGGGCTCATCTGCCAAGTTCTTTGTCTGCGATGTCCTGGACACCAAGAGCATCGAGGCCGCTGTCCAGGGCACCGCCGCTTGGGTAAAGGAATCCGGTAAACCTGTTGGAGGTGTCATCCCAGCGGCCGGTGTTGGAAATCCGTCATCTGTATGCTTCCGCCCTCAAGCCTAAAAACTACTGTCGTGCATGTCTAACACTCGTGCCAGATTCTCGATCGCCATGGCGAGCCTTTCGGCCTTGACGCTTGGGACTTTGTCCTCAACATCAATCTGCGCGGCACCATCGACCTCACCCGCCAGGCTCTGGCCCTCATGGCAAAGAACGAGCCCTCAACACCCGACGGCGAGCGCGGCATCGTCATCATGGTCGCGTCCTCCGCAGCCTTTGACGGCCAAAAGGGCCAGGTCGCCTATGCTGCGAGTAAAGGTGCCGTCGCTGCCATGACCCTACCCATGACCCGTGACCTCGCTCGCTTCGGTATTCGCGTTGTCACCATCGCCCCGAGTCTGTTCGAGTCAAGGATGACTTCCATGATGTCCGACAAGGTCCGCGCTAGCCTCGAGCGCTCCGTGGAGTTCCCTGTACGTGCGGGCAAGCCCGAGGAGTTTGCGGCACTGGCCCGACATGCTATCGAGAATGTGATGCTCAACGGGACGGTGTTGAGGTTAGATGGTGGCATGCGGATGCCGAGTAAGATGTAGTCTAGTCGCGTGAAGTTAAAACAGTCATACAGGTTGGTACACGGCATGACAGCCGGTGAACGTAAGATGTACATCATTTTCCAGATGCTCGAATGCCGGACTGATACCCTGCAGTCCATTGATAAGTTTCGACGGCATGATCCAGTGGTAAGGCAGAGTTGAGTAGTGGTTGTAGACTAGATCTTGTCCTAGCGTGAGGCACATCCTCTTACCCATGCAGTTATACATGTGCCCGAAACAGAACCCAAGCTACCATTGGATCAAAGGCAACCGCTAGAACACTGATATATCCGAGGAAGTAATCCTGAGCCAGATCCAGACAAAGCTGCGAATTCGTGCAGCGAATCCCCATACGCATATCTTCCGAGATACCACGCAACTGTCCACTGCCAACTTCTGCATGTCAGCAAGGTCCACAGGTAGCGACACAGGTGGATATTGCTGTTTCCGGAATCCATACGAGCATGGCAGTCGGGAATGTCAAGGCAGCGACTTGAATACATGATGAGATACTCGTCGTAGTCTCGCTACTAAGTAGCTCTTCATCAGACGGGGATGGAATTGACGCATTAGATGAGGGCGGCGAGGCCCTAAGACACATGTCTGCCCCAAGATTGAAGTTGTCACATAGAACCGTCGTAGCGATGTATCGATACCAGGTGGCTCGTCGTATGGCAAAGAGAGGCGTCACGAAGTGTTCCTCTCTCTTATCTCCGTCCGATGTGGCAAGATGTATCCAGGCCAGCCTGAGAGGTGCGGTGACGATTGTGGTAAGTGTCATTGCAACAACTTTTGGCAAACGAGCCTTTGGCTGGGAGAAGACAAGGGTCTATTCCCATATAGCAGGCCCAAAGGCCAAGGGAAAGCAGGTGATTTGAGAAACATTCACGCATTCTGGGCGTTCTAAGGACGTTAAGGGGTGTGAATGTGGTGATGCTCATGTTATGTAGCATCGCAACATGCTGGCAAACCCTCCTAGTGGGCAAGAGATAGAAGAATGGGCCCAGAGCCTGTTGTTTCAAAGTCATTGTTCAGTTCTTGGTTGAACGATATAATAGTACTACCTTGAAGTTGATTGCTCGAACAAACCGATTATACAGTCCTAGAACTGCAGGTCCCTGACTCCCCAAGTCTACAAGATCCGTTGTACAAGAGTTTCTACTACAGCATTAACAAAATGAGAAAGAAACGATGGCGATTCTGCCAGAACTTGAAGCGCCTTTCGAGCTATTCGTAGTCGATAATCATCGTTACTGTTCAGCCTGAAGTGGTCGGACCGTATTGGGTCTTCATCATGAGTATATTCCGCCCGGCACTTTAAGTGTCCGGCCGTGATTCAACAATAAACGGTGGATCCCGCGGTTGGGACAACGCCTATAGGCTACTCTGCTTCTACACATAGCATTCCACAAATAATCACCTAGATTACTTCCACGCCACGATACTGCAAAGCCATTCCGATACTTTAGACGAGACCGAAGAGTAGCTTTGCAGACAAACTGCGCAAGTTGGGAGTGGCAGAAATGGCTCGAAGATGCTGGTAGCCTAGCTGGGTTGGCTGTGCTGCCTTAAAGGGGGTCATCAATGGACTGGGCTCAAGTGCTATCAATTCTTGAGTTGTGACCAACATCAACTTATAGCAGTACTTTGAGAAGTTAATATCTGTAGTATAGTGGTGATTCGAAGCATCAAGAAAGCGAAGGAAGCCTAAAAGGGGTGAGCAGGAAAATACTTCATCAATCAATCCCTCAATACTCTTACGAGTATTGGAAAGAAAGTCCCCATATGAACGAAGTCTACCTCGCATATTGCGAAAAGGTAAAAATAGAAGGGGCAGGAAAGATGAGGGCTAGTAAAAAACGAAAGAGTCCAGAGTCCAGAGTCCAGAGCGTATCCTTCATCGTCAGACTGAACACGTGGATGACTGAGTACATATCCTTAGATGGAATAGAATCACACGGCTGACTATAGAAGGCACGACCAGGTCACGGCTCATTGCTTCTTTCTAATTCTCAACATGCGTCGAGTCCTGCAAACTTTTGATCCGCTCGCACAAGACTGCCTCACCTTTCTTTCGCACCCTCAACCACTTTCCCAACTCACCCTCACCCACACACATTCAGTCTTGCAATTATTTCTTCATACGCAATAGCCTTCGCCTTTTGTCTACCTCCAGCAACTGCCGACAAGATGAGCGCCATGTCCTTTGGTCCTGGCCAGACCCTCACCGCTGTCAGTGGTGACAGCGGTGACGGATTCCCGCTTCAACAGATGCCCAATGAGCTCATCTTGGAAGTTCTGCACCATATGGACGACAATAACATCTCGCTCCTCCCGATCTCGATGACTTGCCGACTCATGAGACGACTGAGTGTTAGCATGCTTTTCCGAGTTTCTCAGATATCCTGCGCTGAAAAGGACCTCCCTGATCGTGTGAGGGATATTCGATGGAATCGATCCATCCTTCGCGCCATTCGGTATGTCTGGTATCTACCTACCTGGCATGGGTCTCTCGACTGACAATGACTTCCTGTTAGGACACTCAGCATCTACACAGAAAGTCCCCCGACCTCACGAACCCCCTCCAACTTTCCACGGATCCCAAACGTCAAGTTCAATGGTAGACCGTCATATGCGACGGAGCTTGCCCGGATGCTCATCGCACTGCCCATTCTCGAGGAGCTTCGACTTGACTTTCGATTCAAGGCAACAGTGTCTCTCATCAAGCCGTTTATTCGGCATCTCGAAAGAAATCCTGACCAATGGAGTCTCACACATGTCACGGCTCTGACTTTTCCCGCCACGGCCAACCTCAGCTTCATCGTTGACGCCTTTCCACATCTGAGAGCTTTGAGCTTTGAGGCGCCCTTGAACAAATCACTGAACTCGATCGAGGGTCTGAATAAGGTCGTCGATTCACTTGGGCCCCAGCTCGCATACGTCCAGATATGCAAAATGAGATGGGATTACAGTGACTTCCAAGAGGTTGCGAGAATGTTCCCTCACACGACGCACTTGACTATGGGCGGGGCCATGGTCTTTGGTGGTTCACCGACACGCCCGAATTGGGATCTGAAGGTGAGTGAATGTTGCATCCTCTTATCATCTCCCCGTCCTTGCTACAAACAGCGTGAACACCCTGCTAATTGGTTTTGCAGCAAGCGACTAGACTCCTGAGACCTATGACCAACCTCAAGGTCCTTGCACTCAGCGATGAGCGATGCCGCTCTTGGCTGAATCCAATTGTGCCAGCTCATCGTCGGGCTTCAACGATTGCTACGAAGCTCCTACCCGCCATTGGTTTCCACGATGCCAGGTCCCGAAGGACAGACCAGGCATGGGGAATTTGGCAGAGGCTCCCTAAGCTAGATATCCTGTATCTTATGGACAGAGCCTTTGAGGGACATTGCTTTGTGCCCGTCAAGGCAATGGTCAAGGATGAGCAAGAGCGAGAACAAGAGCAAATCGTCGACGTCAAAGTCACGGATGATCCGCAGGAGCTGGCCTGGCTTGACAGCTTTGGCCAAGTGAAGCCGTAGGTAGGGATTTTCGAACATTGGGACTAGCTCGACATTTGCGGCACACCGTTCTTTCTACGTTTGCCTTCCCAAGCACCTAATAGTTGGCCTACTAGGGCCATAATGCTGTGCAATACCGGGTAACAAGGGCAATTGGAGTGCAAAGTGCAAAGGGGTACTAGAGGTACCATGGGTATAAGGCACAAGGCACAAGGCACAACGGAGTTTAGGTAGTTGAAATTGGTGTTTAATTGGGCAAAGACGTCTCATGATCTTGAATTTTCACGTGAATGAGCTGTGTATCTTGGCTCCTGTGATTCTCATGTCTATCTATTGGACCTTGCAGAGCAAGAGACATATTCTGAGCTTATCACTAGTTCTTTGTTCATGTTTCACTTACTTCATTCCCTTCTCCATCGTTCTCATGACCTTAGGTCCTTTAAGGAGACCGCAGATGTGTGGGAATTACCTCTCTTTGTTGATATGCAAGTACCCAAAGCAAAGCATAGCAAAGCAGATCAAGGTGAGTTGATGCAAGGTGAGGACATGACACATTGAATGTGCCTGTCTGCTCACCTCCTACCTGCCTCGGGAACGTAAGACAGTTATTACCTTCCTAAGGCGGTTCCTGCCTTTTTTTGCCTTCCTTGCACGGAAGAAGGAGCCTCCCATCACTTTCCCGTGCCTCCCTCCCTCGATTCCCTTCCACAGACTTCCATTGCCAACGTATTTGCTGCGAGATTTTGCCGGCCCTTGGGTTGTCGAGCCCCCGTCACAATTCTTCATATTGTTTTCTCTCTGCACACTTCCTCAAGTCCGGAGTCCGCCCCTTTTGAGACAGCAAACTTCCAATCGCTCCATCTTTAGCTTCCGCCTGTCATCCATCAATGATATGGAAGGAATCCGAGAAGCCACTAGCCGGCGACTTTCGTGAAATATGACATGATGGTGCCGTTTCGATCTTTCGGCGACGCCTTGGCCTTTCCAGATACGATCTTCTGGCCCTTAACCTGCTTGATACTAACTTGCGAAGCATCCGAAAGACTCGATACCATCACTGGGCCAGCATGAGTTCATCTTCGACCACTTCGCCCTTGACGACAGTTTCTCCTTGGCTTTTAGCCATTTCTCCTGCAACTCCGCTGGGTTCCACACGTTGCTTGCCCTGAAGACCTTTCCTCTCTCCTTTTCACATCACGCCCGCTTCACTTGCTCGTTCCCTTCCCCGGATGGCTGAGATCTCTTCATGGCCTGGCGTCTAGGGCATTCAAAGATCACGTTGCCGTAAAAGTTCCCAGTCGTCTTCTGTGACCACCTGAAGAAATCTCGGACTTCTTGAAGGCACCTATCGATCGTTTTCTCCGACTGGTGTTCTGTCCCTTCTTTAAACACTGCCAGGTCCATGGTTATGCTTGCAAGTTCGATGACTTCCGCTTGGCCCGAAGCATCGAAAGATCATCATTGAAAGCGTCGTCCCTGGCGCAACTGATTCTTGTAGCAAATAATCTCCCTTATCATAAAGATCATCTGTCGCAGCCATAACTTCTCGGAGGGTCCTCTTGATGGCTACAATCGTGGCCTCCGCCTGGATGACCGCTCTCCTCACTTTAGTCTCTTTTGCGAGAGCGTCTTGGAGGCTCCGCTGGCTGGCTTTGTGCTCTAACACACGATCTCTTGCCTTCAAGCCGGCAATGTAAAAAGTGTGCAATGCGTACAGGTGCTAACGAATGGTGTTATGTCGGCTGAGCCCGCAGTGTGGGCAAGGTAAGGTTGGTTTCATTCCGATGGACATGGGCAGAGGTTTCTTTGGATGACTCGTCGAGTATGGAACGGCGGTGATTGGTCTATTATCGTTACTGGGGGCGACTGTGCTGTTCCCATTCCGAATGCGCACTCTGAGTGATTCTCGATATTTCTGACTTGCTGATGATGATAGAGAGAACAATCGCTCGCGTGAACGATAGGAACGTCGATATTCAGGTTCTGGACCACTCCTTCCCTGTTAATCACTCTCGCTACCTTCATTAAGAGGACCACAGATATCTGTGAATTCCCTCTATTTGTATCTACTCATTGTATCACGGAAGTATGAAGTACCCAAGGTAGCTGAGATGCCCTAGCGGAGCGGTCCTGAGACAAAGGTAGTCCAAGGTAAAACATGCCAGAACATGTAGCCTTTGATCACAGTTATCTTACCTTAGGTTTTGGAAGGCTATAGCAGCTTGCCTGACGGTGATAGCCTACTATGCCTAAAATATCCTGCTTCTACCACTTGCCTTGGATGCCTTCCCAAGGTGGCCGCTTCTTGCATCTACCTTTACCTCAACTCTTCCTGAACTTCGGATAGGAGTCGCACCTTCTCCTAGCTTCCTTCGTCAGAGTAACTCAATCCGCTTGTTGCCCTCAATACTTTAGCTAAATAACCAGACCTTGCCACTTCCTGGCCTAGTTTCCAATTATCCCCCCTGCGGCACTTCCTTCAGTCCGCCTTCTCGAGGCAACTTCCACTCGACTCACCACCTTCAACCTCCAACTTCCTCAAGCCATCTATCCAAGAAGAACCCAAGCCCGCGATGGATTTTGCCGAGGAAAACGGCGATACCGCAACCGAAGCAGTCGTATCCCCTCCCTACTTCCGCCCTTGCCTCGTTACCTTGCCTCCAGAGCTGCTCATCGAAATCATCAAATTTGCTATGCTTTCCAAAAGCCGAAGAGGCGTCTACTTCGAGAATCGAAACAATCTCAGAGAAATTTCTCGGGTTTGCAAGCTCCTCCGTATTTTTACTATCTCTTTCCTCTTCAAGACTGTCCGTCGAACGATCAATGAGGACAAGATCCACGCGCAACTCCAAGCCCCCAAAGGAAACGCGTTGATTCTAGGTTCCATACGGTAGGTCAATACACGATCATCCTCTACACTATTTCAGTCTTCTTCCCTTTCATATGGCTCTATGTTCTGACATCACTCAAGCTACTTGTCTCTGTGTACCCGAGGCCCCGAGTGGCCTCCCGAAAAGTGGCGAGATCACTACAATCCGTCCATTAAACCATGTTCGAGAGCCACAGCAGCACTTCTCGTCAAGGTTCTGTGCAAAATGACACCGGAGGAAGTCCGCATTACCTTCCAATGCGGTTACAAGTCCATGGTTGCCCACTTCCGGGCAGAGCTTGTCAAGCAGAAGGCATGCATGCAATCTGTCCGATCTTTGACGTATCCATCATCGGTCACCATTCACTTCATCCTTAAGACATTCCCAAACCTTCGTTATTTAAGCCTCAATATCGATGGCTCGCCTATGCACGCTGCCGGCCTCATAGTCATCGCCCCGAAGTTGCAAACTCTCGCAACGCTGGAGCTCTCCAAGGCACATTGGACTTGTAAGGATATGGAGGAAGTCGTGGAGCTTTTTCCATCTATCAACTACCTGCTCATTGACGGCGAGCTTAAGTTCACTAGGGTGTCGGTAAGTTTGCGAGTGTGCCTCACCACTATCTCTAGCAGCATGTCCTTTCTATTAATGTTACCTCATTTGTTTCTCATACACACTTGCTGCCTACGTCGAGGTGGACAGTGGTCTGCGAACAACTAGTATTTGATGCTAATGACGTGCCATACATGTAGAGTCTCATTCCAATCTTCAGACGTTTCAGTCATTTGGAGAAGCTGGCTTTGACCGAGGTTCCTTGGGTCTATCCACCACGGGGGCTGGTGGGTGAAGCCTTTCAGAAAAGGATCAAGGAACTTCGGGCTTCCCATCGTCTTCGGGAATTGCCCGAGGTGAACGTATCTCAATTCTTCCATCAGTGCAAGTCCCTGAAGGAACTACTGTTGAAGGAGGACATGGACTCGAAAGTTTATCAGTCGGTCGGGCAGGGTCGTGACGTGATCAAAGTCAAGATAAAGAATCGCAACAAAACTGGACTGGGTCGTATCAAAATAGGCTGGCCAGTTGTTACTCATGCTATCTAGTGGTTTGCAAAGGATAAGGTTACTTTGAGACCGGAAACAGCAACCAAATGGGTGGTAGAAACTCGTGTCCAAAGATCAAATAACATAGTTCACATTTTTCTTATTCTTGTCGAACAGCACGTCGAGGCCAAGGATCTTCTATCAAGTGATTGAACACGGTGCATAGAAACATGACAAGGCTTGGACGGTCTTCGTTACTATACGTAATTTTTAAATGCCCATGGATCGTTCATAGTCCTGACCAGATGGACCCCACCTGCTCCAGAGGCCAAGTAAGAAAATGTCGGTGACTATCCCCAAGTATCGCGTAAACGCCATTGATGACCTGGAGAGACCATCCCTCCATAAACCAGTGATGTTCCAATTGCTGCAGCAGAACAGCATAATAGCCGAGAAGAACCAGTGGTACGGCTTCCCTTCTCTCTATAGACTGTACAAAATCATCTTTAAGCACGTACAGCCAGCCGTAAATGATGGAAGGGATTTGTTCGTCGTCAACTTCTGGCCCTCCAGGCATGAAAAGCTTGCGGTAACATTCTTTCAAGTGGGCTAAAGCAGGACGATGAATGCTTTCTTCGACAGCACACGTCTCATCCACGAACTGTTCGATCTCGGATAGGGGCTTCTCCCAGTGCAGTACAAGCGGTGGAACGCTAAGAACCGAGAGTTTCGGTTCGTTCCATGTCGAACTACCACAGAGTAAAGCTTGCGATGCCTCTGTCCTAAGATTTTGTATCCCTATTGTACTGATCACGATCTTTACCCCTCTCATCAACGACCACCACGACACTTCGTCCTCCTCGGCGTCAAGCAAGATATTGCCTGGTGACGGGTCTCTAGCAAAGGAAGATAGACTGATTAGGACTGTGGCGTAGTATAGTGCCTGCGAATTCTCTTCGCTGAGTTGCGCGAGCATGGCGGTCACTTCTGGAAATGCTGCTGCCGCATGGTCTTCTGCTAGGCGGTGATAATATCCCCTTTGATCGGGTTTTAATCGGGCGAGATGGCGGGCGGTGATTGATAGAACCATTCGCATCACGCAGTCGTACTTGAAGCCAAGAGGCGGAACCACATCCCGGAAGGTTTGGGGGTCTCCTAGTGTTGTCGAAGTATGACACATGTAGTAGTGTAGGAGTTCGAGGCTCTTAATGTCGAGAAGACAGGCATTGCGTAAAAGGGGATCGATGTGACTTGATGGCGTAGGAGTCTGGCCGGAGTCTGATTCCATGTCCAAGTCAGAGGCTGTCGGGGTAGGTAGGTCTGTGGCTGGCTCCCGTTCTCCGTGTTGTCGTTTTCGTTTCCCTTTTCCATGACGTTCTTCGTCCCCCGAGGATGTAGACGTCTGTACTTCTGTGGATGTAGAGAGATAGTCACATCTCATGGAGAATCTTAAGCAGTTGGCGCACTCGGGGTGAGTCTCATCGCACTATAGAGCAAGAAGGTCAGCTCGATGAGGATTCAGGGCATGTTTTCTGGGGCGACTTTGGTATAGTGGGTGTAGTTGGGCGGACCTTGACTTTGCGTCTCTTGCAGTTTTGACAGCCGTTTCTAGACTTCTTGTGCGATCGCCTCTTATTCTTTCGACATGACCCGCAGCAGCAGCCTCCGGCACGGGTGGTCGTCGAGGAGGAGCCCGAGCAACTGTCGATATCTTCACCGGCCATAGTCACCAGTGTATGCTTCCAATCTTTTCAAAGTTTAGTCCTCCGAGTAACTTCGTATAGGCGATTGCAAAGGTGTTTCCGAGGCTATTCAGGGCACTTTTCTGTCGCGTTGGTGAAGCTTGAGACGGTGCTCACAGGTTGGCGCGACTCGCATGCTGTGGGCGTGCTGCGTCTTCGATAGGGTGTGAGCTCGGTCTCGCGTTCCGACGACGGGATGTAATTCCGTCCTAAAAATCCTATAGCAAAAGGATGAGCAGAACAACCTAGCTTTATTGTGGTTGAGAGAAAACAAGCCTTTGGTTAGTTCGTCGTATTCAATACGAAAATCCTCCGACGGGAGTAGATCATTGGATGGCCTGTCTCGGGTTCCCTACCGTCTTCTCCACCCACATGAAGTCAATGCCATAGAAACATCCACGGGGCTGGTCTGATTGGCTCGAGGACATCATCGCACGAGGCTATAATCCATGGGAAATTATTCGAGACATCTGAGGGCTAGCGGGTAGTTCAGGCTACTTTTACGTGTGCTCTTTGAGCCCGGGGCGCAGATAGGACCTCAGGTTCATGGTGATTAATAAGTTTGTCGCGAATCGTCGCTGACCTCCCGAGCTCGAATCGCGTTCGGCTTCTCTCTTGATCTCTAGAGACATCCGGATGGAGACCACCATATTCCATGTCTAATATCCATATTTGTGCTTCTTAGGTTGGCTTTCGTGTTGCGCTAGCTACCTTGGGCAGGAGGGCGCCGATTCGAAAGCAGATCAACTCCAAGTTGCTCTTACCGAGTATGTAAGGTGTAGACATCCTGTGTAGCATCAATCATCTGTTTCATCGCAGAGTGCTGGCGGAGTCATGAGGTGCATACCAAGAATACCGAGCCTCATACGAGTTTAGGTTTCTTGGACAGAATAGCAATTGGAAATAGGCTACTAGCAGCGGTCCATCAAATCCAGGACATTATCCTCACAGCAATTTACAAGAACCTTTGTCTGTTTCAGTGCCTGTCGAAACATTAATATTTGTTGACCTTTTGGTGGTTGAGGCTTGTTCATCGCGTTACGAGTAAGGACTATGACAAGTGTCGTATTCAAGCCAGAACATTGTCAAGAGCATCGCCTGCCTGCCACCTTCTGATGTTACCCGCCTGTTGCTCATACCACGCGTTCAAGGTACTCTCCTCGACGTAACCCATGTGTGGTGTCAGAAGCACCCTGCTGCGACCATCACGACCCCATTCGGTCGACCGCCACTCACTGTCCACAGGCAACGGCTCGAGGTTGAACACGTCCAAGGCACAGCCCCTGATCCCGCCCTTCTTCAAGACGTCCAGGAGATCCTCCTCTACTACGAGGGGACCGCGGGAAGTGTTGATGAACAACGCCGACTTCTTCATCTTGGAGAGATCATCCGCATTGATCAGTCCCCGAGATCGGTCTGACAGTACAATGTGGACGCTGAGAACGTCAGCAGTGCTGAAGAGTTCCTCTCTGCTGACAGCCCTGAAGGTGCCCACCGGCAAGCCCTCAGCCTTGGCCTTCTCGTTGGCAGCTTCCTGTGTCAGATTCGTGCTCCAAGCAATGATATTCATACCAAACGCCAAGTGCATGATCTTTGCCGTCGAGACTCCGAGACGGCCGAGTCCAACAACACCAAACGTCTTGCCAGTCATGCCTATAGCAACGTCCGTCTGCCACAAACCGGACTTGACAGCCAGGTCGTCGGCAGCAATGTTTCGTGCCAGCGAGAGGACGAGAGTCACACAGTGCTGAGTTGTGCTATTCGTGCCAGCCTGCTTGACTGTTGCCTTGTCCACGGTACCAGCGACGGGGATGCCGCGGTCCTTGAAGGCGGGGAGGTCGAGGCTGTTGTTACGCAGACCTGTGGAGAGAAGAAGCTTGAGGTTGGGCAGTCTTCCGATGAGGTCTTTGGGAAACGGGGTGCGTTCCCTCATGGTACCTTGTCATTCGTGTTAGCCTGGGCCCTGAACCGTATAAAACACCATGAAAGGCAACAGCGATGCTGCCATTCTATGTATGAGAATGAGGTATCATTACATAGAACATCGAAAGGCTCCAGCCTCGAGACCAATGCATCCTTGGCGTATTCAGGGGTCTCGGGATGATTGTAGGGCAGCAGGGTGTCCTTAAATTGGGTGACATTGAACAATGACTTATCCAGCTTGCTGAAGTGGGGTTCCGAGAGGCCCTGGTAGTCATCTAGGACGGCGATCTTGAGTTGCGTGACCTGAACCATGGCTGCTAGGAATCTAGACGAGGCCGGATAGCTAGCGGGAGTGTAAATGCGTTGTCCTGGATGCAGGGATCCGCGGCGAGCGAACGACGAAGTTGACCGGTTTAAGGGGGTCGTCAGAGTACTGATGCGGGTTGGGGAGCGATACGGCCTCATGCAGAAATTGAAGCAGCGGAGTATCGATTCGAGGAAGCAAGATAGCACACTGGTGCTCCTATTCTCACGAGGAGGTTTGGTGGTTTCAAGGTGTTCCGGGCGACGGTGACTCAACTCGGGATTTCTAAGTAGGCTTGGGGATCTTGGCGGGGCGTATGAAGTCGGCGGCTTACAAGCGAACGTGCATATGCAGCCTTACTTGACAGGATCAGGTAATTCGATAAACAAACTGGTCAGACAATGGAAAGTAAGCTTCCGAATAGAGGTAAGCCCTGCACGAGGTGTGGTTGGACGAGACGTTGTTCTCTCGCGACGTCAGTTGTCGAAGTCACGAATAGTTCTCAAATCACTCGTAGAGCATCTAATACCCCGGCGGAGGGGTAATACATTAGCCACCCAGAAGGCGTCTTCGTGGGGTAAGATGAGGGGAAGAGACCGATCCGGTACCGAAATCCCGAGTCTGTGTTCTTCGGTTTCTAGAACAGTAGAGAGTTAACAGCGTTCCATCGACATGACTGACTTGTTAACAACCTATCGACAACTGTTTCGCCTGTTCAAAATGCTCGGCGCGCATTCGACCGCCGCGAGCGCCTCATCTGATGGCAAGAGCCTGTCAAGAGTCAAGACTCAAGCCCAAGTAAATCGGCGCGTCGGGACGCATCGGCATTCAGGCCGGGATTTAACGATTGACGAATTATCTAATCAACTCTGGTCATAGTCTTTGCTAAGACAGCCTGCTATCTCATAATCTGGCATGCTTACGTACTCTCTGTCTCTTTCTCGCCCACATTCCTGGCCCCCAATCTCTCCAGGGTGATGGCCAGACCACTCGGTGCCCTCTGGAGAGTGAGAGTGTGAGACTCTCCATCGCGCTCACTAGTCATGGGCCACCCATGAGGGCCAACCCGGAGTTGGGATGGAGATTGCCCGGAGGTTTGTGGAGTTGGCGTTTATTTACCCAAACAACGGCGCCTAGCTAACCTTGCGTTCCCCAAGTCTCTGACCGCTCCGTTCCGGGGACAATGAACTGAATTTTGAAGACCCAAGAGGGTCTCTCCAGTGCTCACGTTGTTTCTCGGACCATTACGAATGACGCCATCGACTAGCGGCCCACCAGAGGAAAATATTTGCTAACAGAATTTGACACCTTCACCAACAACTGTAGGAGGATGGCGAACGCCGGGCAGTCAAACGGAGGTCGGAGGAGAATGCCTATTATTGCACGACGCTGAGGTGCTCACGCGAACCCGACGGAATGCCAATGCCCGTCTTCATCCCGTCCGGCTCCTCGCTTCCTGTGTTGGCGTGTCTGGCTCTGGATACCAAGAAGGAGGAATACTTCAGAAGTTCCTCGCCAAGCAACCCAAAGCATCCACCGGTGCGCACCAAGTCGGTTGATCGGTTGGCCGCTGCCAAGTCGGTTCAATTCAACTGACAAACGATGCTTCTCTGGTAGGTTGGTTTCCGGGTGGCCAGGTACCGCATCCTCTCACCTGATTCTGGAATCTGTATTCCTTGTTGTAGCTGATGATGAGATTTGCCTCCCTTCTGATGGATTGTAAGTTTGACCGCAACCACCGTAAAAGAGGCAATCACCAGAGCACCAGAGTAAAGGTGGTTGTCTATCAATGATGAATCGAGATTGACCCCAGGCTGCGAGGGGTACTTAGCGTAGGGAGGGTCTCAGTCGCTGCGCTCTTCGCTGATCGCTCGTACAAATGTAACGTGATGTCGACAACAAGCTTTGCCAGCCCTTTCGGCCGTTCTCTCCGTGTCTCTCGGCTCTGCTCCTGGCGCTGTCGTCTGGTCTTGGAGCCTGAAGGCTGCTGCGCCAGTGCGCCCATCCCGTCGCGGCGTCGCCTTGACTCAATGCTCTCGCTATTCTCATGGAGCGCCTTTCAAGCGTCAAGCCTTTGCCGCCGCGAGCCTCTGCTAGCCTTCCAGCCTTCCAGCTAGGCAAAAGCTCGGCAAGACTGGGCATTTGCTGGGCAAAGCTGTGCAGCGACAGAAGCAGACGTCCTGATAAACCTTGCCGCACTCGAGTCTTACCGCGAAGCGACATGGCTCGCACGTTATGAGAAACTGGCGTTCGGGGGCGCGCGGAGAGTTTCCAGGGCCCTTTGGCCCTCGTTCAAACCCCTCCCCGGACGCCACCTGCGTCGTGCTAACTAGGGGACTTATCCTCGCATTCTCACCCGTCCTACCCGTCACCTACGACTCCATCGCCGTGCAGGCGTTCGTCCCAATGAAAGACTTCGCTCCTACACCCTCTCGTACTGTGTGGCCTGCAATTAATCTTGGATTTCGATGTTGCCTCGCGACACTCGATTTCAGAAATCGATGGCGTAGACCAAACGGTATGAAGTTGAGAGTTCATCAAAATGTTAAGGCTGGAGGTACACTACTGTACGCTATAGCTCTTGAACACAAGAGAAAGAAGTATGTAGAGCATGACCATGAGAATGCAATTTGACCATCTGGCATCAGTCAAATCTGCCAACTCGTTATCAGGACGACTGCCTCTTGGTTCTGAATGGTGGACTGGGACGAGCGGCTCACGGGCTTCATCCCGCCCTGGACTGGACCTATGAGGCTACGATGCTCAGCGGCCAAGAGGAGTGAAGTTAATGATCATGATAGCGTAAGGATCTCTCGTCAATAACGTCTCTATTTCTGGGCGCACTCCCTCTTGAGCACTAGTAGACACGAGTGAGGCAAATCAGGCAGGCTTCCATTCGCCATTCTTCTTATCGGGAGTTCAGTCAGCCGCCGGTTAGTTGAAGCGTGGAGGATTGGCGAGAGGGCTGGTTCGTGGGACATTGCCGTGCTGATTGCATGCGACATCCCGCGTCGCACATGCTGTGAGTGGTGTGTCCACCTCTGCTCAGGCCACTCACAACCTGGCAACCCACACCATCTGGGGCAGGCCTGGGGTCGCCCGACCTCTCAGGCTCTCAGTCTTCAGGTTCTCGTCGAGTTGGGGTCCGTCTTGTCTGTGCAGCCGATGCCCCCGTGAATTGCAGAAAGTTGGCACGCGACACCGAGACTACTGCCCAGTGCCTACTGTGCTGCGTGCGGGCTTTGTCCCATCATTTGGTGGGGTTCAATATTGAACAAGACGAACTTTTGAAGAGTTGCCTCGGCGGCACTACTGGCGAGTACTGTACTAGCAACCTAAGCCAAGAAGACAAGCAATGAGGCGAAGCTTGGAGCATGCTTGCAACCGAGTCTTGGCTCTGGATGAAAACGAGGGAGACGGGGGCACTTCTGAAGAGACCAAATCGCTAGGACTGTAGGACACGAAGCCAAGACCGTATCAGTCATTGCCAGCAGTCTGGGCGCCGTGGGCGGTCGTGATGGGAATACCACCTTTCCTTTTGGTCTCTCAAACCCCATATAATCCTGTGGGCACATGTCAAGTGTCATCTTTGGAGTAAGAAGCCGTGCCCGTTGCCATTGCCCAGGAGTCTGGCACCGTTGACTAAGAGAAAAGCCTTCCAGGCATTGGGGTATCTGGGCGGGCTTCTGCTCCCACATTCCCCCAAAGTATGTCCCAACCACTCCCGCTGCAGTCCTTCAAGTCTGCACAATTTCGGCGGTATCCAGTGGATCGTAGGCAGTCCGATACGAATCTCCCGTCCGACTGGTCCATCTCGAGAACCAGAAGCTGATCCATCATCCAAAAGGACCTTTGGATGGGGCCGTTCCAAGAACTGCAGACAAAAATCCCCCGGGGTGTCTGGCTGAACCGGGTATAGCCTCGCTCCGGAACCAACCAAACAAGGGAGGACGTGGGTGTCGCGACATTAAGCTCATGGGCCACTGCGACGGCTCTTATCGTTTGGGAAGGTCGCCGGGGGACTAGTGCCACGGCAGAGAGCTGCAACTAAAGTGTTTGACCGGACTCTTCCATGCGGCCCATCTGTGCAACCAGCTACCTAGGAACGCGTGTCTACGGATAGACTGTGGGTAGCAAGACGCGGCTTTGGCTAGAGGAGATGAAGCGTGAGAGGAGATGAGAGAGAAACCGCATGTTCAGCTCGATGGGTAGACCCAAACTTCATACTGGACTGAACAGTATCATCGTCTGCTCTGTAGTGTAGAACCAGAGTCATGATGTGCACATGCGGCAATCCTCGGCCTTTGCTCTCGTTGGCAAACCCAATTGTCCATTCAACCCCTCTCCAGCCCTAAGCCAAGACCGTTTACACCCATTCAACCACTGGAGTGGCCTCGGTAGCAACATCACCTTCCCTTTCCCGTGCCATAGATGAGTCTTGGCGGAGCGTACCATGAACGGGGCGGCGATGATTTGAGATGCGTCTGCGCATCATCGGTATCCCCCATACTTCAATCAACTAATAGTGATCCGTTCATTGGGAGCGACTATTACGGTATTACATACATAGACGCAGCAGGAGTGAACAATGCGATTCGTCGCATACCAGAAAAGGCCCCTAATCAACGGGAATCCTTCGTGTGGCGCATCAACGAATCAAGACCTCGGCGTAGCACTCGGCTATCACCAGGCCACCCGCCCCTTTGCTCGCCCTTCCCGTCCATCGTGCAGGACGGTGCCAGGCATGCCAGGACCAACTTTGTTCTCGAAGCCACGCCAGAAGCCAAGTCGCAGCTATGCGGCAGGCCACACAGGCTCAGGCTGGCGCTCTCCCGTGAGCCGAGTGAACGCCAAAACACGCCTGGTCATCGATGTTACACCACCATACCAACACTAGCAACACAGAGCCAACGAGCTTTTTTTTCGTGCCAACACTGATAGAGAAGTCAGGTCCGGGAGACGCGCCAATGACGGTGCTCGATGAGATGGGGTGGCGGCGATGCCAAGGTCGATCAACGTTACCGCCGAGCCCCTTGGCTGTCGCATTTCACCATCCAGCTCTCACCACTTTGGCACTCTGCTGGCTGACTTTTCCCGAGTCTGGCAGGCAGATTCTGCAACCTGCTGATATCAGATAGAGCCGGCCGAGCTCAGCTGTTTGCCCGGGTTTCACGAGTCGCGAATCAGATACCCTCCCTGGAGTGTGTATCCAACAAGGCGAAATTCAACTCGGTCTCTCACTTTGTGTCTCAACTCTGGTGTTAACCCCAGACCGACACCAGCTACGCCGCCGCCTATCTACTACCCTCCGATTCTCGACCTGCCTAATCGGGCCATTTGTCCTGGAGCCCATCACGGTCCATCAAATCCATCAGGGCCCATCGTCTCCCTCTCGTTGGAGCTGCCCACCACCCATTATTGGTATCTGTCTCGGTCCAGCCTGGCGTGGAATCCGTGGACTCATTCTGTTGCAATAGATCACTTCAACTCTTGCCTGCGACCTGCGTCGTCCTGCGCGCGCTGGCCGCCTGTCTCCGATTCTGACCCCCCTGCGCCGTCCCAAACGCCCGACCTTGACCCCGTCGTCTGCGACAGTATCATTGTCGTGGTGCGGTGCTTCGCGTTGTTCTGATCTTCGCAGCGTAGAGCAGTTAGAGGGAGAGGTAGCGTGTGTTCTCGCGTCTCCTGTCCCGTGGCGACGGTTCTGGGCGAGATGAGCGGTCCCCGCCCTCCTCGACGGCTCCGTCGACGCCCACGCACAAACCCTGGACCCAGGAACCTTGTTGACATAGAGGCAAACCTTACCTCCTCCACGATTGGACCGTCCCATGCCATCCCATGCCACCGCCATCTTCCCTCCGTACTCATGAGTCCATGTCCATGTCATCCAACCCCCGTCCTTGTCCCCCCACCTCCAGGCGCTAGAGTATCTCGCCCATGTCTGTGTATCTGCGGATACCTACCGGCTGCCGAATGCAGCTGTGATGCGACCTCCCAGTGGGAAATATAAATCATCTTCATGAGACGCTCCCTTCCGCGTAGACCTCTCCTCCCCTTCTCTCTTGCGATCAGCAGCCCTTCACACACGGCCAACAGCCCAGGTCCCAGTTTGACCCATCTGTTAATTTGCTGTCAAAGACTCGTTAACTCGTGTCTTTCGTTACCACACTCGCGGAGCCTCTTGTACCAAGTCTCTGGTTCCTCCCCCCGCTCCAGCGCAGGAAACTTTCCTCCAACTCAAGCCATGAGTAACGCCGGAGGCCTTCAGGACGATGTCCTGGCCAAGGCTCACGTTCCCCAGGCCACCGTGCAGGGCACCTCGAAGGAGACTCGCGGCTCGTTCGACGTGACCGCAGCCGCCGCCCCTCCCCTCGAAGACAACTACTACGACTCCAAGTCCGACGATGACTACGAGGATAAGCCCACTGAGGAGGAGCTGAGCACACTTCGTCGTGTCTCGGGTCCCATTCACTGGGGTATCTACACCATCGCCTTCGCCGAGCTTTGCGAGCGTTTCTCGTACTACGGTTCCTCCGTCTTGTACACCAACTTCGTCATGCGCCCTCTGCCTCCGGGTTCGACGACCGGCGCCACTTATGGTGCTGATATCCCCGCCGGTGCCTTGGGCATGGGCCAGAGGGCCTCCCAGGGTGTTTCTTTGGTGAACCAGTTCTGGGCTTACCTTGTCCCCCTCTTCGGGTATGTTGCTTCATGTGAACCTGCTCTGAGATTGGAAATTGACTAGTAATGCAGTGGTTGGTTAGCCGATTCCAAGTTGGGTCGCTACAAGGTCATTCACATCGCCATCGCTGTTTCGACCGTCGCTCACATCATTCTGACTGTCGCCGCTGCTCCATCCGTCATCTCCAAGGGCAAGGTCGCTTTCGCCCCCTTCTTCCTCGGTCTCTTCACTCTTTGCTGCGGTACCGGTCTGTTCAAGGCCAACATCTCCCCCCTGCTTGCTGAGCAGAACAAGGACACCCGTATGCGCGTTGAGACCCGCAAGGGCGAACGTGTCATTGTTGACCCTGCCGTCACCAACACCCGTATCTTCCTGTGGTTCTACTTCGCCATCAACTGCGGTGCCGTCAGCGGTC